GAGTTTGTTTGTTTGTTATCTCTTAATGATTATACACAACTATAAGGCAGGAAATTTAGCATAAATGTAGTATTTGGAAAGGAAAATTCTGAGTAAATATAGCGAGAACTGATCGTTGCAAACTATGCTATGCGGGTAAATATTATTACATTAGATTTTATATATAAATATTTATATAACTTCGTAACTGTTATCTTCCAAGTAATGATCAAAATTATAATTAGAATTTTTTTAACGACTATTACCTTTGACGAGACGAATAAAAGCATTGTTGACTATCGCCTTTAGGTTAAAATAACACTGTACATTATTAGCTTAGTATCTTGATATTTTTAAATAAATAAGGTCTTATTTAAATGGATCCAGTGACGTATGACATAAAACAATCACTTATATGCGTAGGTACAAACAATTATTATTTAATACACGACTCAACTTAATTTTAAGGTTTACATGTTTGTCTTTCATTTAGCGACTATAAACATCATAATTATCTCATTATTACAATGTTCAAAAGTTCCCGTGGCCGTATTTTGTGTCCTTAATTACGAAAATTAACAAATGACTCGCATTCCTTTTACATAATTATTGTTAGAAATGTGTAATATAAAAAACGGTATTTCTTTTAAAAAGACAATGCGTGTGGCTGTCTTTGTGAATACTTAATGACCACCATGGTGTTCTTAAAGTGAAGTGGACCAAGAATATATACTGGCTAAGGCAAATTAGATAAAAAATTAAGAACATACTCTTTTATTGTTCTTGATTTTTTACTCATCTATTTCGATAATTGGTGTTAGGTATACTAATTGGTTTATTGACTTTTTTTTTATTTCTTTGAAATTTAGGAAGTTTTGTACAAACTAAAAGTACACGCCAGTCCCATTGTACCCTAAAACTAATTACTACGTCACCTCACCAAACAATTTGCCTTAGCCGCGCTATCTAAAGTCTATCACTAGTTTCTCACAATATAATGTTTATGTTATTGGTGGAATAAAGTAAGGGTAGTCTTGAACATAGCACAGAAAAATTATCCTTTAGAGGGTCATTGTTGTTGATAGTACCTATTTACTTATTTCTTATATAAGTACCCATTCTATGAAAATTTAATAAGGTAAAAAGGTTTTCACTATCGGTTTGAGAATTTCTTCCGGATATCGCTAGTTTAAAATAAAGTCTACTTAAATTATCACAGTATCGTCACTATCAGTAAACCATAAATGTTATTCAAATCCGTTCAGCCATTGAAGTATACAATTAATAATAAACTTTCATAAACTACAAACTTTCTCTTTTGTAGAACTATCTGTGGTAATGATAGGTTTGTTAGAACTCATTAGTTAACTTTGACACAACATTGAAATTGCACAGAGAAATAATTATTTTTTAATTTATACTCATATGAAGTATAATATAGGTATATGGCTAATAGAGGTACTGCATAACAACACTTATTCGACATTTCAAAACTCTTTCTGTCTCTAATGATTGATTGAACTAAACATTCTATGAATCAAGCATGAAAGAAGTGTATTATAGAACTTTGAACCTTACTACGACAAAACGTAAAATAGAATCATTTATCATATACACTAACGTCGCAGTATGGGGTTTTGGAATGTTTTATTTAAACCCCGTTTTGACACGTCCCCTGATTTTGTTTGTGATAAAATTCTTTTTACATTATACAGAAGATGTTGTACGATGTTTTGTAATAAATGTTTATGGAGGGGATGTGATATCACTTAGATATACCTATTACTAGATTACTTACTGGGTCTATTACTTGCAATGTAACTTATGTTACATTGCAAGCAGCACATATTGTTCCATTTGCAAGTTTGTCTTGTATATATATTATATATAGTATAGTAGTATATGACAATTATTATTCTTATTTAGTACTGCTATACCTTTTGTCTATTTTTCTAATTCATTCTTGCGCCATCTACCATTTTTCTTTCTACTCTGCTCTGCCCAAAGGTTGTCTGGAAGAGATTGCTTTTGTGATAAGGCCACCTATTCTATTTACATTTATAATTTACTTCTGGTGCAATGAAGAGTAAATAAATATATATCTAACAACGTCCAAAGTCTTCATTAAGTACCTATAGGAGATTTATTTTGTTAATAATGCAAATACACCATAAAAAAAGTTTTGTTTTGTTTGATGGATGATTGGAATAGTGCAACGTCTAACGCTGTCGGGGCTGGCTCTAACACACTAGGGTGAGACGATGATGATGTTTTCCTCACCAGGAACGTCCAGATATGATTCATGGACCGTTTGGCACCATTCAAGACACCATTTGGCGAGTGGGTGATCTTCATACTTTATTTGACAGCCTCGGTGGTCTAGCGGTTTACCACACCGCTTTACTTCCGATGGTCGCGGATTCGTTTCCTCGCACAGTACAAACATTTGTATTCATGAGTATGGTTGTTTGTATCGGTCTGGATATTTTCTATGTATATTATGTATGTATTTATAAAAAATATCTATGTATTTATATCAGTTATCTATTACCCATAAGACAAGCTCTGCTTAACTAGATGACACTGTGTTACTTGTCCAGGGCTTTTTATTGTTTTTTACATTTTTCAACATGATAAAAAAGGTAGCTATAATATATTTATAACATTATAATCCTATATATTTTACACCAGCGATTAAACCTGTGTAAACCAGTTGCACATAAATATAATGAATTATAGCCTCGTACGCTATAAAATTAGACTATAATAGCAATATATAAATAAAGTCATTCAGTCACCTTCAAGTGGTTCATTAAAAATTAAAAGTAAGTACTAAAACGACTTTATTGTATAGATTTAATTGAGAAGTGAATTACTTAAGTTATTAGTTGTTAAAAAATACGAACTCACAGTTTACAGATTTCATTTATAAATTTACTACGAAATGTATAAATGGATTCAAACAAACAATTTGTATGTTTTAAAGGAATATTATGTTCTATTAATATGAAATGAAATATCATATGAAAGTAACGTGTAAACGTTATCTAGGTACTAACTTACGGCCTTTGGGAAAAACACAAACCATATATATTACACAAGGCCATATCTACTACGGGCTACCGACGAAGACTAACTAACTAGGTATACCCCTGGACAATTCACACAACGCCATCTAATCCCAAGGTAAGAGGAGTTTGTGTTAGGGGTACTATACAACTGTTAACAAGTATTTATATCATAAATACTTAGATTTTTTTTTAAATACATGCAAAAAAATACATAGGAAAAACAAAGACCGATACAAACAATCATACTCATGAATACAGAATGTTTGTACCGTGCGTAGGATCGAACCCGCGATCTTCGGAAGTAAAGTATTGTGTTAAAACGCTAGACCACCGTCATATAATCTACTAAATCTTATACCACCAATTCCTGTATCCAGTTTGTTTCATAAACTGCGATTCGGTTGGAAGGAGACATGGCAGTGAAATTATATAGTAGGTACGAAGGCATGACCATGTATATAATCGAAGCCATTTTTTTATAAAACGAAACTTAATACAATACTTTTTTTATGATAATGGAATGGTACACCCACCTGCACTAACAGTATACGCCGGCGGGGCACCAGTGGAGAATGATGAGATGATAGGTCAATTTAGTTAGCCAGTAGTTACTAACTCACCAGGAATCTATCACGGTGGCTTCAAGGAGAGCCGCGTGGAGGTTAATGTGACATGGTACATTGCTAGTAATAGGACTATTAGTCCACATTACTAACTAACAAATAATTCTTCCCTCCGCCAACTCTTTACTTCCTGCCTCTACTCTCCATAGAGTAGAACGTCAGCTTTAAAAAAACAACTCGTTTCAATATGTCGATCCATCGTTGGGGACACGCGAACGAATATCTCAATACATGAATTTACCACGGGGCGGCGTCCCGCTGCGCACGCGCAGGTCTGCTGGCCGTCACTTCGGAGGCGAATGAAGCAATAAATTAATGATAACACCACCAGTAAAACAGAGTATATTGAATTCGTGATTATTTATTGGTTTATTTATTGCCTTGCTTGTGTGTCTGGTGCCAGATTCCATGGGATGCAAGAACTTTTTGAATGAAAATATATTAAAAATTGACTTGACTACTCGGATATATATACTAACATACGAGTAAACAACACAAGTGTTTTTTACTTATCGATGTATAAACAAGCAATAACTCTGAACAATGCTCACAGCGCTATCTAGTCGCAGGCACGTTAATGTTGTGAGTTATTTATTAGTTAGTTATTAGACAACTGTTAGAAATACGGAAATACATATTTTTTAATATAGTGTACATACATAGAAACACCCAGATCAACACAAACAATCACTTTCATGAATACAAAATGTTCATCGTGCGAGGAATCACTGGAAATAACGTGTGTGCTAATCCGTTAGACCACCGAAAGGTTATATTTGTAATTTTTAAAGCTAGAAGCTTAAAAGTTATTTTTCATGTTGATTATTAATATAAATGAATATGAAAGATTGTAAAATTTTATCCTTAAAGGGTAAAATAAAATAGGGAATGAGTTTGTATGGAAATTCGTCAATATTGAAGCAAGAACGATGAATTCGACACAAAATAGCTAAAGATAATATGGCTATTTTGGGTTAGATTAGATATAAATAAAAAATATTATATTTTTATTTTTTTGCTCAAAGTCATTATTTCACGCAGACGAAGTCGCGTACACAGCTAGTTCAAAATAATAATTCCAAGCAAGAACTCCAAAGAAAAAAACTATTTGTATTTTCCTTTTGAAATTCCATAAAAAATTAATATCCGTAACCGAAATTATCCGAAACGAACGGATAATCCGAAATAATTTCATATCCGCATCCGTATCCGTATCCGGTATAATAATCATTCCAATATCCGAAACCTATCCATATCTGAAATTTCATATCCATAACATCCCTGCTGAAAGGTATGTGATAAAAACAAATATTTACTAATTGTTTGTACATTTATTAACAGTCTTAATATATTCTAAATCTAAACATTCAATTAACTACAGCGGAAACCATCTTTGTGCACCATCTAATCTAATCACTTCACCGTTCAGCATTGGATTCTCCACGATACTTGTGACGAGATGCGCAAACTCCTCAGGTCTGCCAAATCTTGTTGGGAATGGACATATTCTTTTCAGGTAATCTATAACTTTTTCTGGTATATATGATATTAACGGTGTCTCAAAGATTCCTGGAATGAAATGTTTTAATGTAATATACGTACGTGCTTTTTTACGTAAATAGAATGGACAAAATATAAGTCTGTTTTTTAATCTCGGCTCTGTTGTATCGTATAATTTTATTTTAGACGACTATTTTAAAATTTAAAAGTTCCCACAATATATTTTCAAAATTTAGGTATGTAACCAATGATTCTTAACTAGTCCCAAACATATGGTAATTTTTACGTTACAATTAAATGTAAGGAATTTTAGAAGTTTAGTCATAGTTGATTGCCACTTACTATCAGCATGTTCAGCGTAGACTCAGAGGTCTAACAGTTTTGCACAGCGCTTGACTTACGAGGATTGTGGGTTCGATTCCTCACACAGTACAAACATTTCTATTCATGAGTATAATTGTTTGTATTACTAAACTACTAAAGAAATGTATCTCAATATATCTATTAGTTGTCTAGTACCATGGGTACTAATGCATATGGAATGCATGCTCTGCTTAGTTTGGGACTAGATGGCGCTATGTGAATTGTCCAGGAATATTATTATAATTATTTTGCTTACAGTTACAAAAAATGCAAGTAAAACAAAGAGGCAAAGATTAAAACTAACCAGGGGCTATCGTCATAACTCTAATTCCTTGTGAAGCTAAATCCCTAGCTATGGGTAGAGTCATGCCAATGACTGCAGCTGTAGATGCTGCATAAGGCGCTTGGCCGATGTCACCCTCGTAAGCTATTGTTGCTGCTGTATTTATAATGACACCTCTCTGACCATCTTCATTTGGTTTATTTTTGCCTATCAATCCTGCTGCTAACCTTATGACATTGAATGTACCTATAGTATTTACCTGAAATAGAAAAACACTTAATTTATTATAACAATATTGCATAGGGAATTGTTGTAACATTGTCACAAAAATTTGAATTAAATACTGATGGCCCTGGTCTAGTGGTTCGGCACAATGGTTGCATATTCAATTCCTTGCATAATACAAAGATTTCTACTGTTGGTCTAAAATTGTATAATATATAATAATATTCTATAATTAATAGTATATAAAAATGTATAATAATATTCAATTTTTGTGAGCTGTTATTTGTGTTAATTGTCCTGGATTAATATTACTGTATTCACCTAGCCTTTATCTTGTTATTTGGAAAGAAGCATTATAAAATATATTAATCGATGTTTTCTTCTTTCTTGAGAATAAAAATACTATCAATTTAATATATAATAAAAAGTACACAGTCACTGCAAAATATAATATATATATCTATAGTATAGATTTTGAAAAATTCTAAATTGAAAGTTAATAGTAATAAAGGCTATTATTATTATTATTTATAAAGTAAATGTGTATTAAACATAAAGACTAAAAATTAAACTACAACATTGACAAGGCCTCGACTATCCTACCTATGGTAACAGTTGTTGAATTATTATTGTCATTGAAAATCAATTAATTACTAGAAATCCATTAAACTTACATTTACACATTTAACAAAACCATCCAGATCACATTCTTTATCTTTGTAAAAATTATACACTTGGTGTGTCTCTGTGTGTCCCGCACAGTTCACCAACAGATCCAGACGGCCAAACTTCTCTTTTACAATATCTAATGTTTTCTTCACATCTTCCTCTTTTGTTATCTGTGAAAATAAAATAGATAACAGTATTATTATGTTTACATGGTATCACAAAAGTAAAATCAATATTTACAATTAAAAAATGATAATGGAATGGCAGGTCAACAGAGGAAGGTTGATTTAATGTAGTATATTATGAGCAAGCAATTGCATCATCATTCCCCATTACTAACAACCCCTTCCATTTAGTATACTATTAATAAACAAAGTACAACTATATTATGCCTTTTTTATTGCTATGTTTAGAATAGAACATACCAACAAGTTTATAGTTAGTATTACCAATATAGTTATAGATGTGACCATTTTATATAGACCTGAATAGAAATAAATAAAGGATACCAAGTGGGCATTGCTTATTTATTTGACATGCATGAAGAATAATGTTAGAGTTCAATATGCGGAGTGTAAACCTATTCTTTACAGCATTACATATATAAACTTACACAACCGGCTGATACTATCACATTATCACCAAGTTTTTTAGCTACTTCCTGAGCTCTTGTTGCTTGTATATCGAGAATTACAACTTTGCCTCCATTTTTTATAAGCCTGTCCACAGTCGCTTTACCAAGACCAGATGCTCCACCGGTCACCAAACTAACCATCCCCTAAAATAAGAGGTTAGAATTATTTGGTTAAGTTTTCTTAGAATAAAAAAAAACAATGACATAAAGTACTTAAAAGGACGTGTTTTTCCTATCATATTTACCTTTAACATTTCGATGCAATATGGATATAAATAGTCTAAAATTAATTTGTGAAATATAAATTAAATTTTAAATTTTAAAGGAACATTGGAACTATTTGGATTGGGTTGACAAGTGATTTGCCATAGAATTTTGACACTTGACTGACATACTTCAAATTATAGTTAAGTTTTCTGATCCGATTCTCTGTGGTTTAAGTGATCTGGGTCTTATCTTATGTTGGTAACATTGGTATTTTGGCATTTTCCTATAGTATATTGATATACAACAAAATATACAATTTTTTTTTATACGTATCGAATAATATAAGTTTTCTTCAGTGATTTCTTATGAATTTCTACAATATTTGTTTATTTTCATAGTGCTCCTTGATTTCACAAATATTTCTTCATTTATAGTTTTACATAGTGAATAGTAAAACAGAAACATGGCTCAAATAGAACAACCCATGTTTATAATACCCAAGAAAAGAAATGGCAAAAAGCCGAATACTATACAAAGCCATGTAGACCACATAATAAGCGTGCAGGTTCTAATATTTTAATATTATCCTATTCATAAAAAGAAAGTAAAAATTAAATTTATGCACTAATTGAACAGAAGCCTAATCATTGTAAATTAATCTTCGTAATATTATAAACACGAAAGTTTCTGTTTATGAATTTTTGTTTAACTTTCAAGCAAAAACTATCGTACAGATTTAAATTCAATTTAGCGCACTGATGGATAATATCTTACACTTGCTGTTACACACGACCTATCACTGATGTTCTAAGCATTAGACACTAAAATTGTTACTTGCAAAAATCTATTCTGAAATCATTAACTCACGTGTTGATTTCACATTACCTTAGCTGAACTCAATACAAACCTTAAATGCCTTTTGTCTTACATGCTCATTAAATTACAAAATACTAAAATATCATAATATATTTTAACAGGGAGCTGCAGATAATGAGTTGCCAACAAAATATAAAAATGGACTGTCACCTGTCACTGAACATGTTGTGAATGGAATTATACACTCCACAATGGAGGGACTGAAATCTAACATGAAAATTAACTTGCCTATTATCACTGATGTATATGATGAAGATTCAGTTGAACAAAATGGTGATGATGAAACCCAAAAATCTCAAAGAAATGGTTATCAACCTCTCACCAGCATAAATAGCAGCAGAGACATCATTGATTTGTCACCCATTTATGAGAACTCATCTGATGCATGCTCCAGTCATGGAGATTTAAGGGATAGCACTGAAAATGATACACACAAAAGTTGTAAGATTCTAAACTCAGATCAGATTGAAAGTTCATCAGCAACCCCTAATAGTCTATCGCAAACTCAATCTGAGAACAGTTTTGAAATGGGCATACTTACAGACAGTTTAAAGAACAGTGCTAAAAGGAAAAAACGAGTCAATATTGCCCCTGGTATAGTTGAATCAGAACATACTGATTCTGAAATCACAGCTTTAAGAATTGAATCGGAAGGATCAATTTCCCCAGACTGTTCACTGACTGATAATTCAAAAGATGGCTACTTAACTATGACTGGCACCATAAAAAGAGGTAAGAAAAAGGGTCAAAATGTTGATGTAAAATTGAACATATCAAGAGAAGAGTTGGAAGTTATTGAAGCTGCTATTGTGGCTGAAGAATATAATAAAATGGATATATCTAAATGCTCAACATATAATGGCCCTCATATATTTTTGTTTACACTAGTTTGTATTCCATTTGTTGCTTGCATATCAGCTATGTATTCATTTTACATGGGTACAATGACTTGGTATAACATTTTCACACATGTCACAGAGAATTTGAATTGTGTTAAAAAGGTGTTTTTGGCTCCAATAGTGATATTGTTGTATCCATTTTTAATAGTTACATTCACTGTTGGATTGGGTTTGTATGCTGGGATTGTGCAGCTCACATTCAGTGGGGCCAACTGGTGGAAGGATGTATGTGATTTTGAGAAGGGTTTCTATGGCTGGCTCTGCAGTACATTGGGTATATCTGAGTGCAGTCCATATGAAGTTGTTGTACTAATGGATGTGAAACCATGTTAAATTAATTGCTATTGTAGATTACATATTTATTATCTACATTGATATATTTAACCAATAAAATATGATAGGGTGTTCTCATTACATTTTTGTAAGTTGATAGACTTACAATATTTTAGAAGCAATGTAAGTTGACTGATTTTTATGTAAATGTTAAGAAGTAGCATTTGTACTGGACTGGGCAGGGATATTAGCAATGGGTATGTTGGAAATATAAGATAATTGGATAAGTGCTTCAGATAAATAAATTGAGAGAAATCAATGAATTCATTGTAATGGTTTTAGATTACTATTTTTTCTTTATAATGTTTTAATTCATAATAGCTTTATTACCAAATAGAGTGTACTTTGTCATCAAACTTTAAGAATGCTATGACCAACTGCTAAGAGTTTACTGCTCCATCACCTGTTGACATTACTACTAGTATTCACTTTGTTTTTCTTTTAAAAAAAACTAGTATTTGTCTGTAAAAGTCCTGAAAGCTGCAGATACTAAATTGAAATAGGTGAATCAAAATTGTAAGATTTTACACTTTAAAACAAAGTTGATACAAATTTCTTTTTTATGTCTGGTACTTGATCAAAAACTATACACATACACTTTTGACCAGTCATTCAATTTGTGGTCAATTATATTTGTTTAGATGTTATTTAGGGATACATATTTGCCAAGAGCATTTGTATATTATGTAATAATGTGGGGAACAATTGAATATATTGCAATTTAACATTCTTGTAGAGCAAAAGGATAAATATTCATATTGTTGAAGGTTTCATTAGGTGTCATTGTTTTTCCTGAAATATATAAATAATCCTAAAATATTTGTATAACCATTTCAGTAAAAACAATGCCATAAACCTATAACATTTAGTGGTGTTCATATAATACAAACCTAATATGAGCCTGGCTTTAAAATAAGGCTGATTTCATAAACATACAGGTGCACCACTATTATATAAATTTAACCTTCTATTTACCAGTTATGCCACTTTTCCACTTTTTATTGGTGTTGTGATTTTTGGTGATATGATATGAACTTACACTGCTAGTTTTAATTTTTAGTTAATAATAGTCATATAGTTGAAAATCCTTGCTCAATCTCTTCCAGTATTTAATCAATATCTCTTTCTATTCATGTACTTCTCTAGTCATTTTAATTTACGGTACTGATTTATTATGTGTTTACAAGTGTAACCATTTTAGAATAAGAATACTTATTGGTAATAATTTACATATCTTATAAGATTTTTGCTTATATTATTTATAGTCGTAAAATTTATTATATTTAGTAAGCTTATAATACCAATAGTTTTTAGGAAAAATGACAATGATAGGCTACGATGTAGTAAAGTAAATGACTTATATATATTGAAAAAACATCCAGTTCATGGAATATCAGAAATGATAAAATATTATCTATATAAAACTAATCCAGGATTTGAAAACAATGTTTCAAAAGAACTTGGTGGAAACTTTTTACAATAAAAGCATTTTTTCTGCTTAGCAAAATTTTATTGATGATATATTTGATAGGGCAATGCTTTTTGCATTATGAATTATTAATGAAATGTTTTAGTAATAATTTTTATATTGATCGTAATCAACATTATAATTATGAAGACTGATGTATTCTAGTCACTATAGTGGTATGCATTTTCTACCCCAATAAAGTATTTTACAAACAAAATTCTTTACTTTTTCTAAAACAATATTCTTTGCTACAAACAACTTTTAAAGCTACAACTTTCCAATTAAATCTATAATATTCCCATTGTTCTCATGATGTGTCCTTCGGTCGTTGCTCCTCTGTACTTGTATGTTTCTCCTTCAATTCAGCATCTATCCGTTCTTTTGCTCTAACTATTTTGGATTGTAAGTAAAAAGAACCACCTTTTCCTTTATCATTCACTGTGAATAAATGTTCATAATTTTTCTTAATTTTCTCCGATTCTAATTTATCTACATTCAATATTTGCATTGCTTCTTCCAAAGTAAGTCCCGTGGATGCATTAGCTGCTGCTCTTTTGGCACCCTGAGGTCCACCACCAGCTCGCTTAGCGGCTTCTTGTGAAGCAGCTAGCTCCTGTTTTAATGCTCTAGCAAAAGCACGCCCTACTACTTGGGCACCTAGCACTATTATTTGTGCTATATATTTAGCCATTATTAAATAATAAATAAAATATTGAAATAACTACTGTCATTACGACACAATATATGTCAAAAAATATTAGAAGGTTATGTCGCGTTTACAGTTTACATATTTCCAATTCGTTGCGTTCTATTTAATATTTGTATTACTATTGCGAGTGCATAGATGGAGTTAAATATCTACCAGACTCTACCACAAACAAGTCAGTATTCGAACCTGACATAATATTAAAAAAAAAAGTTAGCGCGCTTTCGCGGGTAATTTGACAATTTGACATTTCAACGTATCGCTTATAACCTCTTTGTTATTTTTGTGTTTATCCTAAATTTTAATATAGTTTCTCATAAAAAAATTACATTTCTAATGCTCTAAAGTTTCCTAGTGCTATATAATTGTATTTGAAAACAATGGTAAGTTTAAATTAGTATAGTTATAATGTAATTGTATGGATCATACTGTTATCCTTCTTAGAACTTATGGACCTACTAATGGCGTCAGTACATTATAAGAAAGCTTGGAAAATATTCATACAACATTATAAGTTTAAATCACCAGTTATCGTCATTTTGACCGGTTAATCTCCACTGTTTAACATAAACTTTATGTTAATATATGGGTTATATATAGCTATACGAACCGGCCCTTGGTCATCTGCGTATTTTCTTCTTTAACTGATATTGTCGACCATTTCATCTAATGATATTATCATGGCTAATTTCTCATTAACTATAGTAAAGCTTACTTAATTAATATCATCTTAATATGTACAAATTGAAAAGTTGATACATATTGTTTACTCTTGAAAAGCTAAGAAAAAGTACAAATGAAAGTTTTCGTTGGAAGTTTATAATGAAATCCCTCAGTCAATTATTATTGTTATTATAACAACTGCTATGGCGTAGCAGGTTAGTACACTACTTTTTTTAAGATGGTTGTGAGTTTGATATTTGCACAATACAATATATTGTTATGTAGAAACACTAAGTTTTTTCTATTTATGTTTTAAAAAAATATATTTTATTATTTCTGTTAATTGTTTAATAATTATTGTACAAGCTTACATTAGACTAGTTGTTTCTGTGTAATTATATACCATATAAAAAACAAATTCTTAAAGTGGATTTTAGTTCTACATTTAGTGAACACCTACACCATTTAGTTAGTTAGTTTAGTAATATATTCTAATGCTACCTGTGTAAAGCTATCTAAAGCGGAATATAATATTATAATTATTTCAGGTTATTTTCACTTATATGGCTTGACAATGTGTAGTAAAATTTAATATGTCCATAAATATTGTACTGCATAAGATATGTTCTGTACTATTTTATAATACCATACTGTATGTGATAGGTAATTTATAATAGAAATATTCTATTTTAATGGTTCTTTGCAACATTTTAAACTTAAAATTAAGAAGCACAGGAACATGCTATAAATGTGTTAGTTTATGACACTAAAGATACTTAACTAAGTACTATAAATTACTAGAATTAATATAATTAAAAGTGTATTCTAATTTAATATATATTTCAGAGTTCTCCAACCCCAGATACCCCATCTGACAGAGATGGTGCCCGGTCCAGAATGACTTCACCTGCCAGAGATTATGAAATGTTTGAAGATGAAGGTGCTATACTTGGCGATAATGTTAATGAAGAAGAAGAGGATGATGGAGAGGAGTTGTTTAATGATAATATGGAAGCGTAAGTGGAAGAATATAGATTATATTATTATTGAGGACTAATATATATTGAACCTTGACATTTTGTATTATGTTGCAACTAATTTATTGACAAAGTATACCTGGCATCTTAATAAATATTCCAATCATCAGGACATAGTTCATAGACACAGTAGGCATGTTTACAAGGAACTACTACTTTAATTTCTAACAATTTTATATAAAATGACCTACAGTTTTATGTTTTTTGTTTGTTTAATATATTTTTAATGAAATAGAGGAGAAAAGCAGAATAACAATTAAGCTGGTGGTGTTAATAACTGGCAATCATTGTCTTTATACTGGAATAGCATGGAACATCATGCAATGTTTGTGGTGATGACTATATTTCATTCTCCAAGCAGAAGATAGTTTAGAAATCTAGGTTCTCAGTTACTTGTAATTGTACTTTGTTTTAATAAAATAATATTTATTAATAAAAAAATATATATTTATTTATACTTTTATTCTATTTACAGTCTTATTATATACAGAGAAGAATTAAAATAATTATTAACTGATACAAAAGGTGATATTATCCCTAACAAATTTATTCCATTCTACCTTTGGGAACATAGATTAAGTAAAGAGAAGAGAAGTTAAGATAATATTGTTGATTATTTTCTTTACAGTGATTATCGCCCAATGCCGGCATTGGATCGTTACGACAACGAAGATTTAGATGATGAAGACTATGACGCGATTGCTATTGAAGATCGCGTAGCAGCCGAGCAGGAACTCAGGCGACGTGACCGAGAAGAGGGGAGAAGGAGAGATGATCGTGGTTTAATTTATGGTATGTGGTATATTTTGTTTGTATATCTGTATTTCTTTGGAGTATTATTGTAGTTTTCATATGTTTTTAAACTATGTAAACCATACAAGTAATAATTTCTAGTACTTGTCTAAAATTTACTATGATTATTTTCCTTGAGGAAAGTTGTTCAGACTGGGTGTTTTCTTGGCTATGAATATTTTACATTGTCCATGATTAACATTTTATTATATGGTCATACACATTTGTTGTATCTCACCTAGATAGTTCTTCTACATATGCATATTAATAATATACATATATACTGTATTTTAAATTTATAACAGTGAAATAATGATTATGGTACTGTTTTAATGATATCAGTTGTAGTAATAATATAGAGAGATTGAATGAACACACCTAAATATGCACATAATATACACCAGATGACTCAGATGAAGAGAGCACAGATGCACCACGCGCAAAGCGACGCAGGGCAGCTGAGAAGGCTGCCATGGGCACTGATGAGCAGGTGGAAGAAGGCATTGAGAGTATTGAGAACCTTGAGGATACCAAGGGTTATACAACAAAAGAATGGGTCTCTATGTTAGGACCGAGAACTGAGATTGCTAACAGGTACATTTGTTTTAATAAAACATCTTTATATAATGGTTTATATTCTATATCACTAGCATCTCTGCTGCATACAGATGCATTACTCTTTAAATTTTTCGGCTTGTCCTGTACTATAACACATATAGTATACATTTAAAACATTGTTTTGAATCACTCTAACTATTGGTGAAAACTGCCTTGAAATATAACAGATCAGACAGCAGCTGCAACTATATTTTATACTATGTAAAGATTCCAGAAGATCCAAAGATTCCGAATAATGTACCTATATAACTGTATGTAACTGCAAATCTCTTTTATGTTATCATGTAATTTCCAGTCACTGCACTAATTTTAGTGATAAGATTTTCTCCCTCCCTTTATCTCTCTTATTGTAGTATAGACTGTCATATTTTTCTGAGCTTCTCTTATTCAGTTTTTTGTTGAAAATCTACATGTTTGTTTACTTTTGTTCTTGCATCACAGGATTTCGTAGAAGTAGTAAGTATAGGTTTGGATTTATTAATATTATTAAGACTAAAAATTACAAGTTTTTCTTGTCTGTTGTTTGGAAGTCTCTACTTAATTAACATTATGATGGAATAGAATAGAATAGAAAATCATTTATTGAAATAAACTTAATTTAAGCACTTTTGAATAGTCAAAAATTTTTTTTTAAATATACTGCTTATTTGGAAAGCTTTCTCATCACAAGAAGAATAAGCAAGAAACTTGTGTGTTGCTCTTTTAAACAATCCTTGTAAGTTCACATTTTACAAGTCAAAACGTGTGAATACAAACTACCAACCAGCACTAATTCATTTAGGCTCAAATATAAGAACACAATAAGATTAAATCAGTCGTAGTGATAAGAGCAGACCAGTCCCTACAAGCAGCACTCGTTCACGAGTATAACGGATGAGCCAACCATCACTGCGCTCGACCATATTTTAGGGAGCCCAATATCTGGACATTTTAGTGAGCATGACTACTCATTCCACTCGACCTCGTCATAGCTACTTATTTAGGTCATTTCATATTCTGAGAAACAAGTTTAGACTCGCCACACCACCCTTGCCGCATTGGAATCATATATGCCGTGTGAAATATGGGCATGTCATGTGCGATATTCAGCATTACATCGATAGTTGACATTGCCTTTTACTGAACCATTTTATATATTGTATTCGTTTATAACGATTTCTAGTCTTATAACAGGCATATTAATTTACAGATTCAAAAATTTCCTGCGTACATTCACCAACAGTAAAGGTCAATATGTATACAAAGATCGTATACGTCGTATGTGCGAGCACAATCAAGCATCGTTTCACGTCGAATTCGACGTACTCGCTCGTCGGGAACAAGTCCTTGCCTATTTTTTACCTGAAGCACCCTTCCAAATGCTGCAAATATTTGACGAAGTTGCTAAAGAGATTGTACTGCAAATATTCCCTAGCTACGAACGGGTGACGTCAGAGATTCATGTAAGGATATCTGACTTACCTCTCATTGAAGAGTTGAGAACGTTCAGGAAATTGCATTTAAATCAGCTGGTTAGGACCGTGGGTGTTATCACAGCAACCACTGGTGTGTTGCCGCAGTTGTCTGTTGTAAAATATGACTGTAACAGATGTGGTTATATATTGGGGCCGTTTGTGCAGTCACAGAACTCAGAAGTGAAGCCTGGGTCTTGTCCAGAGTGTCAAAGTGCTGGACCGTTTATGGTGAGATAATATTCTATTTAGACATCATATTTACTTAATTTACTTAATATTATCAAAAAATTTAGGACACACTTTCAGTATCAGTAGAAATTGCTATGATATCTTGAATAGTCCGGATTTGTGCATCCTTTATATTTCAGTAAAAGAACATACATGATGTTATACTTCTAAAATATATATGTAAATAAAAAATCAAAATCACAAGCTTTCAGTTAGCCTAGGCTTGAAATTTAGGTTTTCTTTGGCGACATACTTTAATTTACTTATTTCAAAAGCTGTTCAGGCTGGTTTTCCACTGTAAAGTTCAAGTAAATAAATAAATTCCCAGCATTAGGGAAAAAAAGTTAATGATTTGTGGACTATTATTAAGTGTCTTTATATGTTTAGAAACATTTTTTTGTAAATACATACATAAAATAAATAGAAAACACACAGAGCAATACAAGCAACCATACTCATGAATACAAATGTTTATACAAGAAATCGTACCACTAAACCACCGTCAACTCTCGAAAAAGTTCTAATCTCTTTGTCTCTAGTTAGGGTATCGTCAATAAAAAAACAATTTCATAATAATACTTATGTCTAGGTGAACATGGAACAAACAGTGTACCGCAACTACCAGAAGGTGACCATCCAAGAATCCCCGGGCCGTATTCCTGCCGGTCGTATACCACGTAGCAAGGACTGTATTTTGCTAGCTGATCTCTGTGACCGTTGCAAACCGGGAGATGAGGTTGATTTGACCGGAATTTACACAAATAATTATGACGGCTCCCTTAATACTGAACAGGTATGGTTTTTCTACTTTATAGATAATTTTTATTATCATTTCATATTATTTCAACATATTCATGATTTACTGCTGAACATATTAAAAATAAGTCTACACTTTATATCCACATTATGTTAACAACCTGTATTAATACATAAAGAAAACAATATTTTAAATAATGTGATCACTTATCTTATTACGTATCTTGAGAACTCAGGCCGATTATATAATTTTATATGATAAATAAATACTATCTGGCTAAGAAAGTCTATCTATATTAATATTATAAATGTGAAAATGTGTCTCTTTGATATATTCTAAATGGTTTAACAGTTCTAAATATATATTCTATTTGTCATGAGCATAGAATGTACCATGAGAATGAATATAGACTATGGACTATATAGAAACCAGATTAACCCATGAGTAACAGTTGTATTTCTTATTGCATCAATTTAAAAAATTCTAATGTTCATTCAAATACATCTCTCTTTTTAAGATTCAAAAACATTATAACAATATAAAGTCTATCTTCATCACAGGGCTTTCCAGTCTTCGCAACTGTGATAATCGCAAACTACATCGTAGTGAAGGACTGCAAACACATTGTTGAATCTCTGACTGATGAGGATGTGGCTAATATAGTGAAGTTGTCCAAGGACCCACAGATTGGAGAAAGGATTGTGCAGAGTATAGCGCCATCTATTTTTGGTCATGATTATATCAAGAGAGGGCTGGCTCTGTCTTTGTTCGGCGGAGAACCCAAAAATCCAGGTAACTTTTATTATTGTACAGCACAAGTCTAAATATGTAGGTTCAGATCCGGCTCGAAGGTACATATGTCCTGTATCTGTATAACACAGAAAGATAAATTTCCTATGACAAATTGCACCTCACCAATCATTTTAAATTTGGGAAATTTTGTTTTATTTAAGAAAATAAATCTTTACAAAATTTTAACTCTAATTTTAGGTGAAAAGCACAAAATCAGAGGTGACATCAATGTTCTTATATGTGGTGATCCTGGTACAGCCAAATCTCAATTCTTAAAGTATACTGAAAAGGTAAGTTTATTCATTTTTAAACTATTAATATTGTCAAAATTTTTTTTAATTTATCTCTTGATCTTAACTATATGATAATTTTTTATATATATAGATCGCTCCAAGAGCCATATTCACTACAGGACAGGGAGCCAGTGCTGTTGGTCTTACTGCTTATGTGAGGAAAAATCCTACTACCAGGTAAGTCATATTCATTCAGAGTTTAAGAAAGGCGCTTTTGTGGATCTCTGACTATTTCGTACAATCCTTCACCATTCTCTTTAAATGTTGACACATCAGAACTTAAACTACTTTTACTTAATCTACTTGATATAACTGGTACCTAAAATACAGATTTATACTTAGTTTAGGAAAAATGTGAATTGTAATTTCTTTTTAGAGATTGGACATTAGAAGCTGGTGCACTAGTCTTAGCTGATCGTGGAGTTTGCTTGATTGATGAGTTCGATAAGATGAACGACCAAGACCGCACCTCCATACACGAAGCTATGGAGCAGCAATCCATTTCTATATCCAAAGCGGGTATTGTCACCTCCCTTCATGCTAGGTAAGTAATGATATGAAATAATAATGTTTTATTGTTCTCATCATACATAAAAAAAAAACATTTACGTAATCTATTATGTATAAATCATATAACAATGAGCAAGACAAGTTAAAACCGCCCATTGCCCAATGGGCAGTTTTAACGCTAAACAACGATCTCTTCCCTGCAAACTTAGGATTATTAAACTGAGCATTATTTATCATAATCATCTTATTCTGTATTTATATAAAGTGGGATCAACTTTTCGCGGTGGAAATTGGAAGTGATGACTATATTCAGTACTAAGAGCTGAGCAATGTTTTTTTATTTATTTTTATATCAAACAAACTCCATTAACACTTAACTGTGTTTTATATAACTAGACTAATTACTTCCACATGAAGCTAGTGTGTGACGCAATTAAATGTTATTAAGAAATAATAAAAATGTAATTAATTACAAACTATTATTAGGAATTTTATTCACATAACTGAAGCCAAAACAGTCGTCCCAGGTACAGTCAGTTTATTATTAATTATTTAATTCCATTTATTTCCCAGATGTTCCATAATAGCTGCCGCCAATCCAATCGGCGGTCGATACGACGCGTCATTGACGTTCAGTGAAAATGTGAATCTCTCCGAGCCCATCTTGTCTCGTTTCGACGTACTCTGCGTCGTGAGAGACGAAGCGGATCCAATGCAGGACGCACACTTGGCCAAGTAAATTTTACTAATATTATAAATGACAATAGTACACTTGTTAATTGCTGATATATAAGGAACAGAAAAAAATATATATACATGCAGAAGTTTGTGATTGTGTATGAATAGAAGAATGGATATTAGTTACTCTTTCAGGCAAAACTACTGAATGGATTTTAATGAAAACTTTACAATAATATAGCTTATACATCAGAATAACAAATAGGCTACAAGTTGCACGCGTAATAATAGCTTGTGTTATCGGTACTAGACAACTGATATAAATACATAGATTCATTTTTTATGTACATAATGTACAAATACCCTGACTGATACAAACAATTATACTCATGGATACAATTGTTTGTACCGAGGAATCAAATCTGCGTCCATAAAGTGTGGGGGGTGCTAAATTGCTAGCACCACTACCACCCAAGCCGCATTACATAATAAAAATTGTTTCTCACAGGTTTGTAGTAAGCTCACATATCAAGCATCACCCGACACAGCGCGGCACCGCCCTCGAAGACACGACTGGGCCAGACCCAGATTTCTTACTGCCGCAAGATTTACTCAAGAAATATATTGTTTATGCGAGAGAGAACATTCATCCAAAACTACAGGTGAGCTAGAAACTAATATTTACATAGTATAAAACGAAGACGCTTTCGCTTAAGTCTTTTAAACTATGCAACGGAGTTTAATGCAATTTTAGCAATAAAATTATTCAAGAAAAGATTTATATCTATAATACATGCATGTTATAGTATAGAATAAACCAAGAGAAAATAACCAAGAAACATAACCAAACATAACATAATAATTAATATAACCAAGAAACCGAGACGAGTTATATGTAGTGTAAAATAAAATATTGTTACCATATATTGTACTGAATTATTCAGAGAAAGATGTATTCGTGATTATATTTTCCCGTAACTCTCAAATAGTACAGAATTTGTTAGGGTGTGTATTTCCAAGTAATAGGTTTATCCGCTTAAACTGATTCTGAATTAATGATATTTGAATTAATTGTGCCGCTATTTATGATGATGTTACAAAAGAACAGTACATGAAAATTGAAATCGATGCTTTTTTTTTTAAACCTTCTCCAACTTTATTATTACTGCTAGCATTGCCAATCTAATCCAATAAATATTTAAATCTATTTTCTATCGGTATTTTCTAAGAAAACCTTATATGTACTGAATACTGACACTCTTCATTTGTAAATCTTTCCAGAATATGGATCAAGATAAAGTGGCGAAAATGTACAGCCAGCTGAGACAAGAGTCACTCGCCACTGGCAGCTTACCAATTACCGTCAGGCATATCGAGTCTGGTTAGTATTAAATACACTAATATTAGTTTTAATTAATCTTTCTTAGTTAAGGTATATCCTATAACTAGCGATGCTTCCTCCCGACTTGCTCGTATGCAATTATTGTTACGATCTCTATTTTTTTACATAAAACAGCTAGCTTACTGTTGCTCTACTTTTAATACAGTCTATTTGTGTGTGTTGCTCTCTGGACATCACTTTATCATGTGATGCCTGAGATAGAACACATACTTTATCTTTTCTCTTATCCTGTAATGAATACGGTTTTAAGATGGTCAGTTTACTCATAAGAAGTGCTTAACAAACTCTGGGGTTACACTGAGGATGCGCTGTTATAGTATTCTTATTTACATATACCTTCTTGTTGTTATTATTATTTAAGCATAAGTTTCTATTTCCACCACACCACGATTCCTTTCAGTCATTCAAAGGTTGACCGGCAGAAATCCCTAATCTGCCATTGTACAATTTCTTTATTTTTTAAGTTTAATGTATACTGTTATTTTAACAAAAAAATGTTACAACCTATTATTTATAAATGAATAAAAAATTCTTTTTTTAGCATTGTAATAACTCATAATAAAAGTTAGCCCTACGTGAATTCCTGCTGCAATTCATTGCTATTATTTTACAGTCATCCGTATGAGTGAAGCCCACGCGCGGATGCATCTCCGCGCGGCGGTGTCGGAAGCTGACGTCAATATGGCAATCCGGACTATGCTTGAGAGCTTCGTTGAAACGCAGAAGTACAGCGTCATGCGCGCTATGCGACAGGTAAACCTCTAATATTATTATCACAAGCTCACTTGTAGTAGAGATTATTACAATTATAATATAGTAGAGATCTCACAGTTTTGGAAATTAATATACAATTAACCTATACCACATGTTTCTCGCTAATGAAATATCTTTCTATAGATAAAACTATTTTTTTAAATTGTTTGTTTTTTATATTATGTAATTTGCATCTAATAAAGTATTTTCACCAAATAAAATCATTTAATACTTATTATAGTTAGTGAAACATATTATTTTGTTGTGAAAATGTAATATATAACAAGTCTTCCACAACGTATAAAAATAAATTTCGTAATTATTTGTGATATGAGCATGTATATACTTAAAAAATACAATCTAATTAGAAGCTTCCCCTTTATAAAGTAAAATATATATAACTCAAATACTTATAATAAGTATTCTTTTGCAGACATTCCAGAAATATCTATCATATAAAAAGGACCACAGCGAACTCCTGTATTACATCTTAAGGCAGCTGACTATGGACCAATTGGCTTACATGCGCGGACTTCACAACCATTCACAATCGACAATCGAAATCTCAGAGCGAGATCTGACGGAACGAGCCAGGCAAATAAATATAACAGATCTCAAACCGTTCTACGATAGTAGAATATTTAAAATTAACAGTTTCTCCTATGATCAGAAAAGGAAGATGATAATTCATACGCTGCCGGACACTCCAACTGCATCTTAATTAGGTTTAGTATGCACCGTTAATGAACTGCATTAACATAAAAAACATTTTTTTTTTATCTAATTGCAATGGTCAAGATATCTGGTGGTAAGTGGTAGTCATCCCCTATATACATGACTAATACTATGGACATCACGTTATCATATGACGCCCGCTATACTACTCATGCGTTGCCATTCCGTAGTAATCATATTTGGGGCTGTTCAAGTATTACGTAAGCAGATTTATCACAATTATTTACCCCTCATCCCCCGTTGTCAGCAAAAGTAAGCAAAGCTCTTACCCCTCCCCCCATGCTTACGTAAACATTTCTCAATTAATGTATTGTTTTTTTAACAAAAACAATGTGAGGGTTGCCATTCGTGTAAAAAAGTAAATTACGACCGATGACGTAATCATCATACAGACTCCCCCACCCCCATGTCATCCAAAATAAGCAAAGAAAAGACGCCCCGCCCCCCTATAGTGCTTACGTAATACTTGAACGGCCCCTTTCCAGTAATGTAACTTTTTTATAACTAGTAAGGGAAGTGTTTACGATCGAACATGATGTATCTCCTGTTTATTTCGGACGTTTATTTTAATATAGAACGAACACTAATAATATATCAATTCTCATCATATAAAATTATCGAACATTAATTAATTATTTAACAGGAATAAAGACCACCGTAAATAATAAAACTGATAATCTTTATATTAATAAAATCGAATCAAATATATTTCTTAACAAAGGATCTGAATCAAGTAGCTTAAATCAAGTACACACTATTTTGCCTCGTATAGCATAAGAGGGAACCCTATTTCCATATTAAGACTTTATAAATGTCGGAAAATCTCTTAATACAGAATATCTAACAAATATCCTATACCTCTGCTTAAACATCGTAGAAAAAGATTAGGTAAATAACTTTTTTTTCTTTAAGTACAAATATATTAAATAACTAGTAATATAAGTTATTATACTGTATTTTACAATATGCTAAGTTACATGTATCGTACATATTAAATGTTAAGGTTTCAAATGAGATGACTGGATAATTTGGAATCTCATTAAAATATCAGTGAATTTAATCTGTATATTTTTTTACTGTATTCATTTTCTCAATTATGATACAATATATATACGTTATATTTACCGCTATAAGTAGTATTGAACTCCAAGTCGCCTAATCACAGGTCGACAAAGCTCATAATATACTCACGGTAAATATCCGTCTAAATAATTTATACAATACATTTTTTATAATGTTAATAGCCCACCAATGCCTCTGTTTTTCTTTTTAGGTGTTATAATGTGAATTTAGTTATTATTAAGTAATGTTAAGTTTAGTACTTGCCCTTTGTGTTGTGTTTCAATTGTTGATTCAAATCTATTGATATTAAAAAAAATTCGTTACCACTGTCATCATAATTATGGAAAATTATTATAGATCAATGAAAATATTTGTATGATTAATAAATATTCATTTACTACGCTTCCACAACATTATTTGCTAATAAATTAGTTTCATTAGGGAAACAAAAATCCATAAGACCTTTAAATTTACTCAAAATGTTTTGGTCACTTGGCAAATTTCCTATTCAAACCAATTCTCTTTGGTCAAACTCAACCCATGTATTTAAATTCTATTAATAATAATATGAATGTAATCCTACTGTACAGTATTTCAGATCAGTGATGCAATTGATATATTTTGTAATAAATGGCAGAATGATAATTTATGCTTTATTGATCAATATATCGCTTTTAAAATCTCAATTAAAGTATGTTTCAATTACTTGTTTTTTTTTATTTCTGGTGATATGTATAATTTGCCTTATTAAAAAAGCTGTGAGATTATCGAGTATTTCATTTTCTTTCAACATTCTCTCATTGTCCTGAAAATAGAAGGTATGGTAGATGATAAAGCTGCTAAACAAAACCACAGCAATTTCTTTATGACTGTTCTACAAATCAACTTACTTGAGCAATATGCAAATGACAATAGGTAACAGGATTAAAACTAATAGTGAAATGATTATAAAAAAATGTTACAATTGAGAAATTTCCGAAACAGAAAAGAGACGCTTACTAAATATCCTTTTATATATGACTAATTACAATTTACCTGCTGTTACAATGAACATCTACAAGCCTGTAACATGATGGTTCTAACCTTACCACTGTAGCGTTGCCTTGGATGATCTGTCGCTACTCATTTATTACACTATCGCACCTTAAAAAAATTCTAAAAAACTGAATATTTAGAACATGTAGGTACAAATGCGGTCTTATCGCTTAAGCAATCACTTCTGAACAATCTTTGGGTAGAGAAGAAAAAACGGGTGGTGGATGCTATTTAATTTATTTGTTCTCTGTACTATATTGGTAATTAATTGTATATTTGTTATACTGACATTTATAATTTTATTTGATGTATAAATAGGCCCATGATACGTATACCGACTTACACAAAAGCGAAATCAAAGTTATGTACAGATATAAACAAATGGAACTATTGAGAGAACATTGTAAATTGTTTGTACATTAAACTATAATATACTTACATATTGAATATAGACAAAAAAATCACCTGATTTTCATTTTTACTGTTTCGAAGATATTTGGTAATAGAAACACCACTAACAAAACAAATTAGTCTGAGAGAGGGTGTTAGTTACGTCCTTATATTATTGGATTCAAATATATCAAATATCAACTATGATAATCATTGATGATGTTCAACACTTGATGAAGTATTAGACTACCGTACATCACTAATTTTTATTATTATTTTTTAATTAAATTATCATTAAAAATTAAAAATTGATCGGATGTCAAAAAAAAATATTAATCTGTTCTTTTTATGAAACAAAAAATAACAATTTATTTGAATAAAACAAATAATGTATGTTCAAATTTTAATTAAATCATTTCATATCAAATTTTCCACCGAGTTTTTCATCTAAATACATTTACAGACATATGAAGTTACTAACTAGTCGCAAAAGATTTATTTTCTCCTAAACACTTACATTTTTCTTATATAGTGTTACATTTTAAAGAAAATAAAATAAAACCACAGATATAAATACTTATCTATAAAGTTTTACTACAGCATTTTATTACAAAGCCTTTTATCAGTTATGTCAATGTAATGTTAAAACCACTAGCAATATTATTAAAATCATTTCATATATTATTAACTAAATCACTAAATCATAAATGTTATGCTAAACTATCCTCTTACCAATAAACAAGCTGAGTATTTAACAATATTCAATCTAAAATGGGACTGAAATTAGATCACAAAATCATTAGACAACTTGGCTGTCTTTAATCACATTTCTTACTTATAGAGAGACTTGTTTTTAACAAATGTGACCAACTAATATAAATACAATACTTATATACAATAAGATAAAATCTTTTTGAGCTAATACTATTATATTTTCAAATTGTTTATCAGCATCTGAGGAATTACAAAGACGATACATACAATATTAAAGACAAAAACAAAATTATGTACTACCCACCTTACACAGAACTTATTTTTACATGTGATCATGCACATAGTTGTAGATTAACTGAAGAAATATTAGACTGTCCTTTTAAGCAATTTGTGACAATGTGTTAAGCATGAGCAATCTTGTTGAATACAAATATTATATATAATGACCAGCATATTTAATTACTCAATACTTATATGAAAAAATAATAAAAATGAAAAATATTCAGATAAATAAAGTGCTGTGACACTTTATTTTAATTAAATTAACTTATGAATAGAACTTTATAGGAGAACTATTATTTAAGAATCGCTACCAGATTCTGATTCACTGCCGCTGTCACTGTCACTCTCGGAATCGCTGCTGTCGCTTCCTGACGATGAGCTGTCTGAGGAGGAATCTGATGAACTGCTAGATGAAGAACTGTTGTCTGAACAGTCAGAACAATCTGAGTTTTGACGTTTCTTCTTGTTCGGTATCTTGCAAGCACCTTTGCTGCAGAATTAAATATGTTTAACTTAGTAACTACATTTGGTACCACAAAAAAAGTTACTTCACTTATTCAGAAATATGGTCAGGTCAATAAAATATTTTTAATTGAAAATTAGGCAACTGAGAGTTTTAAGGGAACTGTTGAAACTGAATCAGTCTTTTTTTTTGGTGTTATAAATATCTTGATGTCCCTATATAATATTGAAATATTAAGATTAGAAATCAATAATAAAAGAAATAATTTAATTATCGAACAATATTGTTGCAGTGAAAATATTATGGAAGTGGAGGGTAAATCAAAAATTATTAAAAACCGTTACATATCTAAAACTGCACAATAGATGCAAATTATTTTTCAATGTTTTATACTTACCTACAGTTGCCCTCTTCCTTTACATCCTTGTTTTTTAAATTCTTCTTAAGAATTTGAGTACGCGACGGGCGAACTAAAATTTTGCGTTTTCCCTTGCATTCATAGCTCCAGTGTCCATATTCCAGGCATTTTTGGCAACGTATGCCTTGAGGAAAGGCTGCTGCTAAAGCAGCTTGCCTGACAAAAAATACTCATTATCATGTATATAGAAGAAATTAAAACATTAATATTAGGATTATATATAAAATTACTTACTTTTTCTTCTCCGCCTGGTGTCTGTTATAAGTACCCAAAGTCATATTGATGAATTTTATTAGATTTCGGTACGGATAATGGATAGTTGTGTTCTCAAACCCTGTTGGAAAGCAAATGATTAAAAAACTTGAAAATTACTATTATATTGTAAATAATTTGATTTGATATGTACTGCGATTAAAATAAATTAGGTAGGTATGAATAAATCAAAACTAACCATCAAATGCAACATCAAACAAGAAAATTATTTAGTGTGATTATCAGAATTTGACAGTTGACATTAGGTATTTGGCTAAATTTCATAGTTCGCCTTCCACAGATACTACATCGAATCAACATAGTTGGACGTATTGATACCTTTTTCATTGAGTATATCTTAATTGTACCCTTGATTCTGATAACACGGAGTCCGTCTCTTCAAAACAATGGAAACCATATTCTTGACCTAGAAGTTCTGTCCCAGACACATTTATTATATAATATCAATAAATAAAATTAATTCATTATGATCCATACTCCTAGATAATGTAATAACCTTAATTCCATTTGTCAAAATAGACATGGTATTGACAGTGACACATAACTTTTTCTTACGTGTACCAGAACATTTTTCTTTTTTTTTTAGTGTTTGGTTTGACTGGTTTCGACTATCATTTTTGTTATCTAAAGTTTTCATAATTTGTAATATTTTGTAAAGTTTCATAATAGAATAAACACCGATTTTTTTCGGTTTTATAATGTCCGAAATTTATTTTGCTATAATAAAATGTCGGATTGGTACTGGAAAGTCATAGCTTTGAAGGCGGCATTCATTTTAACATGTTTTTCTTCTTATATTCGGTCGGATGATAATATCAAGAGGATACCCTTCTGTAATCCACATAATGTAGAAAACGGTGTTCCAGTTATTACCGAGTGAGTTTTAATACCTAAAATAACAGTACATTTAATATTCCAATTTTGCCGCTCTAAGTATTACGATTTAGAATTATGTAAACAAAGTTAATATAGTCATCAAATTATCTTATCTTCATATAAAATGTATTAATTGTATCCTGAAGTACATTTAAATTTAGAGATTCAAGTAATTATTAATATTACTCTTAAAAAAAATAATTAATGTTCTAGTTAAACTTGTCCTGACATGTTCTTATGTATTTCAATGGAAGCTTCTAGATTCCAGATAGACTATCATGTTTATGATAGTCTCAGTTTCTTAGTTTTACCAGTGCACTGCAGACTGCACAGAACATTTTGAATACTTAGGCAGTGTTAAAATAATGAAAGAGTATGTAATGAAGTTAAACATAAGTTTATAGTTATACATGTCTGAAAGTTAAAAAATATAAATAATATGTTTAATATAGTTATAATATGGCAAGTATATTATATTTTTTTATATAAGTATGTATATGAAAATATATTATAGTCTAAGTATTATCAAAGTTTCTGCTGCTACACAATTTTAAAAAGATATGTTTGATATTTATTTCATTTTAGTTTTAAATATAATAGAGATATTCAAATTTAAATTCCCATACCTATGATTATTTCCTATAAATAGTAGTAGAATTGAGTGAATACTAATTTCAGCTCCTAGGGACCCAAGTCTCAACTCCTAAGTTATAGATTTCATTATTGTTTATTTACACAAACATTGTGCAGTCAATGTTCAGTTCCTTGCTATACAACAGGGGTTCCCAAACTTATTTTGTCTACTGTCCACTTTGAGAATACATTATTTTTTACCACCCCTATTTTTTCACCTACTTAAAATCCACTGTTACTTCAAATTAAATTAGTCAATTATTGACATGATTTTTATTTTATGTATTCAATAAAACAGGACATATATAGGACAACCGAATTTGAACAGTCTCAACTAATATAGTTGATGTTCACAAGTTGTAGTTGAGAGTCGTGAGCTCATGCAGTCAGTGTTTAAGAGGCCTCCTATCTAAATGAAATTACAAATCACAATAAAATTAATGAAATACTTTTTTTTAATAAAGCAGGTCCCATAAAAATATCTGGCTAATATTTTTGTTTATTTCCCATTATAATTATTTGAATTCTGATGGATGTTCATAACTTGTAAGGCCAAATAGCCGGTTTTCTAGTTCAAGGACAATGTTATAAAAAAAACCTAATGATATGAAACATATAATGCATTAAGTGTTTATTTTGAATGCATGCTTATTCTGCTTTTGTCTATGGTGGAAATGAACATGAACAGAACATGTTAATTATCAATCAGTAAGTTAATGATTTTGACTCCAATGATACCAGTTGATTTTTAAAGAAAGAATTTGTGAGGTGCCAAATTTTCAGCTGTAAATAAAATAAGTTTTTTTACAGTTTATGCATTTAAGTTGAGTTTGTAGTTAACATAAAGTTGAATTTTCATTATATTTGATGATTTGATTGGTGATAAATGTTATTGAAATATGGGGTGGTTTCTGATGGGCTATGTAAAATTGCAGTCTCATTGCATTTATGGACTACCTGTTCTTAAATTGGTTACCATGCCTATACATATTAGTATTATTAACAGATTTTGTAAAACGTATTGTTAATAGTGAGACTTGTGAGAACTGAGATATAAGGGAAGTACTCGCAGAATGCATTAACCTAACATTGTAAATTTAACCCTTTATATTGTGCAGCATGGTGAAGATTTCCAAGCACTTACTGCTTGGAAACCTTCACCCAATAGTTTATAACTTTTTACCCAATAGTTTAAAGACAATACTTAATGGAAAGCTTATTAAGGGCAGCTTTATTTATAGTGCATATATTTATTTAGTGCACAACAAAATAACTATTATAAAATTATAAAAAAAAGAAATTTAATAAATAAGTTTGAAGTTTCTATTATGCATTTAAGTTATAAATTCATTTATAATCTTTTACTTTTAAAAATTCCTTAAGTTTGAAGATGATAAGAGCACCAACTGGTCATGAAGAGACCATTTGACCCTATATATACATAAATTACAGTGTTACAGTGTTATTGCATAAATAATACAGGATTAAGACAAAATGTACTAACTAGATCACTTTATATATACTATCATACACTACATATATACATACATAGCAATCACACTAATATACTATACATGTGGCAGTTTATGAAGGTTTTTAGATGTTAGTTATTTAATCATATGTCTACAATGCAATTTGAAATTGATAAGGAATACCATAATAAGAAACAAGCAATCTTGTCCAGATTATATTGAGTTAGAACTTTATGCATTATATTATATGTGTTGAAGACATTATACCATAAACCATATTTGTAAAATTGTATTGGATTATATAAATTAGATCACATTTACATGTAATAATAGAATAAGTAATCATTGATATAAAATGAAACATTACTAATTAATGAAAGACTTCTATAAATATTAAATATATTAAGTATATTTACTTATAGAAGAATTTTATTGTTTGGTATTTATTATGATTATTTTATTAATGTAATTTACCACAATCTATAAAACATTAGGGTTTATTGAATTGTCTGTGGGGATGTTGACTCAACATGATATGTCACTTTGACAATGACATTTTATTTACAACTATGGGAATGTAAGATTTTCCATTAAGGATAAACAGAACCAAAAAAAAAAAAAGGGAATGTAAGAAATTGAAAAGTCATCTTTACAGTTTTTTATGTTAATTGGCACATCCCACTAATATATAAATCCTTAATGATTATATATTAGTGGGATGTGCCAATATTGTTATTCATTATTATTAGTTCCAGTAATATAAGGTAAATGCATTTATTCTTTACATATCTTGCATGGATTCCTTGTTAAATATTTCAAGTGCTGCAATTGTTACACTATATATATTATGAATCAAGTTAGGAAATATTAGAATTCTTATTATGGATTAATCTTTTTATTGTAAAAGTACATTGCTATGTATTTTGCTAATTTTTATATTAACCCCATTAAAATGTAATATTTATACGATATATAGAGAGATAGACATTTTATGAGAAATAATCTCTAAAACCACAACATTGATTTGAGATTTTTTTTTATTTTACGGTCTTAAATTTATATTACTCCAGAGTGGCATAGAATTTTATTGTTTTATTTGTTAGTTTGGATGTCTAGGGTAACCACTAGTACTAAAGATTCAATTTGGAAAACATGTTAGTGTCATATGGTCCATTTATTGAAGAAAGCTCTAAATAACACTGTGATCAATAGGAGCACAACAGTAATGATAATGTTGCGAAAACGGTAAAAGAGTAGATGTGACATAGCTGATGTTGCATGGGTCAGTTAGTTAAGTAATAAAGTTATATTGTCCCAAGCTGAACTTCTGTTACATACATAATATACATAGAAAACACCCAGACTGATACACAACAATCAAAACAATCTTATGCATGACTCTTGAATGGCCTGTGAATGGATTCGAATCTATGACTATCAGAAGGTAAGCAGAATGCGAAGCTACTAGACAGGAGAGGTTGTCTACAAAACTTAGCATTATTAATATGTAATATAACATACCATTGTTATATAATTGAAACCTCTACTTAAATACACATGTTTGTTCATAGCTTGGTAATCGTGAGCACATTAGATGGAAGATTGACAGCTTTCTCAACAAATGATGGCACTAAAGCATGGGATTTACAGACTCAACCGCTATTGTCATCCAATCTCCATCATGTTGAGGTGAGCTCCCTCTAAGAATTTTTTCATCTCCATGTACCTCTCTATGTTTATTTTCAACTTATAATTGCTATAATCATCAACAATGTAAAAAAGAGTAACAAATGAACCTTATTAGTTGTTGTTTAATTATTGAAATGTTGAAGTTAGTAGTTGTTATATTATTGAAATGTTGAATGAATGGAATGGAATGGAAGCAAGGTGGACCGACGATCTGGTCAAGATCGCTGGAAGGCATTGGATGCGAGCAGCGCAGGACCGATCGTCGTGGACATCTTTGGGGGAGGCCTTTGTTCAGTAGTGGACGTCTTCCGGGCTGAGATGATGATTAAAATGTGATCTATTTTGTTATCCTTTTATGGGTCAAATTTATCTTTTGTCTTTATTGATTCACTATTATTTGGATATTCATATTATACTTATAATTTCAAAACTGACAGAACTTGTAAGCTTAAAAATATTGTGAAGTTGATAGATTTTTAGTATTGGAAAATTAAATTACAATATTTATTTAATGAATTTTATTATTCGTTTTTATATACTACATAGGTTTAAAAATTAAATTCCTTACGCCAATATTTATTGTATTATAAATTAATAATTAAATACTATTTGGTATCTCTTGCAATAAGTATTATTATTTTTTTCATACATAATAATTATATTTATTTACAATTATTATGTATGAAAAAAATAATAAGATACTTTATTGAGGTTGGTTAAGGCAATCTTTATTAAATTAGATATGATGTAAGCTTCAATTGTTTCGAATTTAGTTAACATCTGGTGGCAAATGGGTGCGACTGGTTCCGTCACTTCGTGGAGGACTGTACAGCCTGAGTGGAGAAACTATAGAGCCACTCCCATTTGATGCTGAACAACTGTTGTCATCTTCTTTCAAGTATTCCGATGATCTTGTCATAGCGGGTAAGTATTGTACAAAGATCGAAAATATTATATCTGTTTACAAGAAAAAAAAATGTTTAGCAATTTATATGTGTGACTGACTCTCGGTGATGGAATAAACTGATCAAACAAACTAGAACCATAGAAAACCAAACAAACCAGAGTTAAGTGTTGTATTTAGCACTACGTTGACTTTTTATGCCTCAGACTACCCCATAGGGGGGGAAAGGGAATGTTAGTAATGTAGATTAATAACCCCATTGTTAGCAAAGTACCATGTCAGATTGACCTCCACGCAGTTCCCACTGGAAACCATCATGTTAAATTCCTGGTGAATTTGCCACAATGGACTAACTGATCTAACCTCATACTTTTCTTATTATCCTCCACTGGTGCCCCGCTAGCGTATACAGTTAGCGCAGGCGAGTGCACCAGTTCATTATCATCCCTTAAAAAAAGACATATACTAGACTAGTTTATTGTGTTTTAGTAATCTTATTCTGAAAACGTAATATTATTTTTTATATAAAAAAAGGTTTTATTCCAATCCAATCTGTCCTCAACTCATTTCCAGTGCAGATAAAAATAGCAGCAAGTAGCAGATTTCTATGATAGTCGTACTATTCGTATAGTGCTATATGAATTAGATTAAGATATGACGCAATTGAATTGGAGTAAAATTGGGTTTTTCTTAGACTGAACACTGTATTATTGTAGAAATGTTTGTTGTGATGTCGAAGTGAGTCATTACAAGTATTTGTCGTTATCAGGCTCGTTATCGACATTATATTGTTTGATACTCTTCTGGTTTGTTTCTTTTATATGAATAGCTAATAAGCTATCGATTTTTTATTAGAAATAATAGCTGCCGTGTCATTTGTATACAAAATATGTATACAAATGTACGTACACAACGTTTATAATAAACTATACCATACGATGGTTGAAATATGATAGTGAAATTAAAGGATAAGCGACGTCGCATTTTTTTCCGGTATGACAGTTTTCTTTTTAATAGGTGATAATGGAATGCCCCGTCAGCGTAAACGGTTAGCGCAGAGGGGTGCACCATTAGGGATACACCATTCCATTATCATTCATAAAAAAAATGTTATTTCTTTAGGAGCACGTGAGACATTATGGCTAGGCGTGGACGCGAGTACAGGCGGCGTAGTTTACGAGTGCGGGTCTAGCGGTTGCAACAGTGAACAACAAAGGGCTGGCGCCGGCATTGATGTGCTGGTTCTACGGCGACATTCCAGCACCCTGCGTGCTCTTGACCCCCGGAACGGACATGAGAAGTAAGTTATAATTTTTACCGTTTGTTCGAGTTATTCTTAGGGACCATCTTTTAATAACATTATGCTCGAAAGGGGAGTTCGGTAATAATCACGAAAGATGATAAGGGTGAAACAGGGTGTAATAAGATAGCACGTGTATTTTTGTTCGTCAGACGCGCGATCTCTAAACTTCTGTATTTTTCATTAGCATATGATTTACAAAACTTACATAGATAATCAACACCTAAATTTAAAAACAAAAGTCAATATTGTTAAAATATTTTAAAAGTCGCTAAGAGTTGGACATTTTTATTTTTTTTATATTAAATATTTACTAGCCAAAAGATGCGTCCAACGTACCGTAATAATAAGATATAACTGTTATCTATGCCTGCATTGTGAGTAACAGTAGAGTCGCATAAAACTAGTGAAATTCATTATTACTGTTTGGTACAGATGGAACTTCAGTGTCGCGGAACACCAGCTAGCACTGAGCCGGCGGGAATGCATGGGACCCAGCGGACCCGCGTCGCCGGTGACGGTGGGGGTCGCGTTACCTGAAGGGGTGGTGGCTATCCGTCGGCCTGGCGATGCCGACGTACTCTGGAGACAAAAGGTACAGACGACTACACAGCTTGCTTCTTTTAATTTACTTAATGATATATGTAGGTAGATTCTTTATGCACTAAATACAAACACATAGTATTCATTAGGTACAGAAAAGATACATTTACAAAGGAAAGACATAGTGGCTTTATGTGTCGCAAGGGTGAAAGCAAAACAAAGTTTTAGTACAAATTGAAATTATCATTATCTCTACGGTGGTTTTTTAAAGAAGATATAATATCAGATGACCAAGTCGCTTGGTAAATAAAAGAAGTCCCAAACTATAACGATTAAACGAACATTATTGCGCCTAAAACTAGTGTCGATTAGAAATAAAAACATGGTAATAAGTTATGACTTTTACATTGTTAGAGATAAGATATATTTCCTCTTCCTTATTGAAGTATTGAAAATCAGAATTACGTAATTCTTTTACTATTCAAATTGAATACAATCGACTTTGTTACGAATAATATGGTATCAACATGGGTACCTCAGTCTCACCTATTAGAATCTCCACACAGCTTGCTATAAAGCTTATTTTTCTGTGATGATATAGTAAAAATATAGAACAAAAGGAATAACATCATAGTCCTTCCGACTAGCAACATTGCGTGCGTCCCATGATAAAGTGATGTGGTAGTGCTATATTTTTTTTACGGATGATATGGAAAGCTGCTCTCGTCCTTCGCTAACGGTTTACGCTAGAGAGGTACCAGATATAGATTGAACACGAAGTCAGGTCCGTAAGCCCATCGTGACAAATTCGCCAGGAATTTATCATGACGGTGACCAGGGAGAACCGCGTGACAGTCGACATGAGATAATGTAGTGCTACCCATGAGATTGTCCACATTACTAACAAACCTCTTACCCCACATAGTGCTATTCGCGACTGTTATCGCTTACCATCAGGTGGGGCGTCAGCTTGTAAGCCACTCCAATTACATTACGAACTATTGTAATATAAGTCCTATGTGTCTGCAGTTGGAGGCGCCGGTAGCTAGTGTGTGGCGGCTTCAGGGTGGCTCGCTACAGAGCGTGGACGTCGTGTGGGAGGCCGCTCGAGCACTCGCCAGCCCTGGCGTTACAACATCCCCGTCCTTGTACATCGGCCTGCACAATGATCAGGTTTGTTTTTTTTATAATAATATTATTTATTTTAATTCGGATTACATCCATATTTTTTTTTTATTATTATATATTTTATTTCCTTCTGTTCTTCATAGATCTTCGTATTCATTTTTTTTTAATAAACATCTTATAAATATAATAATATAAGAGATATGTGCTAGGAAAACCTGTCTTACAGTATTCCACTCCATACTCGGCTCACAGGTTATTAGACCGTTCTGAACTTAGACTAGAATTAGAGAAATTTAGACTAGGCAACAAACTAGTAGTAACTAGTATGTTTTATTATTACAAATAATTTAATAGCTTTTCTACAAAAAGATGTTTCATGTGCTAACAGTATAGAACTGCAAGACATTATGCTTAATTTCTAATTCTTGACATGGACTGTTACTAACATATACATCTGTATTCAACAGTTGTACGTCCAAGAAAGTTTAACATACACTCAAAAATTAGAGACTGCAGTATCAAGCCGACCTCTACCATGGAAAATGCTTCACTCCCGACCTCTCATAAATGGTGATGAAAAAGGGTTGTCCATACAAGAACCTGACCCTAACAGCTTATCTCTTATGACGTTATATGGCAATACTAGGCAGATGGGTAAGAAAGTGTTTTTTTTTAATAGCTAATAACTCATAGAAATATTATAACAAGTGTTGTTGGAACGTTGTGTATAGGTGGATCGACAGTTTTTTTATGTATTTATAATAAACAAATTTACTGCCCATTTGGCGGTACTCACTAATCGTCGTCGATATACATAAACGATGTACGTTATCATGTAGCGCCTCGTATGAGATGTTATACTTACGTATCCTGTAATTTCACTTCAATATCTCGCTCTTCAGTCGAAGCACCGGTTACAAACCTTACTTTGCGGTTACCTAAAATAGCTGCGATAGAGGTACCCAGAGACAATTTTTTCAAAGTTTATCTCTGGTAATATATTTAATTATATTACCTCAGTTAGTGTCAATGTTTTAAGGGTACTAGACACTGATATAAATACTTAGATATTTTCTTTGTAATACATAAAAAACACCCTAACCGATACAAACAATCATAATCATGAATACGAAATGTTTTTTACCATGCGAAGAACCGAACCCGGGATCATCGAAAGTTAGGTTATGTGATAAACTTCGAGTCCACGATATCCGTTAACAACTTTTAAAATATCAGAGTCTATTACTAAATTGTGCTATTTCTTTGCAGGCAGTCACGGTTTCTTTCTTTACCTCCAAGAGACTTGCGACCAGGCAGTCCAAGTGTCTGAGGACACCAATATTCCTGATATAATATTACCGAACAGCAGTGATGAAGAGTTTGACCATCACATCCATGTTCACGTCTCTTCACTATGGTATTGGTGGAAAGAAGTCCTAGTAATAGTCGCCAGTTCAGTACTACTTTTCAATTTGATTGTTTGGCCCAAATTATTCCCGTCGAAAGACAGACCGTCCACCACTTTGCCAGTAGTGGAGCCGCCGCCCCCGTACCAGCCACCCGTTGTGACAAATACGCCCGAGTTTTCAAGTAGATACGAGACAGACTTTACGCCTTTGAGATGCCTCGGTAGGGGGGGCTTTGGAGTGGTGTTCGAAGCGAGGAACAATATTGACCATAGAGATTATGCTATCAAGAGGATTACGTTGCCAAGGAAGTGAGTATTTTTTATTTATCTTTACATGGTGTAAAATTGTTATTAAAAGTCGTTATCACTGTCTGTTCGCTTATATCTTTCAAATTAAGTAATGGAATTTATTGCAGGTTTCAGCAATAAATAGAGTGATTCATGAGGAAGGTTTATATGTATAATATGTATTATAGTATACAATAAGCTGAGAAATTCAAAGATTTGTAATGCATCCGTGGGAAGCTGGAACGGGTTCTTAATTAAATAAAAATAAATCTCGAGCAATGATAATGCAGTAATAGTAAATCTCTGTACGCAGGACCTGTAGAACCACCTCCTACTAACCCCTACCTATAGAATGAATCCTGATCACACATCAAACATCACTTTATATATGTAATACATGTACATTAATATGTAATATTATTCAATGTAAAACCACCGTTACAATCATCAGAGTGACACTACTATTTTTAAAAGAAATTTATTGATTTTTTAGTCACATTTATATTAGTGTACCGCCAACAATCTTACACCGCACTACTCATGGTTGACTGGTAGATAACGCCATATGGTATTAAGTCCGATATATGTACACTTTGCATTACAGTTAAATAAATAAATAATAACTAACACAGTGTTTAACTCCTTTTGTATAATTTATTGATGAATAAACCTGAAATACATTGTAAATATTTGCGTTTGCTATGCAAGGGAGGAGAAACGTCAACGCGTTTACCGCGAGGTGCGAGCGTTGGCCAAGTTGGAGCACGAGCACATCGTAAGGTACTTCAACTCCTGGATCGAGGTGCCTCCGCCGCAGTGGCAGCGTGAACGTGACCGGCAGTGGTTCAGGTCAGTGTAAAACCTGCCGTTGATGTGTTATGTATATTTATGATATATCATAGACCGAGACTATCAAATATTATAATATTTGATGGTCTCGGTGCTAGAGCAGTTTAGCACATTGGTTTACTTCTGATGGTAGCAGATTCGATTCTTCATACAATGCACTTACTATTACTTTTGCCTTTCTATTGTGATTCTTCCTAATTATATATACATATATATATATAGGTTTGTCTTTGTTTTGCGACATATGCAGATGAATATTATTTTAATAAATGAAAATCTTGTTTTTTTTATTAATATATTCACGATCATAATTGTTTAATACAGTGAAATGGACGACGGTTCCCTCCCCCCCCCCCCCCCCCCCCCCCCCCCCCCCCCCCCCCCCCCCCCCCCCCCCCCCCCCGTCTCCCTGTCCCCTATATTACATGACGCCTTAGTTCTCAGATATAGCAACGTAATGGAATCAATTTAAAGACATTTTTGCATTTGTGGTAGTGTTACGGTCAGCAGATAAATATATACAGACATATTTTATATACATGTATATATTTGTTATTTTTATATTGTTGTTTTACATGTTAAACATAATTTTTAATTCTTATTTTATTCAACTACAATAACTACAATAACTTAGCAATAAAATGATCAAAAGGAAACTATGAATTCTTCCTACGTTGCTACTTTGCTTTAGATACATTGGTCAGTCAACTTGTTTGTCTTTCCAGGTACATTAGAAAATCTAGGGAAGAATCTAAAACCTTACTGTTGTAAATAGTCATACATTGCTATGTTAAACCGTAAGTTTAGGTTGTCAGGAATGCTAATGATCTTTCCATATCTGTTGTACTTAGTGATGATATATTGAAACGTTTCCATAAGTGAAATCTTTTGTAGTCGAATAGTACTTGTGAATCTATGTCATATTTAAAGCACAAAGCAACATGCAAATAATCTAATTGATTAGTTTGTTGGTGGTGGATAATAAAAAAAAGACTGATTTAAAAAAAATCCAAATCATCAATAATATAGCTGTATGTAGCGCATATAGCGTCACGGGTCACGACTAGTAATTATTAATTTTTATTAATAATTTAGGTCAAGTAGTTGCAGTGACTCATTCTCGATAGTGTTCGACGAGAATCTATCAAAGAAAGCGGAATTAACGATCTCTTCCGAAATACCAAAGAAACATTCATTGCACAGCAGTGACCCGAACGCGTCATTCAGGAAACAGTCTAGCGCTGATAACGGATGTTCAATAGATAAGAGATTGGAGCGAGTGAAGGGCTGTGAACAGATCTCTCAAAGTTCTCCAACTGAAAGTTCACCTACTCCTACAAAGAAAAAGGTTAGTACATCGTTATATACTGTCATAGACATAGTATGTGACATCTATGGTACCTAAGCATAGAGTATAAGTGTACTATTACGTTACGTATTATTTATGAATTTTTAAACATATGCGTATAGAAATACATTTCTGATATTATCGGTGCAGTGCTAGACAGTGAAAATTTTACTAAGTAACTAAATAAGTTTTCATATTTAATTTTTAAAATCTACATAGAAATGCGACACGTAATTATTTAGAAAATATAAGAATAAAAGCCATACACAGTCACACTAGGATAAAGTGGGAAGACCAAGATGAACGCATAAGTAACCCAGGATTAGTTTTATTTAAGAAATCGTAATGGAATATCTACCCGCTTATCGAGGCGCCAGTTGAGGATGGTAATATAAGGTTAGTTATCTCTGATCAGGTTAGTTAGCTCATCGTAACTAAGGAATCGAATTCTAGGAGTAATCTGACATGTTACATGCTAGCAATAGGTTTATTAGTTCATATTACTATCAATCCCATTCACCAAAGTTTAGTTGCCTCCTTACAGAAAATCAGTCGGTCTTTTATGTTATCTGTGCTAATACTTAGATAATTTTCGTACGACCTATCGAAGTCACTCAAAACTCAAAGCAGTAAATCTAGAACTAGCCGTATTAAATTTTGAACTGTGTTTATTTCCCACAGAAGGGGCATAAGCGTCACTGGTCGCTGGACATGTGCGTGGGGGGCGGTCCCGGCGGGGAGGCGGTGCCCGACACCTACCTCTATATACAGATGCAGCTGTGTCAGCGCGACAGCTTGCATGATTGGCTGCGGAACAACCGCACCGCCGAGACGAGGGGCAACATCGTAAGCTTTTGTTGTCTATTTTTTTTTAACAATTTTTCCTTTGCTTTCATTTCTTTTAATATTTAGTGTTGCCTTAATTAATCATAATAAATAATAAGTAAATATATATCCATATTGATATATGGATTTCTTTTAACCTTTTTCAGTTTTTCGCATTGTTTTAGAAGCATTTTCTTTCATACAAACATTGTTCAGATAATTGAAAACACAACAAAAAAATTGGATTATCTGCACTCGTTCTAAAGTTATGTGCGTACATACATGTCGGCCATAATTTTTTATTCATATAAATTATTTATTTCTCATTGATAGTCTAGTTATTTAAATTCTGATAAGAAATCAATTTAATAATGAAATATTGTTCTTCAGGCAATCTTGTTTCGACAAATAGTGTCAGCTGTTGAGTACGTACATCTAGATGGTCTTATACATCGCGATCTGAAACCTAGCAACATATTCTTTGCCCCCGACGGCAAAGTGAAGATCGGAGACTTCGGTCTGGTGACGGATATGAGCGATAATTCTCAAGACGGGGAGGCTCCTCCCTTTGATGCGCATACCAAGCATACACATCAAGTTGGTGAGTGCAATTATTCTTTAATAAATAAATAATAAATATTAACGTTTTATATTTCTTAATGTAGCATAATAAAATGAAGGAAAATATAAAATAACTTAAACATTAATGTTACAAGCTGACAGAGCCTTTACTTAGCTGTTGACTGGACAATTTACACAGCGCCATCTAGTCTCAAGCTAAACTGAGCTTGACTATTTTCTCTCTCTCTCTCTCTCTCTCCCTTGTATTTAATAGAACAATATATAACTAAGAATAATCAATCCAGTGTAACATGCCAACAAATTCAAATAATTCACATTACAATAGTATGAAATCTGCACTAATTCAGGCAAAATTTGGGTCTGACTATAAATCTATATTAATGATAATATCCCTTATCTCCTGCAAGTGTATTGTTAATTAAATAATATATTGTTATATGTTGTATTAGGTACTCGTCTTTACATGTCGCCGGAACAAGTCCAAGGCCTACCGTATAATTACAAAGTGGATATATACTCGCTGGGCGTGATCCTGTTCGAGTTGCTGCAGCCATTCGGTACCGACTCTGAGAGAGTGCACTGTCTACAGATGTTACGTGAGCACAAATTCATGCCTACCTTCCAACACAAGTACCCTCAGGAGGTAAGGTTGCATCATTTATTTTTAGACTAACTTATTTTACTGTGTTTGATGTATGAACAGGATTCAGTCTATAGGTATGTAGGGGTTCTACAGATCCCGTTACAATGCACATAATTTTACTGCTTAATTTTTTTAATTTTTTAGTTTTTTTTCTTTAATTTAAGAATATTTTACTCAATATAAATTTAGTAGAATTATTATTTATTGTATGAAATTATTTTATCAATACATTACGATTAACATTTCTGTAAATTATGGAAAGTAGTAGGGTAACCTGTTAACATAGAAGTTCCTCGGAGGCCACAAAATATTTCCTACTAATTGACAGCCTCAGTGGTCTAGCGGTTTACCACACCTCTTTACTTCTGATGGTCGCGGGAGCAATTCCTCGCACTGTGCAAGCATTTGTATTCATGTGTATGATTGTTTGTATCGGTGTGGATTTCAATGTCTATTGTGTATGTATTATATAAATGTATCTATGTACATATATCAGTTATCATGCTATGGGCTCAGCTCATGCGTAGTTTGGGACTAGATTACGCTGTGTTTTTTGTCCTGTGTTATTATTATTATTTTCGTACTTTGATCTATCTGTAGCCATGATGCCCACCTCCTAACAGTTACCTTTTGTGACACAGACTTTTGACAGTGACATAAGAAATAAACATATAGATTTTTATTGTTACAGACTGAAGTGTTAAAACTGATGCTAAGTGCAGACCCTTCAAAACGGCCCACTGCTATGGGCGTTCGCGCGAGAGCTCCTCTCCGCGATCACACAGATTCCCGATATCATTTCACACTGCCACCGGGTCCTGCTGTCCTCGCTTGATGATTAAATTGTAACTTTTTGTAAGTTATATTAAAGAGTCTTTCAAAGGCAGTATAAAAGTATAATTCTGCATTGAAGAGATGTAAAAGAAGTATGTATTAATGTAACATCTGAGGTACGGTTCTATTATTCATGCATACATTTTGAAGGGTGTTATCTATAAATTACGTCATGTGATAAAGAAAATGAGGACTAGACGATATGTGACATAGTGTGACAAAGAGTGGGAGGAATCATACATTTCGTGACGTCACATTTCAAATGTACATTTTATTAATTCGGTTAGGCTTCGGTAGTCTGGCTGTTTAGCTTACCGCCTTACGTGCAGTGGTCGCGGGTTTGATCCTCGCACGGTACAAACGATTGTCTTCATGAGTATGATTGTTTGTATCGGCTGGTTGATATGTATTTTATGTATGTATTTACAAAAGAAAATATGTCTTTGTTATTAGTTGTCTAGTACCCATGACAAGCTATGCTTAGTTTAGGACTACATGACGCTGTGTGAATTGTCCTGAGATATTTATTATGTTAAATAGAATTGTGTTATTATTGCGTTAAATGGAAATCTAAATAAAATCGAGCTTCCTATTTGTTTGGTAATTCAATAATTTGTAAAATATTTGACGTCACAGTAGGGATTAGGGGAGTCTGACAAATGTGACCAACAAGGTGATGGTGTCATATCATGAAATTAATGTGACGTAATGTGTGGATGTACCCTTATAAAATTACAAGAGAAACTTAATTTTTGTTGCCTTATCACTGTGTATAGATTTAATGAACTTCTATGTTTTCGTCTTTCGCGACATTTGTTTCGAGTTTTGCAAGTCTTAAGGGTAAGTGCGGTGTACATATTTATATAATATTACTGCAGAATGAACATTAGTTTACTTCTATTGCCATATCGGTAGAAAACGATTTTTCACAAGTTTCTCTTGTATCTTTGACAACTTTCTATTAATTGTAATTATAATTTCAATCATAACCAATTATTTACTTCTTAGTTCAATATTAATTGTTCTTTTAATAAAGTAATCAAAAAGTCAATCATAATTTATCATCGATAATAAATCACTGATTTAAGTGAGTTCCACTACTCACTAGCGTAATTTCGGTTCGCTTAATTTATTGCCAGAAAGTTTGAGGCGATTCGCTGGAACACTGATTAATCAAAAATATTGGCTTTTTGATTATCGATAGATAAGAAAAAACAGAATTAAGTAAATACCCATTAAATTTCGTTTTTGATTTGGAAGTTAGAAGCGAAAATATAGTTCAACACTTATTGTAGTAGGTACTAGCAGTATATACTTTACGTCTTTTAAGTTTATAATCAAGGCAGGTATTCTAAATATAAAATTTAAATCTAAATATAAAATTTAAAAAAGGTTATTCGAAAAGACCAGAGTATATACCATTACATCTTTTTTTTATTCGATAGTCATGCCAGTATTATAGGTCCATGAAATAATTTATAAAGTCCAGTGGTAATATTAACATGATAGGTGTTGAAGTAATAGAATAAGTTGCATACATAGGTACATCCATTCATTGTACATAAATAATGAAAAGGTGTAGATTCTATAATGACTATGGTCGAATAAAAATCACGTTTTTTTTGTCTATGGTCTATTTCGATTACATTGTAATGGTGAAGTTTTAGTGGTATTTGGCAGCTGTGACAAAGATTATTGATTATTTGTGATTCTGCTTTAATGTGTATGATATTATTAAGAATGTATTGATTAGTCACTAGTTGTTAAAAATAGTCCATAACGTTATGGCGAATATTGTAGTATATATATATATATATATATATTATATTTTTTATTATCTATTATTAAATTTATAAAAAAAAACTATTATTAGAATAATTGTAATGTATTCAAGGTATATATATATATTAAATGATAAGGATAGTATAGAATTAGAATATCAGAATTTATAATAATGTTTTTTAATTAATGTTTTCATAATGTTTTTTCTTATTGTTTTTATTCCCTAACTAGAATTTCAAGGAATATAATTGTATCAGCCTGTATTTTTAAAGTATTTTGGTTTATTTTTGTGAAAAGATCGATTACTCATAAAATCTATTATTTTGAATGTGTGACATTGTATTACCATCATTAGCAATACACTTACTGATTATAATTATATATTGACTAATTAATCGAAATTTATATATTTTTTCTATTTAAACTTCGGATTGTTTCGAAGCGTGTATGGTATGTTTCAGTATGACATATTTTGTTTTAAATAAGCAAAGCATACTTATGTTATTTTTTATTTAAATGTATATGTGTCCCTTAATACAATATTGCATAATATCACATAAACCCAAAATTTGTGAAGTTTTAATTTTAAAGTCGAATTAAAAAAATGTATTTTTCTAGTTTATGTATTATGGTATTAAGCGTGCAATATGTTAAGAATATTGATAAGGTTTATTGTTGCACCGATGTATCCATTTCCGAATGAAGGTTTTTGTTTTTAAAGTAATTAGATTTTCATTTTTTATATTAAAGCTATCCAGGAGGAATACACGTGACTTCTGTACCATATAATCGTTAGAACGACTTCTCTCATTAGCTGTTTTAGGGTCTCATTATCATGTTACGTCAGTATAGAACATAAAAATATATAGTTCACAGTTTTCGAATAATTTAAATTTACTATTCTTACTTTTTTTATGTTTTCAGTTTGCTTTTCAGAAATTGATTTAAGTTATCGGTTCTTACTTCTGCATCTCATAGATTCGGTTATTACAGGATGATACACACTATTATATTAATTAGATTATATTACATATAGGGTTAGTTGTAAATAGTATACTAAATCCATACTCAGCGACTGTATTTAAAATTTACTTTACACAGATGCTGTCACGTAATCTATTTGGTGTGTGTTCAAAATTTATATTTAAATAAAAAAATAAAGGTCATTGGTCACCTTAGTATGAAATGTATACCCACGGCCTACAGAAAAAAATAAATAGAGTAGGAAGTTTAGATAAACATCTCTAATTTACGAATACATGTGTCCCATTAAAGCAGACGATGGAATTCAGACCAAAAATGAAAAAGAAAAATAAGATATTAAGGTACATTATATATATCCAAAACCCTTAATAATATATTAAGGGTTTTGGATATTAACATTGGTAGTTTTGTTCATTTCACAGAACAATTCATTGAAATTATTTTATATAAACATTTTGTACATCAAAAGCTCACTGAATACCGATTTATTATTCATCTTTTAATTTTTATTCCAATGGTATAAAAAAAAATAACTACAAAAAATTAATAGTTGGTTAATACTTAACAATTTCACTTAATTTGATTTTGTAGGAAAACTTTTGTTAACTGGGCCAGATTTTGCCCAATGACCTTTCTACTTTGTTTCTTTATGGTTAATTTTCTTTAGTATTCTACTTGGTTTAGGACTTAGAATACCTTTTACAAGTAACCCTGTATAACTAGATATTAATAATAGATTTAAGTAGATATAGTACTTGTAAATATGTGGGTCATGTCCCAGAATTAACTAGCTAGTGTGAGCTTAAATAGTGTAAGATCTAATCAAAATAATGTATATACTATAGTATATATATATAAATAGTGTAGTATTACAAATATAAGACTGTGTGTAGTTTGTAGTGGAAAGAAAATATATACCTGTCTCTAATGTATATATTATATACTGGCTGTTACCGACGGCTTCGTACTGGTTTACTAATTAAGACAATTTCTGTATATGACTAAAAAATCTTTCATTAAATCCCAATTATAGATACAGCTATTCTTCAGCTTAAATACATTCAACATTCTTCTGTAGTTCTTTCATTAATTGGCAATTGAGCGAATATATTAACAGATTTATCTCATATTTATTTATATATTAAATTTGTCTACTTAACGGGACTCCAAAATATTGTAAAAAGATACATTCGGCAATTTTTTTTTTGTATATGCGGCAGCTGTTTTTCTTCTTGATTATGCTTTCAGTCTATTACAGCTTAGTCGATTGTAATTCTATCCCTTCCAGTCATAGTCACGCGATCCAAGTTGTAGTCAGAAGCTAGTTTATATTTCAGTATAAAACTGAGTATATTTATATAAGAGCTACGTATATGATTTGTTTAATATAAGAAGTGAGAATGAAAAGAACGAAAGAAGTAACTATAATATAGAAATGTTAAATAAAAAATAATGTATATATCTAGTATTCATTGAGTTTGGTGCAACAATGATTTTCTTCAATCATGTAGTTAGGATTAGAAATCTTTCACAACCTTCATCGCATAAAAAAACATAATATCTTTATTCATGTAGGTCTATTATAGACTCTACATATCTACCGTCAGTTCGGAGTGCTTTCGAGCCAAGAAGACTGGTAAAAATGCTCTTGTTCTAGTCAATTGAGCTTGTACATGTTTACAACAAAACAGATTTATTTTTAAATTTAAATTTGGGAGAATACAGTGACTAACAGCATATGTTATTGCAATTTTGTCAAAAGAAAATTCTCTAATCAATGTCCATAACCCGAATATATAGTACTTACATATTAAAAGTACAATTGAGGCCAGACCAAAGATAATTACAAATGTACGTATAATATCAATGTAAGACTGTGACAGTACTGCAGTCTTCTTCACTATCTGTGTTAATCAATTCCAATTTACAATTAAAACTTTATTTGGATTCTACAAATTTTTGTACAAGACCTATTAAGTGCGTATTGACTCGACTCATGAGAATCTCAAGACTTATTACTATAATCATTTATGTCAGTAATTTAAAGTGAAAAGCATTTATATTAGAAAAGGTTTGTTTTTGGTAATTGTTTGATTTGTTGGTTTGTTATCAATTTAACAGCGGTGTTGCGGTGTTGGTGTAGCAGTGTTGTAATATTGGATGCACTGTTGTATTGGGCATATGCCTGTGATGATAGTGTGCATATAAATAAATAAATTTAAACTTTACATAATTGCAAATGCGTATTTATGAATTTAAATTTTCTACAAGTAATTGTAGAATAAAAAGTAGCAGAGGTGTGAAAATTTAGTAATTAAACTTTATAATTTTACGAATTTTCCAAAAAGCATTTTTACTTCTCTCGTTTTTTCCATTCTGTGTATGAACTGATTGATTTTATGTTTAATTTTAGTAGTACTAAACAATAATACATGTAACTCGAGTTTAAGATTTGTTTTTAATTTTTCGATTTAATTCCTTGTAGAATTACCTGCTACAATATTAAATTTTAATTGAAATAATCTAGATAAGAATATTCAAAATGTGTACTTTATTAAGAATAATATGATGTATTACTTAAAACTACTGGGTATTTTTTGTCTTCGGCCATATGTACATAAATTTTAAGAAAACTTAGTTTTCTGTATGTGAATTAGTAATGTATGTTTCACAGGACAGACGTAAGGTATGTGTGAGTGAGTACATGTTGTGAATGTAGTTATAGAATTATAATAAATAAATTAGAAACATGTTTTAATTTGTAATGTAAGGTGCTTTATTGATCAAAATGAAAGGTGAAAAAATGATACCGTATTTCTCTATTTTGTTAGATTCTAGAGATTAAGTAATTAGATAGCTATAGGCAATCTGACGTTAATAAGTCGCTGGATTAAAAACAAACAACCCATTTTGGTCAATCCTAAGTCTGTTGATGTAGCTATAATAATCGTATAAGTCTATATTTAGTATGAATTAGAAATATTATAATAATAATATGCAATTGTTTTGTTAATGTCATTGTCATATTAACAATATGACATGTTATTTAGGCATATATTAAGGAAACACTGGTTAGTTTTACAAGTTTCTTGTTAGATATTATTATTTTGTGATTTATTATAATTACTTTACTATTGAAATAAACAATTTTGAAGCTATACCGTCTATATTTTTTTAACATAGTGTCTCAAACGAGGTTATTTTATGTCCGACACATAAACAATTTAAATTTGTTTATATAAGACACTTTCGGTCGCTTATACAATTATATATTTCATTTTTTATCACTAACCCTTCCGTCCAGTTCGGCTAATTACATCAGTTGAGAAGAACTGGCAAGAAACTCAACAGTTACGTTATTTTTAATTAGTTGAAATATTTAAAAGATAAAAGTTGTATATTTAGATATTTTCGTACATCGGTTATTTAAAGTGCTTAGTCATATTATGCTGATAAAGTGATCTATGTAATCTATTAGATAGTCAATAGATAACCGCGAATGCGTCTGATCGGAGTTAATTTTACGTATCCGAGAATCTGGTTATTTTCAAGCAACATTGTATCAAATATTGTCAAAATCCGACCACATGATCCGACCTATGATTATTATTATTATTAATTATAATAATAGTACCTACAAAAGTGTCCTAATATAATATGAAAAACCGATGTTTATATGTGACTAAACAAACATACATTGAATTTATTGACATCTTTACGTTGCTACTATTACTAAGGATCTATTCCATCTCCCGTAATAAACGTAAACAAAACTTTCCCATACTAAATACGATCAACTTGTTAATTAAAATATAATTATTTGCGTTCACTATAAAATTCCACACCAATTAGGTATACGTCTATTTTTTTAATAACTAGCTGTTCCCGCGACTTCGTCCGCGTAGAATTTAACTTATTTTTCTAAAATAAAAGTAGTCTAAGTTACTCCTTATTACATCAGGTATCTGCCAAAAAAAAGTCCCGTCAAAATCGGTCCAGCCATTTCAGAGATTAGCCGAAACAAACATGTAGACGAAAATTGTAACAAATGTTATTTTGGTGTATGTACCGTATTTATATTAATATGCATGTTATTTATATGTAGGTATAGATTAAATTAACAAAATATAAAGATTAAATATAATTTAAAAAATACAAACTTAGTAAGAGCTGTATTCGTTATTAAATTATTTAATATTTGAAAAACTTGACCTTCCAACTCCTCTTATGTTGCGATATTGTTTATTATAGTAATTAGCATGCGACTGAAGGCGATACAATGACGCTGTCCTGTTAATCGATCAGACACTATACGGGCGTATGAGACTGGTTTCCACTGTATCTATGTACACTACGAGTGTACATACAGTTTACATTATTGTAGGTACATACAATACTGTAACTACATACAATAAGGAAAAATTGTATGTCCATGAACTGCCATGCACGGACGAGGTCGTTTTACCTGAAAAATACTACCTTATTTAATAAACTGTGTATTGGTTTGATTAAAGAGTGAGATGTAGCAGTGAAGTTACAGAATTAAATATCTTGAACACAACACTAAAATCAAGGGCAATATCGGAGCAGTAGTGGTGGAGGTAAAATTAACTTGGCAATAAGTTAGTGAAATCTATGTTTTTTTTTTGTGTTGTGTAGGTCGCGTTAGAATAATGTTGTGGGCAATATATAGGTATTTTATTATGACTATTTTATTGATTAACAAATAAGTGGTTATTGCTAATATAAAGGAAACAGTTATAGCCTCTGGACTAGGTGCTTACCCAAATTGACAAATTAGCAGTGATGATTTTTATAGGTACATACGAGTCATAATAGTACTTGCTGTCGCAGAAATTATTATTATTTTTGTTATTTTACTTCAGGCAACTTAAAGGTCCAGAGTTTAGGAGTTGAGGTAACAATCATTTAATGAATAATTCATACTAAAATTATAAATGCCATACTGAGTTTCTCTGTCTGTTTCTTTCTTTCTTCCACCTGTTCGTTACCCAAGACATATACCTATTACAGCGCCATCTTGCACCAGACTATGCAGAGCTTATAACAAGTGTAGACCCAGACTGATAGTAATAGAAAAAATAAATTTTAATCAATTATTCAAATGTTCGTAGTGTGCAGGAATGGAAGAAGAGACCATTGGAAGGTAAGGCAGTATGCTAAATCCCTGTGCTATCACGGTTGTCCAATTGTGTTTACAAAGCATGATTCTTACTTAATGTTTATATACTTATCTACGAGAATCAATGCAGATATTTTTTCTTGTGAGTGAAGAAATAGACACAGTTTTTAAGATAACGTATAAATATCAAACGTATTGCCAGATGTAATACTTACCCCTGATAATTAGTATAGAAATTATTCTATAAGAATTTAAAAATAAACACTTATCTACTAGAGTGAAATTAAAATTACTTGTTACTATTAAATAATAAATCAACCACATAGAGTATTATATTTTTTTCTGTGTCATGGCGTTATAAGCTTATTAGGCACATTGATTGTGAAATAAAAAGTATAATCCATCACATTTAAAATTAGTGTTCTTGTTACTAAGTAACAGTTATGTCTTACTGACGGCCCTGGTCTATCCGTTTAGCTCACCGCTTTTCTTCCAATGGTGTGTCCATTGGAAGAAAAGCGGTTCCATTCTTTGCATGGTACAAACATTTGTATTCATGAGTATGACTGTTTGTTTCGGTTTGGGTGTTTTCTACGTATAATATGTATAATTTACGAAAGAAAAACAAATCTATGTATTTGTATCAGTTATCTAGTACTCATAATACAACCTTTAGCTAGCTTAACTCGGGTCTAGATGGCGCTATGTGAATCGTCTAGGGATATTATTATTGTTGTCTTTTTATTCTGGAATGCTTGCCACAATGAACACTACCGTCCAATGCAGGTCCGTTCATTTCAGTCTAATTTTTGTTACGATAAATTTTTGATCAAACATTTTCTACTTTTTGGACATATTATGTGATTAGAGGTAAATATTATTAGCAGTTTGCAACCTTTCGTCGTCGTGACCGAGAAGGCGCCGCATTAATCAAAATAGACTGTCGTGTAGACATGATAACGTTGTACGGATTTTATCAGAACCAAATATATTACAAACGTTTAATTGTATTTAGTTAGTTCTAAAATAGTGGTGTAATAAAAGTGATTTTCTTTGATTTAAAATAAAAAAACGTTAAAGTGAGTAGTGAAAGCATTTATTTCATTATTTTTAAGTATTTACTTAAACTGTGTCTATTAGAAACTATATTTAATATCAAAATTTGTTAAAATAATATTATAGGTAATAATTAGTAGAAGATGTCCTCTATCATATTCCAAAATTGTAATTGTTTATAATAGAATTAAATTGATATAATAATGAAATTTAAAAAATAAACATTGTAAAATGGCCTTAATTAATTATTGTTCACTTTTATGCTAAACTTAAACTTAAAGTTACTACGTAGCTACGTAGCTTAAACTTGGACTGTTAGTTTAGCATCCAAAAATAAATAAAATAATATTATATCTAATAATTAATAGAAGGTAAAAAAATAAAGAATATAAATTGCTTTTAAGTGAGATCCCTATCAAATAGAACGAAAACAATATTTATTATGTTGACGAGAATATAATTTTTATTTATTGTTACTGTGAATGTACCTAATACACGTGTAATACGCTTTCCTCTATGAATATTTCGGTTGACGATGTTATAACTATTGCAAGAAAGCCGAAAATTGCGAAAAAAATGAACAGTGTCGGATCTTTATGTTAATAAATTTCCATTTTTCAGAATGTATAAAGTATCGTGGCTATTTCTAATAATTCTCGTGAATATAATTGTATATTCATCAACGGGTTATAAAATATTAGTGGCATTCCCAGTTCCAAGCAAGAGTCATGCTATTCTCGGCGAAGGTATGGTTAGACATCTGCTGGAGGCTGGTCATGAGGTTGGTCATTTTCAATTATGTAATATGTGTAAAGATTTGGATTACTTTTAAAAAATATATTCGGGTAGGTTTAAAAAAAGAAAGATGACATAAACCATAGAGTAATAATTAACAATGTTTTATAAAAGTTGTCATCGCCTTTATAAAAACTGAACCAAAATTAGATCTATGTATCAATTTATACCTACTGGTTCTAAAAATGATATTACACAGATTCACATAAAAATTGTTTTGTTGAAGTGAGACAGGTTTACCAATATCAATATATTTTTTTTAATAAGGCATTCTAATGCCTTTTTAAAAAATTTTTTTTTTTGAAAAGGCATATTGCGAGAGCCCTTTGGTTGGTATACACCCTTAGAAGTAAGACTGAGATATCTATGCATGGGATCAATCTGCCTTCAGTTGTGTAGATGTTTAGAAGCCGAAGTAAGATACTATATACGAACACATTAAACAGAAAAGGTCGTTTGTTTTATTTGACCAGAGCCAGTAATCGACCTAGATATTTGTATATTATCACTAGATTCTATATACGTATTATTTTCGTAGGTGACGTACATAACACCACACCCGAAGAAAACGGCTCCTCCAAATCTACGACAAATCGATGCCTCCGCAATTCTTCAAAATATGACAGGTAACTATATATATATATATAATCTCAAGGACCTATATATATATATATAAATATCCCCTTGGGCACTTTGTGGCTCAGACGTGCCGTATAGGTAGTTTTTTGTTGATCCATTTTCACTTGTTGATCCGGAGGCCTTTTGTTGATATATATATATATATCCGTTTTGAGCCACAACTGTCACGACGAGTAATAATAATAATTAAGCGATTTATACACGATTTTATACAAATCCACCTTTTTGGCATACGAGCAGTTCTTGATCCAATTCAAACGGGCCAATCAGGGTGCAGCATTTGCCAAGGGCTTCCTCATTGGCATGTTTGGGCTACTACATTATGGCTACAGTAACTTAATAATGTCTAGCTAGTATTTCAAGAATAATAGTCTATCTAATCTAAATATTTATAGAAATATGGAGTAACGTGACTCCAGATCAAACTTCAATACTTGTTATTTTTTGGACGGGAATTTTTCCTTTTGTAACAACGTTACTGAGCGAATGAAGAGAAGACGCAACGGCGGATCCAGGGGGGAGCGTCATGGAGGTCTTGGGAGTCATGGGGGGCCATGACTCTCCCCCCCCCCTTAGCCCAGGACTTAGGTAGACCACTAATTGAACTAAAAAATAATGAAACAGCAAAATTTTTTGCACGATCGGAATGTTGGTGCAGTAGTATTAATTATAATTAAACATTGTTACTTAAAATATAACACTTAAAGTACTATAACACTAAAAGCAAAATAAGTATTTTCAAAATACTTTTACAAAATAAATTACCTTTTGAGTTTTTGTCCAAACCTCAGATATTTTATTTATTTTAGGTATATCAATCATTACATCGTATAGTATAAAACAAAGTCGCTGTCGCATCTAACAAGTACATAAATAAAGAAAGAAGACTTTTTGGCTCTGAATATATTTCAAAAATCAATATCAATTTATATACTCGTTCTTATTTCATAGTACTTGTTTTGATCCGAATGTATACAGATACCGTAACGGTCTATTAATTATGAATTTATTATACCTAACCTAGATATTTTATTTTGACGAGACTCCGTGTAGTAGTAGTATCCGATAAGGGTATGCGAACCCTAAGTATTATTTCAAAATGACCAGTAATTTCGAAGAAATAAACCTTTGAATTTCAAATCAACTTACCAAACGGACGCTCAAGGTTCGATTCCCGCCACCGATTTTTTTTTGTTATTTTTTTTGTTTTGTCTTTATTTTATATTTTAAATTAACTATTTTAATAATTAAATGAATTTAATCGAACAAAACTTCGTTAAGTATTAAATTAATTTTAATTTACATTACCTATTATACTTTCTAAATTGTAAAGTAGCTAACAATTATAGTAAGATCTTATAAATAATTAACACAACAAGTAAAACATTTCAAATGTATTTTCTTTATTATCACAAAATATTTTTTATGCATAATATAATAGTTAATATCACTTAAAATTAATTTAATACTTAACGACGTTTTTATAGATTAAATTCATTTAATTATTAAAATAGATAATTTTAAATATTAATTTAAAAAAAAAAAACAAAAAAGAAAGTCAATGGTGGGAATCGAACCTGGGGTGTCTGTGTGGTAAGTTGGTACACAGGTACATTCCTAACTAGTAAAATTAATTTAATGCTTAATTACGTTTTTATTATAAATTAATAGTCATATAAATTAAATTGATTATTAAAATATTAAATTAAAAAAAAAAAAAAAAAAAAAAAAAAAAAAAAAAAAAATAAATAATAAAAGTAAACGGACGGAAAGAAATTCGAACTCGGAGTGTCTATGTGGTAATGTGGTATTGGTACACAGGTACACTACTAACTAGGCCATATTGGTGTTGCTTGTTATGGTGAAAAAACTAGTATATATATAAGTTACACGTACAATTTCAAAGACTTATTTCTTCAAAACTACTGGCCATTCTGAAATAAAACTTTAGGGTTTGCATATAAAATAGAATTAAAGGTTACCAGTGTATTTACACTTTTACTGAACAAACAGAGTTGTTTAATACTAAAAATATTGTGTGGAAGGCACCAATTACTTTCAGTGCATTTATAGCTTTGCTCTTTTCCTAATTATTATTATTAAGTTTTAAAGTGGTTGAATTTTACGTAAGGGGTATTTATACATTATTTCTAATTTACCATTTATTTTAAGTTTTTTAAACTCTATTCATCGAGACCTATCTAATGAGTCCAAACACGATATTTCTGCTGTAAGTTTTCGAAGAGTATGTTCATCATCTGATAATACTGGTGCCAGCATGAAGTCAAGGTTAACAGATAACTATTACTTTTATTTCGTCAAAATCTTTAGATTACGTATAATAAATTCATAATATCGCTACCTATTCAAATCAAAACAAGTATTAGGTACTTCATGTACTAGTATATAAATTCATCAACACACAAGTAAATGATTTTTAAATATATTCAGAGCCAAAAAATCTTTGTGCATTTAAAAAATTTTGCCGATACGGATTCACTATTGCAGTAAATTGTTGAAAAAATATATATCGAGTATCTACTACTATTGACGAATACATTTGGCAACAACGCATGGTCGCGGTCGGAACGGCAACATCGCATATTAGAATACAAAGATAGTGGTAGAACGCGGAACGGCAACATGTTGCCGTTCCACCACGCTACCGTTATAGTGGTAGAAAGAGAGAGACAGTGGAATCAGCAATATCTACGGATCGTGGCTGGATCAACTAATGCAAGTGTATATACATATATATATACATTTGTCTTTAATTCAAAGGAAATATAAATAATGAACGCATCACATTTAAAACAGTAATAAGTACGTACGTAATATTATCACATGGTAACAGCACGTATTATGGCAAAAATAAACATCGGCTGATTTGATTTATTATAGATTTATTATAGTAATAATAGTAATCTCAGGACAATTCACACAGCTTCATCTAGACCCAAGTTAAGCTAGCTGAAGATTATGTTATGGGTACTAGACAACTAATTTATAAATACAAAATTTTTTTCTAAAACATATATATTATCTATACATAGAAAACACCCAGACCGTTACAAACAATTATACTCATGAATACAAATGTTTGCAGCGTGCGAGGAATCGAACCCTCGACCACCAAGCAGGAATCAAAGCTGTGTGCTAGATAAATCGCTAGACTACAGAAAACTAGCTTTACACGCGAATTCGTCCGCGTGGAACTTATATTTTATAAAAATAAAGTGAAATTCCACACGGACGAAATCCCGTGTACAGCTAGTCATCAATAAAAAAAAACGTAGGTATCTCTAATATATTATACACTAGCTGTTCCCGCGACTTCGTCCACGTGGTTTTTAACTTTATTTTTCTAAAATAAAAGTAGCCTAAGTTACTCCTTGTTACATCAGCGACCTGCCAAAAAAAGTCCCGTCAAAATCGGTCCAGCCATTTCAGAGATTAGCCGGAACAAACAGACAGACAGACAAAAATTGTAAAATATGTTATTTTGGTGTATGTACCGTATTTATATTCATATGCAAGTAGTAAACAACGGTTATTTCAATATTTCAAACAACAGGCTTCAACATTCTCAAGTACCACAAAAAAGATGTTTTTTCTATCAAATAAACCGTTTTTATTAAAAACAAGCTGTTCCCGCGACTTCGTCCGCGTGGAATTTAACTTTATTTTTCTAAAATAAAAGTAGCCTAAGTTACTCCTTATAAAACCTGCCAAAAAAAAGTACCGTCAAAATCGGTCCAGCCATTTCAGAGATTAGCCGGAACAAACAGACCGACAGACAGACAGACAAAAATTATAAAAATTGTTATTTTGGTATATGTACCTTATATATATTCATATGCATGTAGTAAAAAACGGTTATTTCAATATTACAAACAGACACTCCAATTTTATTTATATGTATAGATTATTATTTATGTATTTATTTATTCATCCAAAATAATACAAATTGTGTAGGATAACGTAATAGTAACATTACAGTAAAATTTTGTCAACGACATAATAGCAACTTAAACATTAAATCTCGGTATATCTATAGAATAGTTGGCCCCAGCGACTACGTCCGCGTGAAATTTTATTTTACTTTTCTAAAATAACAGTAGCGTAAGTTACTCCTTATTACATCAGCCACTTGCCAAAAAAAGTCCCGTCAAAATCGGTCCAGCTATTTCAGAGATTAGCCGGAACAAACAGACAGACAGACTAGAATCAGCTATTATAAGGTCAAAGGTCGGTGCACCCCGCGTATTTAATAAATAGTGCTTCTCTGGATGTCTTTAAGAGAAAATAGCAGTATGTACGTGTATATGTACAAGTCCTTAAGTGTTAAGTTTTTCAAATGTACAATAAAGAATAAATATTTTTAAGTACAGTACTTACGTACATTAATATAATACCTACTTTTTACTTGTATCTATTGTTATCAAAATTAAATTATAAGTTCTTAACTTGACCACGACTATGTGACCCTCTCTTGGTTTCCAAGAGTGACCGCGCCAAAACGAGTGAAAAAATGAACAGCATACGACGACGACGCAGTACCTATAGAGTGGAGCAACTGCTTATTCAGTTTTATTCAACTATTTAGTCCCTCCACCGTTACAATGAATGGAGGCGGATATTACAATGTATGTAGCATTGCGAATATAAAATATCTAGATTAGGTATAATAAATTCATAATTGATAGGCCGTTACGGTATCAGAGCCAAAAAGTCTTCTTTCTTTGTTTATGTACTGTTAGATGCGACAGCGACTTTGTTTTATACTACACTATGTAATGATTGATATACCTAAAATAAATAAAATATCTGAGGTTTGGACTAAAATTCAAAAGGTAGTTTATTTTGAAAAAGTATTTTGAAAATACCTATTTTGCATTTAGTATTTGAAATACAAAACACAAAACTATTTTTGTTTTTAGAGTGACATTTCTATGAATTCACTGTCGATAGCGAGCGGTGCGATGGAAGAAGATAACCGTTTATAAAAATATAATAAATAGCCCTGGACAATTAACACAGACTGATACTGAACTGATATAAATAGATATTTTTATTTTGTAAATACATATATAATATACATATAAAACACCCAGACCGATGAAAACAATCGATGACCGATGAATACAAATGTTTGTGCCGTGCGAGGAATCGAACCCGCGACCATCGGACGTAAAGCGGTGTGACCACCGAGGCAGTCGAAATATATAAATAATCTTATGAATTTAATTTATTCTAATTTGTTTGTGTGCGAATGCGGTGTACGGTGCTCCCTCCTGCCTCCACCGTTGCTGGAGCTTGCATGTATGGAGCATTGCGAATATAAAATATCTAGATTAGTAAATTCATAATTGATAGACCGTTACGGTATCTATATATATTCGGATTAAAATAAGTATCGCAGTAAGGACCAGTATATAAAGTGATCAACACAATTAATTGATTTTTGAAATATATATACAGAGCCAAAAAGTCTTTGTGTATTCAAAAAATATCTAATTTGTTTGTGATGCGGTGTACGGTGCTCCCCCTGCAACGGTGGAGTTACTATGTATGGAGCATTGCGAATATAAAATATCTACATTAGTAAATGAATAAATTCATAATTTAGACCGTTACGGTATCTATATATATTCGGATGAAAATAGTATCGCAGTAAGGACGATATATAAAGTGATCAACATAATTAATTGATTTTTGAAATATATTCAGTCAAAAAGTCTTTGTGTATACCAAAAATTTAGCCGTTCGGAGCCAGTCAACGAATTATTAAAAAAAAAAAAGTATATCGTACTATCGACGAATATATATGGCCACATCGCAAAATAGAATGCGACGTTGCCATACCGCCTGAGATATACGCGATAGGAGTCAAGTTATTCAGTGCAAAAGGTGGAATCAGCAAGTGTTTGGCTTGTGGCGTGATCAACAAAGTGCCCAAAGAGGTGTTTTATATATATATATATATATATATATATATAGTATTATCTCTTACTCGTGATTTGGTCTGCGTGGAATATACCATTATTATTAAAATTAAAAAATATCTAAAATATATGTAGCCCATATAGTATGTGTTACTCTTTATAACATTAGGTATCTTTGAGTGAAAGTTCTATCAAAATCCATCCGCCATCCAGCCGTTTCAGAGATTAAAAAACAAATAGACAATTATTTTTATAATAAATTTATGTATAAAGCATGTATATATGTATAAAGCAAAGTCTCCATCTGTCTGTTTCGCCGTTTACTTCTTCTAGACCCGCAATAATTTTATTATGGTTTTCATAAGCATTTCAATAATTACTTCCAAATTATTTATATGTATGTTAGGCATATGATTAAATAGAATATAATTTATTAACTCGTTCACAATAATAATTATATAAAAAAAACAAACAACAATATACACATATTACAACACAGAGTCAATTTGAACCTCACCTCAGCATATGCTGAGTCTGATATATTATAATTGTTTTAACTTTAGCATATGGATGTTGACATTTAAGTGTTATATACTACTAAATTATTAAGTACTGGCTGTGCCTGCCATTTCACTCGCGCGAAATTTATAGCTTACATGTTATTTTTATCTATAAGCTATATTAAGTAAAGTTTCATTAAAATCCCTTCAGTAGCTTTTGCGTGAAAGAGTAGCGTTTATAATATTAACACGATTTTAAAGTTTATCGTAAGGTATGTGAATTATTAAGTCGCAATACACAGGTAACCCAGTTTCATTAAAAACATTGTTGCGAAAGGAGGTGGACTTGAGGGATACCAGCTTCTTTCACAAGATATTGGAGAAAATGAACAATGCCATATTCACAAATAAAAATATTTTGAAGTTATTGAATGATCCAAATGAACAATTTGATCTATTTTTGGGTGAGTGGTTCTTCACTGAATTACTTTCCGGGTGAGTTTTCATACATTAATTCCCACAATTTCTAAACATATTGTTAATAATATAATATTTTTCTATAAAAAATAAACAATTGTAAATAAACTAATATGGATTTGGTGCAATATATAATAATAACACAAGAAAAGAGAAACGCAAAAATTTTGAAAGTTAAGTCAAAATATTTCTAAAAAATAACTGGAAACAGAATTATATGCAAAATAACAAATTCATTATTATTATTAATTTAAATTGAAATGTCTTATTAATCTGTGTTAATGAAATTTCGATCTTTTTTTTATTATTATATTATGGCATGGTATCGCACATATTTGTAGGCTGCCAGTTACAACATTATTTTCATATACAATTACGAGTATATTATAGAAACAAAATTCAACAATTTTCTACAGCTGTTTGTGTTGAGTTGACAATGTCTAAAGTGTGAATATTATTGTATTACAGTTTCGCAGCTGTATTCCAGTGTCCATATATATGGGTGTCAACTGTGGAACCACATTGGCAGATAACGCGATTCATAGACGAGTCTTTGAATCCATCGTATAATTCAGACATTCTGTCCACCAACTCTGTACCACTTAGTTTTTATGAGCGAGTTGAAGAACTCATAACGCAAGTCAAGTTGACTGCAATGGAAAAAATGTTAGTATAATAGATAAGTTACCTATTGTATGTTGCCTTTACTTCTATAACTTGTTGTAGCATTATATATGATGTGATGAGGTGTCGCTACATAACTTATTGTTTATAGTAGTATGTTGGTAGTGAGTATACTGGTAAATTAACCTACTATTTATTGCAATATAGTAAGTTTATTTGAAAGCTACATGTAAACTAAGTATATACACAGAACGGAGCATCTAAAAGAGAATATACCATCCAAGCTTTAAAGTTAAATACCTAGGTTAGACATAGGAGTATTCTATGAAATATTGGTAGAACCATCTTCCGATACACCCAAGTTGTTGTTCTGGATGGTATCATGGTAGTTAAAATTTTTTATGTTGATTTTTTTTGTTATTTAGTATAGGTACGATGCGATTATCGTGGTCACTTATTGTGTCCAAAAATAAAAAAAAGTAAAAACAAAAAAAAAAAATTTTACTTAAATCTATTTAATGTGGAGACGTAAAGTAATGGAAGGGTGTCAAGTGTTGACAGAAATATTACAAGTGTAGGCACATTGTATTGTACGTTTTATATTATTCTTATAAATATCTTCGCATAAGTAGGTAGGTAAATCAGTAAACACTTCGGTAAAAAAACAAATATTTTCATTTGCACACATTACATAACTGAGAACAAAACTCTCGGTCACGTTATCTATCTACATATAATAGTTTATATAATGTGTGCAAATATAATCAACTATATATCATCATTAATATAAATAGATATAAAGATAAAAATGAAACGTGAACAATAAACGAGAAATTATAGTATGTTTTAGCTTTTCTTTTTAATTAAAAAAATTAAAATATAAAAAATGTACTGACTTTGGAAGGCTGAACTTTTTAAAATTTTATTATGTACTTACCTAGAATATTCGGATAAAAATCGCTAGTACTAGTTAGGTATTTATAACATTATTGTAATAATGAAACGCAATTATTAAATTTGTATTATTTTTGGCGCCAAAATTTGATATCCAGTACTTACTTTCACATTTATATACTGAACATGATTTTTTGTAATTTAATATTATTATTTATCTATTTTTAGGTATTTGAATGAAAAGGATGAAAAGACTTACACGGACATTATTGGCCCACTAGTTGCAGCTAGAGGGAGGACTTTGCCCCCATACAGTGACTTGATCTATAACGTATCTCTTATCTTGGGTAACTCACACGTGTCTATGGGAGAAGCGACCAGGCTTCCTCAGAACTATAAGCCAGTGGGTGGTTACCATATTGATGCTAACTTGACACCGCTACCAGAGGTACATATAGTATATTTTTTATTTTATTTAAGAAAGCAAGGCTCTTTAATGGGTGAGGCAGAAGTGAAGATGACTTAAAATAAACATCATTTTGATAAAAATATTTGAAAATGTAATATAGCTATTATAGTAGTTACAATTAAAAATAAAACAGTTAAAATATATATTAAAGTTTCGTATTCTTAATTTAAAACTTAATTTTCATTAAAATATATTCATATTTTAAAAATAGAATTATTAAGAGATTAATAATTTCTAGGATCTCAAAAAATTACTGAACGAAGCAAAAAATGGCGTCATCTACTTTAGTATGGGCTCCAGTTTAAAGAGTGTGGATATGCCAGATGATTTTAAGACTGGGCTTTTGAAACTGTTTGGTGAATTGAAGCAAACCGTAATATGGAAATTCGAAGAATCTTTGACTAATGTACCGAGCAATGTTCATTTAGTGCAATGGGCTCCGCAGCAAAGTATATTAGGTAAGCATGTAAGGATTATTAAGTAGGCGGACGTTAATATTTGAAATATATATTAGATCACATTTTTGTCAAGTCTGAAACGTAATTCGGTGTTTATATAAATTCGGCCTAATATGCAATTAAAAAATGTTTTAATGTACTGTTCTCATGTATAATTTATATATGATTGCTAGCAGAGACCGCAGACGTTGTCTAACTTGGAAAATCAGCCAATTTGCGTCCAATTATAATATCATTCCAAATAATCTGCAACCAATTGAAATATGTACACAAAATTGTATCCAAAACGGTCCAACCGTTTAAGAGGCACTGTGATAAACATTATAAGAATTAAGTTATAAACATACATTCAACAGTGATGAGTTATATATTTTATATTAAAATAATGATGACACCTAGCTAGATTTTGCATGTTTACTTACGAGATTCTACTACTACTTAGATATACTTGCCACCAGCAAATACGCAAAATAGAAACTATCAAATGTATTTTATTATATTGATTACATGCTATGCTGTTAGTTCCTGGTATAAGTATTTTCTAACTTATTTGTATTACTAATTAAATTTACTACTGGATATTAAGTAGGTAAAATGGTTTAAAGCATGTACTTTTAGAAGGTGCCTTTTATTTCATTTAATTCATCTACTTAATTATCAAAACACTACTTTATACGTACTTGCAAGTGACTATGTATATTGCAATACTATGAAAAAATCATACAAGCTGAAAGAAAAAAACAAAATTTCAGCGCATTCCAATTGCATCCTCTTCATCACACACGGAGGTCTTCTGTCAACAACGGAAACCATTCATTTCGGAAAGCCAATCATAGGTATACCTGGATTTGGAGATCAGTTCATCAACGTCAATAGAATGGTGAAAAAAGGTTTCGGTGTTAAAGTCGACTTGACATTCTCATTGGTTGAAGATCTTAAATTAGCAATAGCGGAAATCCTCAGTAATCCCAGGTACATGCGATTTTTATACATATTTTAGATTATGCACAATTTTTTTTAATGGATGATAATTTTTGAATGGTGAACTCGCCTGTGCTAATGGTTCACGCACTATACAGTGGAGGATGATAAGATGAGCATGAGGTCAGGTCAGTAATGGGAATTTTACCAGGAATTTCTCAAGATGGTTTCCAAGAGTGACCGCATAGAAATCAAGTAATAGTTGATAGCGATGAGGTCATCATTATTAACAATCTCTTTCCCTCTAATTAAGTAATTGTATAAAATTGAGTTTTACATTTTATTGAAAGAAACAATAAAATAGCTGAGATATTATTATTCTTTTGGGGTAAGGAAATTATTATAAATTTATTATAATACATTTGGGTGTTGCATTGTTTTAGGTATACAAAAAAAGTGCGAGAACTATCGCTCATATACCATGACCGGCCTGTACCTCCTGGCAAGGAGTTGGTGCACTGGGTGGAACACGTTATCAGAACAGGGGGCGCTCCCCATCTCCGATCACCAGCGCTTCATGTTCCTTTCTGGCAGAAACTGTACCTAGATTTGCTTGTAGTCATTATTGTTGTTTTGTATGCCACAAAAATTTTGCTATCACGATTGTTTAGATTGATTTTCGGTAAAGGACAATTAAATAAAAAGAAATATCAATAGAAAATTGTGTTTGCTTGACGTCCATACCCATACCTACCTATATAATATACCTCTTATTTATTCTACTACAATTTCAGCCCTTAATGTTTATAACATGACATGCTTTTGTCACATCTATCTTCGTCTATACCACAATAAACGCAGTCTGTCAATACATTTGTCTGTTCAGAATTATTACATTTTTTTTAATGAAATGAATACTTTAAAATTTTAAGTCCGTTCACTGCTACATTTAAGTACCTAATATACACTATGATAAAAAAATAGTTTCTAAGCAAACATATAGTATACCTACTCGTACTTATCTAACACGTAGAGATAAAGCATGGTAACGTAATAATTATCTTATATGTTTATTATGGGCATATGTTTATCACTAGGAAATATTGGTTAAATCAAATTCACCTTCGATAAGCTTATATACATATCTGATCTTTTATCCGGATTTTGATAAACGATTTTCAAAACGCTGATAAGTATTCGTAGGCGCCTCGAATTCAACTTTTCGGTAAATATTTTAAAACAACTTGTATTTATTCAAATATTTTAGGCGTTAAATATTAGAGTCCAAATGTCTTATAATATTATAGTTAAAATCAAAGAGTCATTTGTATTTTCGAATCCATTAGATAAAGATAAAAAATATAAGACCTAATACTATTGCTGATATCACATTTATATTATCTCTGATTAAGAAAATATATTTTCAGCAAATGCTGTCATATACCTACCTATACAAGTACATAGTATAGTTCAGATGTCGAATAATAGAGTTGGTTAATATACATATAAAGTGATTTAGTTTTAAAAGTGTATAATAAATGTTTACTTACGCATTTTGTACTTAGAAAGGCGGTTCGTGACTTCATATTTATAGCGTTTATAGAAGTTAGTAAGTCTTTTATTTATGAAGTACTTCGAGATTTAAAAGATATAAATCTTGTATGTATTGTAATGTATTATTAGATCTGTAGTCTTGTTAAAGAATGGCAAGTCATTATTACTAACAGTTCGTAATAAATTTGAATGTTTTTGATATGTGATAAAAGTATTCTAATCTCGATTATTATTTACATTAAAAGTATTTTTTTCTCGTAAGTTTACAGTTATATAATTACGATTATTTTGTCGTAATGCATTTTAAATAAAAATATTTATTATGAATTTTAGATACCTAGTATAGTTGTTTAAAACTTATTATTATCATTATAGCCTTTATTAAAATCAACTTAAGCTAATAAACACATACTGTTTTAAACACAAATATTATACTTTAAAAACAGAATAACTTATTGTAGCAATTGCATCTCAATTAACTTCAGTAGTTTTTAGCGATTCGGCATATGTATATTAATTAATTTTGCATTGTTTCCAATTACAGAGTAAAATTATCTAAACTAATAATAATAATAATAAAAATAGGAAAACTAATCTCTAATTGATAAGCTCAAAAAATCCTTAATATGTTTTAATAATTCTGTACCTATAGCTATTGTAGAAAGGTACACCTATTGCTAATCATACAATAATGTTAATGTCACTATTACTTACATGTGACACACGTACATGTGACATTTCCATTTTTTATTTTCAGAATATGCTACTTAATATGTGGGCTGTTTTTGTTATGGCGATGTTCCAAATAAGTCATGCCTATAAAGTAATGGTTTTATTTCCAATGCCTGGAGTAAGTCACAGCATCCTAGGAGAGAATGTGGCTAGACATTTACTGAATGCGGGTCATGAGGTCAGAATTTATTACAAAAACAAATAGATATATTTTATGAATATTTTGAGGGTTTGTATCAAATAATATGTAATAATACATCCGTGTATAAATCTCGTGTTTTGCTCAAAGTTTCTCTCCCTGCCGGCACTCATATGGTGATTCTAAGAGTATCTTTAGAATAAAGTAAATTGTTGGATTCGTATAAATAAAAACATTTCTATCAGATATTGAGTATCTATAATGACCTATAGACAAACTCTGGGATTAGCGCTATGTGAACCTAATTATTTGTAGTATGACGAATTATATACAATAAGGTAAACAATAATACTTAACATATATTCAATGGTAGTATCAGGTGTCCTTATTTTAATTCGTAAATATTTATGCAATTTCTTCAGAATTTGTTAATATAAATGCCAGGAGTCACTATATAGTATATTCTGTATTATACACGTTCATATTTGCCTGTTTTGATCCAGCATCAGGCCATCTACTTTTTATAAGTATATAAGTTATACTAAATATTCTGAAAGAAATAAATAGAAAAAAGAATCATCGACAACTATTTCATAATTGATATTAAATTCTAGGTCACCTTCATAACACCGTTTCTGAGTAAACATTTACATCCAAATTTGACTCAGATTGATGTCAGTGGGAATTTAAATATGGTGTCCCGTAGTAAGTAGCCTATATTAATTTTTTTAATGCATGATAATGGAATAACCTCTGTTCTAATTGTATACATTGGCAGGGATCTCTATTGTTTGCTAACTAGGATCTAGGATGAATGGAGGATCTAGGAACTAGGATGCTCTGATTTTAAGCAATGTGAGATTCCACGCGTTTGTCTGAAAATATAATTTTATTATTATTAAAAAAAAAACAAAATATAGTCGAATTCCGAAGTTTCGCGAAGATATCGTAAAATATGTCGTACAAAATACAGCCTATTATAAAATCCCGTTATTTTAAACTCGATTGAAAATTTTCATATAATATTTCAACACATTAACAGACTTGCGTTGTTGTTGTTAAAATTGATTAAATGATTGATGTAACCGTAGTCGTATGCGGGTACCTCAGACTCATTCAGGCTATTTCAGCCACCAAGTAGCTTGCTTTGTAAGGTGTGTTTCGATTGCAGAGTAAGAATTGCAGAGTAAGATCAGGTAGTGAAATTATAAGTTAAGAGGCATAACATCTTAGTCCTTTGCAATGATAACGCATTGGGGTAGTAACACGTCATGTCTGTACCTATAATGTGCTCTTCATGTATATAAGTAACTCATATATGCACCGATTATACCGCTTGTCATCAGGTAGCCAGCTTGTTTTCGATTACAATAACATAAAAACATGTTTTCTCATTTACAATTTCCAGATTTAAATTTGTACAATATACAGTCAATATTAAACAAGACTAGTGATATAGGATCTCCACTGATAATGTTTAATTTTATGACTGAGCTGGCATTTCAGACGTTAGTGAACCCTAATGTTGCTAATTTATTCCACGATACAAGACAGACATTTGATGTAGTAATAGCTGAGTGGATGTTTAGTGATATATATGCTGGGTAAGTTCAGTTTAGCTAAATCTATGCAGGACTAATAACATAAAACCTTTTTACGTGTAAAATTCACCCATTGTTTACATTTGAAAGAAAGTGAAGAAACTAAGTAATATTTATAATGTCTTCGGGACACGTAAGAATCGTCTTCAATGACATTATTAAGGATAACTCAAAAACTATATACACGTGGTCACGTATTGATTAATTTAATATGGGACCACATGAGAATCAACTTTTGAATAAAATATCGAAATCGGTTCACGTTGAAAAAAGTAATCAAAACACACTTAAAAAAAAAAAAGAAAATGCTGACTGCATTTATTTTTTTATGTTTGTTAATTGATAACTCCTCCGAAATTTTTTGATAAAATTTATTGTACAGTGTTTAATGAACTGTTTATTTTTATTGCAATCTAAAAATATATACAATCTAAAAATTAATATTCTCTAGCAGCCTTGATCTAAATATGCCTTCCCAAGCGTCCTGATGACTCCACTCACTAATTACAGATATAGTGGCAATCATCTAATGGTTTATCATTTCATAGATAATGTAAATAATAGTTTATATATAATATTTGTTGTTTTAGGATCCCTACATTGTATGAGTGCCCATTCATTTGGTTGTCTAGTTTAGATCCTCACTGGATGGCACTTTCTTTAGTGGATGAAGCCATCAACCCCGCGTATGCGGCAGATATCTCCTCTAGTGCTGTACCACCGTTTTCATTCATGGAACGAGTGAAAGGTTTATTCAGTCAGACCCTAATAAGAATTCTAAAAACTTTGTAAGTATATCTTTATCATTATTTAAATGCAAGAAAGAAATTGCATTGAACATTAAATATCAGCTTTGCGGCAATTATATTTATATTCATTTTTATTTGTTGATGTTATCTTAAATTTCGTAGTGATATTTTCATTAATTTCCATTTATGTTTATTATGAATAGTATAAGCTCTTCAATAACACTATATATATATCCATACTAATATTATAAATACGGAAGCATGTTATGGCATAATACATTTACAGTCTGACTTCAAGCTCATCCTATCATCTTCCACTGGTGCACTGCCAGCGTGTATACCGTTAGCGCAGGCAAGGGTGCCAAACCATTTTTGTCTCAGTGTAAGCGCGATCCGATGTGCACATATTATAATTATTTTATTTAACATCGTAATAAATAAGCCCTGCTAGTCGAAGTTCCAGCCATGTGTGACAAACTTGTGGCCAACGAACTCCTTGCGTTCCTGCAGCAGAAGCTGGACGTAATGGACGAAGTAAGTGCAGTCCAGATCTGTGTGTCCAACTTCAGCCAGGACGACATCGCGAGAGCGAAGGCTCTGCTCTTTCCCTAAATAATGGGCAGCAACGGGCATGCCGCGATGCGTTCACGGCGGAGTCAGCGGTTTCAGCGACGACACTGATCACCAGATGGTGTCACCGCCGGTCGTGCTCGCGAGCGCCGATACCGCTGTATGTGGAAGCAGCGCTAACAAAATCCTCGGTGCAACCAAAATTTTGCCGCCGTACAGCAAACCGATGCTTAGTACACGTGTGCTGCTGAACCGCGACGATGATGGCTTCGTCGTGGTACAAAAGACGACGTGACACAGGGTCAATAGGAATCATTGTGGCACTGCACTCACTGGGCCCAACTTTCTGCTGCGTGCTGCTACACCGACCACGACAATGTACTGTCCCTCTACACGCCACTAAGGACCAGGACATTGTCGAGTCAACGTCGTTTGTGCCCTGGTCCCCACCGACTTGCTGCCCACCTTCATGAAAGAGGATATCTGGCCAAAAGGTTGGTAATCTACTGTCAGATTGCCGTCTTCAGTGCCGTGATCACACAGACAATATCATGTATTATTTTTAAATATTATATTATATGTATGTTAGTCTATAAGGTATTTATAATATGGGCCTCTTTGCCTGAAATAAATGAATAAATAAATAAATAAAAAAAATTATATTTCTCAGATATCTCAATCGTCGGTACGAGCGAGACTTTGAAGCAATATTTAAACCATATTTAACGCAGCGGGGAAGAGCTATGCCTTTATTCTACGACGTTTTATACAATGCCTTTCTAGTTCTGAGCAATTCTCACGTATCTATCGGTCAAGCTCTGAGATTGCCGCAGAATTATATTCCAGTCGGTGGATATCATATTAATGAAGATATACAACCGTTACCAGATGTAAGTAGCACCTATAGAACAAACAATATTATAATATAGGCACCAGCGGACTCGCGTTTTTTAACCATCCCTAATAAAATATGTACACAATTTTTTATCAAATCAGTCCAGTCGTTTAAGGGAAATAGGTGACAAATACACGTACAGATGAAATATGTAGGTATTAGGATTGTAATATTTGCAAATCTTATATGGGGAGGTTAATGGTTCTCCGAAATTAAATTGTTGAAGTTAAAACTGTTACGCATTTTTTACGTGGGATACACTTTGTTTGGGCCGATATATAGACATATACAGGTCTCATCGGTCTAGTATATGTTACTATTCAACTGCAAATATGAGTATATTTTTTCTCATGAGAATACAAAGATGGGCTATGTATACTTCATTTTGAAATTTCAAACTAAATGGTTTATACATTATTTGCTTATTTAAGTAACTTCATGACATGTTATGAAAGAAAGAATATTACGGCAAACCAGCAAAAAATGCTCACTTTTATGTCCAGGAGATTATATGTAATAACTTGAAATATTGATTCTAATAAAGTTATGACTAAAGAGCACATTCTATTTTATAGGATCTTAAACAATTATTAGATAATGCAAAAAATGGTCTAATCTACTTCAGCATGGGAACAAATTTGAAGAGTAGAGATCTACCAAATAACATTAAACAAGGCCTATTAAATATTTTTGGCAAACTGAAACAGACAGTATTGTGGAAATTTGAAGAGAAATTATCTAATTTGCCTTCTAACGTTCATATTGTCCATTGGGCTCCTCAACAAAGTATTTTAGGTATGCGATAATGGCAATATTATGTATTATGTATACGTTATACTTGTAAACGGGTCCTGCTTGTAGAGACTTTATTATATGTCAACTTTGTTGTTTAGCAGCAATAATCTTAAAATCTTAAAAAATAATTGTAAAATGTAGGTTACATTTAAAAAAGCAACAACCGTGTTTATTGTTCATTCTTCTTGCGACTGCGTTCTGTATTATAAAGTTTATTTCAATAAAAAATATCTTTATTTCTATTATGTACTTGGACTGTCAAACAACCTGATGTTAATTGCGAAGCGTCGATCCATTCTGAACGACTAATACGTTTGTACACTGTAATTGCACTGCCATGTTTTTTAACCATGTTTTTCAAACCTAAACAAAGCACATAGCTTGGAGACCAATAGGTGAGACAGTGGTACCCATGCACGACCTTGCAGAAAGTCTACTTCAGTCTAATTAATATGATAAACAATTGTTTATAATCTAATTATCTAATTAATAAATCACCAACAATTTCAGCTCATCCGAATTGCATCCTGTTCATCACTCACGGTGGTTTACTTTCTACAACCGAAGCAATCTATTTCGGAAGACCTATGGTCGGGATCCCAATTTTTGGGGACCAGTTTGTAAATATTGACAGAGCTGTGAAGAAAGGGTACGCTAAAAGAGTTGATCTCTCTTACTCTATGGTCAATGATCTTGAGAATGCTATACGTGATGTTCTGATTGAGTCCAAGTAAGTATTTCCTACACATATACCTACACGTACTCAGTCTTTTTACTTCCTACTGGGTGGCGGGTTCAATTCCACGCAGAATGCTAACAAAAGTATTATTATGGTTTATATTGGGCTGGGAGATTTCTACTATTGTATTGTATTGTACGCATTTACAAAAAAATGTGTTTTAAAAATCTAACAGTTTATCTTGGGACTAGATAGCATTGTGTCCAGGGGTATAATTAGGTATATTAATACCTACGTGAAGCAAAAACTTTGTACCGCTTATGACAAAATTCCGCGAACATCGCCGTCCCCATAATTATGAAATTTTGCACATTTACAGTTTATATAGGGAGAAAGAATGCAGAATGCTAACTTTTTTTAATAATGCATAAAACATACATTAAATTTGACAAACACACGCATAATCTTTTTACAATTCAAACTTTTAATTTAAATTATTTATGATCAGATTTCGACCCGATTATTAGACGACCACTAGTTATTATTATTGACTGAAATCATAATATTTGTTGAGTTCGCATTTTTTTTTAATTCAGGTATAAGAACAAAGCGAAAGCGCTGTCATTGATATACCACGACCGTCCAGTGTCACCAGGTGAGGAGTTGGTCCACTGGGTGGAGCACGTGATACGCACCCGCGGCGCCCCTCACCTGCGCTCGCCCGCCCTACACGTGCCAGTGTACCAGAAGTACTACTTGGATCTGATTGCACTTATTATTGCTATAGTAATCACTATTAAAGTACTAATTAAATGTCTGTTCTGTCCCAAGAATAGAACTATAAAGAAGAAAACTGATTAATTAAATTGTGAATGTTATCCTGTGTAATTATTTAATTCAGGTTTTAAAATTAAAGTAGTAAGTGGTTTTAGTAATCGATTGAATCAATTTAGTTTCTTTTTGGTTAGGAATACATAGGACCAAAGTACAAAGTACTTACAGTATACTCTTTTAAATATTTTTTTTACATATCGGTTTATGAATGACGGAGTTATGAAGTAACAAATATTAAAAAAAATACAGACGCAATGAGAAATCTGCTCCTCCTTTTTTGGAGTCGGTTAAAAATAGATAAAAATAAATCATATATCTTAACTAACGACCCACCCCGACTTCACGCGGGTAATTCAAGCCATTTATACATAACTTTAACAAATTATATATAGATTTAAATCTTTCTCAGATATCACTCAGTGGATGGATGAAAAGCTAAAAACTGCATTAAAATTGTGTAGTTTAAAGTACTAAGCTAACAGACAGCAGAAGCAACTCTTTTTATACTATATAGATATATATACTATATATAGCAAAAACATTGTTGCTATATATATATATATATATATTTCTTGTTAGTATGGACTGTCCTTTATTTACGCATCAGTAACTGTACCGTCATGCTGAACAGTTTAGTATACGAGCTTGAGTTGTAGACGCGTTATAAGTTAATTTGTTATCTAATAAATTGTACATTTTAATCGTCATTAATAAAAATCGTTTAAAGTGGACATTATCCGTCATTAAGGAATTACATAACGGTGTCCATATCTTTGTAGTCAAATATAAATATACACAGCCTAGAAAAGCAGATTAGATATTATAAAAAATGTTGGTCATTATGCGCTGTTTGATTTAAAATATTACGAGTTTGTGAATATCTATATAAATGAATAATGAAGTTATTATTTATATTACATTTAATTACGTTGAGTGTGGAGGGATATAAGATATTAGTGGCTTATCCTTTGCCGGTAAGAAGTTTGAACATATTAGGCGAGGGATATGTGAGGCGATTGCTTAACGCTGGACATGAGGTAAATATTGTGTTTGTTATTATTTTTGAGACATCTTTAGTTTTATTTAATATCTATTATTTCTTTTATCAATTTAAGAATGTGTAACTATGTTAATAAAATTAGTTACACGTTGAGTTTCCTATGCAGTTGACGGCCATGGTGGTTTAGCACACCGTCTTACTCCCAATGGTTGTGGGTTCGATTCCTCACACGATACGAACATTTGTATTCATGAGTAAGTATGATTATTTGTATCAGTCTAGAAGTTTTCTATGTATAATAGATATGTATTTACAAAAAAAAATAACTATACATTTGTATCAGTTGTGAAGTACATAACACAAGTTGTACACAGCTAAATTAGCTTGGCCCTAGATGGCGCTGTGTGAATTGTCCTGAAATATTATTATTATACTGATCTCCAAATAAACGAGTTATAAAACCGTTTCGGTACAGTTCATTGTCGAGGTCACTGAGTGAATCAAACGAATTACCAAATAGATTACAGTTAGTTAACCTTGACTTACCTCGTCTAATTGTTACTCGTATAACAAGAATAGATGGGACAACCGCTTTGTATTTTTATGTATTAAACGTATATGTAAAATATTGTGTAATGCGTTGTCAAATATCAGTAATTAGACGCGAATCATATAGAAACATTGTATGAAATATCCATTATTACAAAGTATCCTTTGCTATAAAGGACTATCGATAAGTTACGTTAAACAAATTTAATATTTTTTCCCTCCCTCCGCTCACCTCCGTCACAGCTGGTGACTTTTGTTAAATATTCATGTTTTAAAATCAAAATTTAAATCTTACTTCACAAAATCTAGGATACCATGAGTGGCAGTGGTTCTTCATTAGTTGAATTTTTAAATAAAGTTTAAGACTTCCTCAATCACTTGTCACGCTTTAATCCACAAATACTTCATACTCTTAAGGTATGAATTATTTGTGGTTGGCCCCTAATTACTTATATCTGTAATATATTTAATAGGGGTGTTTTCGTGCTTCTAGGTAACTTACATAACAGGGTTTCCCCTAGATAACGAAGACAAAAATAAATTACGGCAAATAAACATAAAGAGCAACTTCGATGCTTTTCCAGGTATGTATGCATATTAGTTAGGTCTGAATATTTTAAATATATATTAATTTCTTTAGAAACACAAAAATAGCGAGAGAAATGATGGTAGACTTGTGGTTAGATGTGATAGATACCTGACCCTACCACGTTGGACTCAAATACGATACGTATAAGGTAGATAGGTAAACTGTAATATGGGATTCTCAGATATTGCGTTCACTACGATGTAGATAGAAAAATGATGGCCCATTTTAGAAATTTGCCGGCCTTTTAAGAAAGAATGACGTTTCAATATCGTAGGTAATATCCCAAATATCATTGCTAGAAGGTGATTCCACAATGTCATTCTAAAAAACAATTTTCTGGAAAAACGGTGGACGACCGCCATTCGTTTAGATAATCAGGATGGTATTTTAGGTACTGTGTTTTGTGTTTGTGGGTAGTGCGATGGTGAAATGGTGACTGCAGCAGCTGGTATTAATGCGATTTTGCTAATCTTTACAGATGGGGGTGCTTTTGATATCAGTACAGTGATAGACAAAGGCATGGAAGTAAACGCCGACCCACAAGCTATGCAGGACTTTGCCCTGTATAACGCATTTATGACTTTTGAAAACAAAGATGTGAAAGCACTGATCGAAGATCCTAAACAAGAGTTTGATCTGGTAATTGCTGATTTATATGAGACTGAAATATATGCTGGGTGAGTAAAGTTTACAGTTCACAAGCTAACGAACCACCTGATGATAATTGATTGTGGGACTTTTTACATACCTATAACATGTACCTAATTTAATAGATCCTGATTTTATTAATGATGATTTAATAGATTTAAAAAATATTTTTTCCGGGAGTATGTTATGAATCATAATTTCTGAAGTTATCTATTTCGATACGTCTTCGAAAATCAAAATTCTTTATCCTGTATAGACTTGATACTGTTCTTCACCACTGTCTAGTGGCAAAAATATATAATATCATGATATCAATTTGTACATTTGTAGATTTTCAGCTCTCTACAACTGTCCGATGATATGGAGTTATTCAATGGGAGCTCATTGGCAAGTGTTGCGACTGATAGACGAGGCAACCAACCCAGCGTACACCTCGGACTATCTCTCCGCCAATATACCACCGTTTGATTTTGGACAAAGAGTCCAGGAGCTGTGGTTGCAGTTGCAGTGGAAATGGATTAAATGGTTCGTGTATTTTTATTACTACATCAAGTATATTTTTATTTAATGCCATATTCAAGACGGGAAAAAACCGGAATCATTTGCATTAGTCTCCAGTCGCCTTATTAAGTATATTAAGGATAACTCAGAAACTACTAAGATCAAATTTATACAGACCTTAATGCATTATGGATATAACAGCTATATAAAAGTAACCATCATCATCGGCTACAGTAGAAAAAGCAATTTGTCTCAACAAATAAATCGACTTAGAAATTGTTTTTTATATTTGGTTGAAAAAGCTAATTTCAACAGAATTCAATTATATATATATATATATGCTTCACTTTTTACCTAACCTTTCCACATAACTTTTTATATGGGATATTGCAAATGGTTTAGATACGTGTTGAGATAAATGATTAGTAAAGGCGTATAATCTAGAAAGTTCGATTTTTAAATTGGCTCGGTAGACAATCGAACCCGGAACCTCATAAACGAATAGGTACGACGTATTTAATCTGTTAGTAGCAATACATTTACTTTTCAGGTATTCAACTACACCAAAAGAGGAACTCGCCTATAAGCAATATTTCGGTCCACCCATAGAGCAACGTGGCAGAAAATTACCGGATTATCAAGAACTAATTTACAATGCCTCCATGATATTGAGTAATGATTACAATGCATTCGGTAATATACCGAGGACCCCGCAGAACTTCAAGTTGATTGGTGGTTACCACATTGCCACACATACACAACCGCTGCCAAAGGTAATTAAAATTAGAATTATTCTCAAAAACCTTGTATTGGATTTCTATAACATGGAAGTCCATAAAAAATAACTTGTCCAAAAGTATCAGTTAAACTAAATGTGCATGCAAAATTTCATCTTAATCTGTCGAGGGTTAGGTATGTAGACTCTGCTATAAACTATTGTGTGTGCTATCTTACTATCCAAATTCAGGATTTGGATTGTCATTATATCACCAAGCATTTGCAACAAACCTGCCACGCTACCTGACACAGCTCTACGTTGATAAGAACTGAACAAATTCAGGTTCAACATTTTCCCCAAACAAATACAAATATCACGATTTAAATAACAGTTAATAAGTAAATAAATGTATCATTATTATTTTATACTGATATAATTGGAAGGGCAATATGATGTACCTTCTTATTAGCCAAAATCTCAGACAGGAGGTTTAATCGTATTATTTGGTTAGATTTTATTGTTTAAATGTTTTTTTTTATTTACAGGACCTTCAGAGCCTTATGGACAATGCCACAAATGGTGTTATTTATTTCAGCATGGGTTCTACACTAAAAAGCAAGGATATACCTAAACCTATAGTAGAACATCTTTTGAAAATATTCAAAGGATTAGAGCAAACCATAATATGGAAATTTGAGGAACAATTGTCGAATTTACCTAAAAACGTGCACATTACCAGTTGGGCGCCTCAACCGAGCATTTTAGGTTAGTGCGTATAAATTTGGTCTAATCTGAAAAAAGTATGTAACGGCAAATACTGTAATCCGTGGATCCTTAGATCTGATTGCTCTAATGAGCCGTTATAATGGGAGAAAATCGGTTTAGGCGGCATGTTATGAAAAATAGGCATTGATTTCGCTACACATGTGGCACCCTTCTTCCAAGGCACTCCCCACCATTACTACGTCTTTGCACCTGACTTTCGTACCGTGTGTGGGTCGATTTAAACTAAGCGAAACTTGATTCTTGTACTTCCTCCTACCTACTCATAGTTCTCAAACTTTTGTTTGAGAACTACGAATAGGTAGGAGGTACCAAACTGTCTCGAAAAAATGTGTTAATTTTCACATATCTATAATTAAACTTTTTATTCTATAAACTGACTTCAATCGTTCAAGTTCAATCAATAAACGCTCTAGACTTAAGAAAGAAAAACATTGTTAATTGTACTGATTTTCTCGATTTTTGCTTTAATGACTATTTTTTTGGTTGATTTTTCTTGTACAAAAATATAAGTATTTTTCATAACAATTAAGACGCGCAACATCTGCAGCCTTGCAGACAGACCGACAAAAAATTGTGATGAATAGCTTTGATTTGTCGCTCTTTACAATAACTATACCATCCAGCTATCTACTGACATGTGTACGTAAGTACCTAGATTAATCAGATTGGAACAATTAAGAAGTACCTTGCATACTTCATATGCACTTTATTCCGTTATTTAAATGTAAGGATTGTTCTTTCAGCACATTCAAATTGTTTATTCTTCATCTCACACGGAGGTCAGCTGTCCTCAAGTGAGTCTATACACTTTGGAATCCCTGTGATCGGCATACCTATTTATATGGACCAATTCGTAAACATAGAGAAAGCGGTCAGCAGAGGATACGCGATCAGAGTTCCTTTCACTCATAATTTAGCGAACGACTTGGAGTCAGCTATTGAGATGATGCTTAATGAGCCACAGTAAGTATATACTTATAAATATCTGAGCTAATATTGCAAATACCAAAGTGTGTGTGTGTTTTTGTGACCTCTACATGAAGTGAACGACTGAAATTAAAGGGATCTTAAAGAAAATTTCCTTTTGAAAGATTATATCGTGAAGACTATCGGATATAGGCTCTTTTATCTTAAGAAAGCGGTGTTCTCTACTGAGTTAATATAAGTTATAAAATCATTTGTGGAATGCAATCCGTAATCCCAATATGGCTGTCTCTTTTCTTCACAATTTACAATGAGTGAAGTTGATGCTAGATAGATATCGTTCTGTTAATTCTTATCTATTCTGTTCATTAGTAAGACTAGAGGAATCAACAGTACAATATCCTTCCTTCTCTTACAGTGGTGTCTTACCTTGTGGCCAGAATCAAAACTTCTGATATTTCACTTTAGCCTTAGATAGCCCTATCGGGCGGTAATATCATTTAAAACACGCAGTTGGAATTTACCGGTGGAAATCTATTAACTTAAGTTTACCTTACATTTGTAACTTGATCGTGGATCGTGTTTAAAACAACATCTTGGCGTGTAACTTTTTTTTATTCTTGTTTACAGGTACAGACAGAGGGCAAAGGAATTATCTGCGATATACCATGACCGGCCAGTGTCTCCTGGCGAGGAGCTGGTCCACTGGGTGGAGCACGTGATACGTACGCGCAGCGCTCCGCACCTACGCTCGCCCGCTCTAAACGTGCCCTTCTACCAGAAGTACTATTTGGATCTGATTGCTTTATTCATTATGCTTAATATAGTCTTATATACTGTTATGACAGTGATTTATAAAGTATTTAAGGGTAAAAGGAAAGAAAAGGTTAATTAAAAACTGTTTTTTTGCAGACTCAGTTCGTATAGTAATCATTCTTTCCCATTTTTTGCACCAGTGGGCACAGTTTGCAAGTGGACTTGATAACTTGTAAGGTTTATTAAAAGTACAGATTAAAAGACAAACATTTAAGACGATTTTTTTTATTTATAACATAATTACACGTTGTCATGTCATGTCATAAATTAAACTTAGAACAATATTTATTCAGAATCACAAATAATAATACTACTCAATAATACTTAACAATATTCATTATAATTGAATTATACATTTTTTTACAATATTATGACTTTATTATATCAGTCATCTTAATGGTATGTCAATATGAATATTATTATCAAAAGAGAAAACTCATTTTTGTCTTGTAATTACATTTTTATGGTCCGATATTTTAACATTAAGTGTCCTATCTATATTTTGAATAATATTTGTTATTATTAATCAATACAATACATATGAAATTAACATTTTACTGTATTTTATTAATAAAATAATCAATATAAAAATCCATTGATTCATGAGACGTAATTACTTTTCCCAAAGATAGGTTATAAATAGAGTATATTACATATAATTGATGTATGCATATAACGATTTCATAAGTCGACTATTTATTTTCTATAATAAACCATAAGCTCTGCTCAGCTCTGTTTTGTTTTGTTTACAGAGGCTGTATTAACAATGACAGCCTCTATAGTCAACCAGTACGTTACAATGTTGTTGATACTTATTAACCCTTTTTAAATACCACAGATTAACTTTTAGGGTCCAATATATGTAATTATATTTAATAATAACAAAAACAAATCTATTATAATTTAACATACAACTAAGATATATTCACTATAATAAATAAATCTAATCTACAAACTAAAATATCCAACACCATTTAATTATCACATTTGGTCAAAATTAATAATACATTTATTAATTAATAACAACAAACAATGTACTATTAGGTCATAATATTAATAATAAATACTACATGAAGGAAATATAATACAAATTTAGAACAATAAAAGAATAAAACGTTTAAAGTGAAGTTTTTAACATTTAAACTTACAACTATATTGACAACAAAAATCATAGAATGACTTTTATATGTGTGTATGTTACGGAGGTTGTATATATGGATGTTTTATTTATACATAAATCGTATGTAAGAAATTATCGGAACTGTAATTTCAAACTATAAAACCCGTATCCGTTGCATACTTAGGAAGAAGTAAACGCTGTAGAAACAAACAGATGAAAACATTAACTACACTTCGTAATTTTTATGGATTTTTGTCTAGTGAATAAACTACATTAACAACAAAAATCGTATACGATGTCACTATTAATTTAATAAAGAGGACAATAAATCTACTTAGCTAACACATATTATGTTTAAATCTATTTCTATATCTATAATATAATTATTATCAATACCATTTTACGTTTGGTGAAACATTAGAAACATAACGAAATATACCTATATAACTACATGTTAGAAAGAGTCAACAATAGTTATGTTAAGAATTTACTATTCTCTCTCTGTAAGTCGCTGAACTTATATAGTAAGAGTCAGCAATTGGCAATGAAAAAAGACGGTTACAAACAAATAATGAAAATCAATGCTTAGTGAAATTGATCACAGTCAAAAAAATCCAATCTCAGTACAAAATTTGTTTCAGCTTTACCAAGTAAAAATAACTAAAGAAAACGAAGTATTATTAAATAACGATGATATTATTATTAATTTAATAACGAATGTGACAATGGTATAACAATAGCATTTCTCACATGTTGACTGGAGTGACAATTAAATTCGAAAAGAACGCTATCGAAGATCGGAATTTCTTTTCTAACTTACTAGTCACTCTAAGACCGATGTATAGGGTTTGGTTGCTATTTAATTTCGTTTTCTATTGCTTTAGTAACTGTTCTTAAGTTTTCAGTTTTAATAGCTGACCTGTAAATATTCGCGATAATTTAAATATGAAAAAAAAAAGTACTAATAAGAGAAAAAGTTGAAAATGTTTAAGGCTGGATCTCAATGTTAGCAGTATGGTGTGAAGAGATGCGATGCAATAACGGCTTTAGCAACATTAGCATGCTTAATGATGCAATGGGATAGTTTCTGGTTACTCATAGTCAATATGCATAGTATAATATTTTTTCTCAAGTTTTATTGACTACTAATAGATATATATATAACATTAGTCCCCTCAAGTAAAGCACATAGTAATGGACGTCAACCTACAAACTAGCTCAACAAACCTTACTGTCAACTGTTACGAAAGCTAAAACTTGTGTTGTTATTCTCAAGGAAACTAGGCATTTTGCCTTCCTTAACTGTCCTTAAAGCTTGCAACACTCTCGCCGTATCTAATTCCTTTTCGGATGCCTTCTCGTTGTCCAGACACAGCTCTCCCATTCTTGCATTGAACTGTTCTATTACTTTCACTCTATAATCTATGGTCGAGGCGACCGGGTTGGCAGTTAACCGTAGATATTCTAAACAAGGCAACTTACAGATATGCTGGACTTCTTCTACATCAGTGATGAGATTACAGCTTAAATCTAGACTCTCTAGAGAATACAATCGTGAGAAACCTTGTAGGGAGACAACTTGGTTCTGCGATAGATCAATTTTAACTACATTCCCAATTTTAGCGTGCCAGTTCTCGCATGCTGAGAATTTATTCATTGATAGATTGAGTACCCTCAGTTCATGGAGACACGATATATCGCAGAGTTCGGTCAGTCTGTTGGATGAGAAATTTAGTTGCTGTAATTTCGGTACCAATTTAATGGCCCAGTCTACTTGTTTTATACTGTTGCTTGCGAAGTTTACAATTATCAGCTTATTCCATTTCTGAAATAGTAAAAAAGTTGATATTTATTCATACATCCACATGACAGGTTCCCTACGATAATTGGAGATGACCAAATATCATATGAAATATACCGCTCTATGTGCTTATTCATCCAAGAATAAAAACATGTAAGAAATCGCTTAAGGAATAAGCTCACCCTTGTATAATACATTTATCATATTACTGTTTTATTTCCTGTTTGTGTGTACAATAAATAAGAATAAAGAATTTTTAGCTGTAACACAAGGAATAAAGTACAAGACTATCAGTGACGGAAATAAAATACTATACCAAGCCGCTTGGTCAAAACAGTACGCTAAATACACTTCTAAATAGTAGTCTTAATGCTTAGTGAGATAATGATGATGACTAATGAATTAAATACAGAAATTTATTGAGTTCATACTATTATTTATTGGTAACCCACATTGAAGCCGGAACATAAATTTGTATACTGAGTCACCAGATGCCTTGTTTGAATATCGACATATTTATCATAACATGTGTAACCTACATGGCAATTGAATTAGATAAAGTTGTAAATATTAAACACTAGCTGACCCCGCGAACTCCGATTCGCCTCAAAATTACATATGTCAAAGGTTTTTTGAAGTTTAGTTACGCAATAAATTTCTGAACGCACCCTGTTTGACAGGTACGAACAGTTTGTATGGGAAAATAAAATTGTTGTTTTTATTATTTTCTAAGCAATTTCTTCATATTTTGTCACAGTTTAAACCTTCCCTAGACTTCCTGAATATTTAAAAACAAATATTAGGCAAATCGGTTAAACCATTCTCGAGTTTTAGCGAGACTAACGGAACAGCAATTCATTTTTATATATATAGATAGAAGATAGATTACAATAATATACCTATTGACTCTGTTACAGTAGGTAAGTGAGCAGAACGATGCCAATTTGAGCGAAATAGGCGATGCCAAATTCATACTTGTCATCGTGTTAGTAATTCAATTGTTTACTGTTGGTTTGGTTTAGTTGTATAATGTTATTGCCAAAATTTTATATTGGTGAAGTAGCTGAATGGTCGGGGGGAGTTCTTAGTAATGACGCCTAGTGATTAGTGATATAGTATCACTACTACCAATGTACCGTTATAAATCGACCTCCACGTGGTACGACTGGAAGTCATCGTGATTTATTCCTGCATCATCCTCCACCGGTACCAACATATACTGTTAGTGCAACACAGGTGCACCATTGTCAGAGTTGCAATTGCAATTCATACAACACTCAAGTTGTTCATAAAAAACAGTAAAATTCAAATTTTCATCTGTAATAATTGATGAAGCCCCCATTTCTCCAACTCCTAGATTATGTCAAGAATTAATCTACTTCCATTAACTCTTTTTACCATTTTTGTAATTATTTAACAATAATACTGTATGAACTCCTACAACTGTATGGTTTCATACAAGACAAAAACTGTATTATATATATGGGGCCATAAGGTACAATTTTAGATAACATTTTATTACTTACAAGAGTATCGTTAATGCTCGATGGATCTTTGTGTAGAATATCTACTAGTAGGAACTCATTCAGCGACACCACATTAGCTATTTGTATGTATAAACTGACAAGTGTGTTGCGGAGTGTACCTGAAACATCATTAATCTTATTCATTATATTAAACAACAAAGAGGTAGACAATCATCTTAATTTGTAAGGTGTATCAGTTGTAGATTAGGCAGTGAAATTATAGGACAAAAAGTATATTATCTTGGTCCTCAGGAATAGCAACGAATAGCAACGAATAACACATATCCCATTTTTTTTTATTGGGTTGTTTGGGCTATTGTCAGATACATGCACTTGTAGCACTGCGACCTACATAGATCTATTGTGCTCGCCCTTTTTTAAAGTTCGCTACCTAGACCCGTCAGGGACAAGAATTGAAGGATATTCTTAGGAGCGATGGTTTTTATCTCCTCGGGAAAGAGTGTAAACTTTCCAAGGGAGATATTTCGTTTATGCATGAGTGGGCTACAACCACATAGGATGTGTAGTGGCGTTTCCTCTTCAGTTTGGCAGAATCTGCAGATTTTTGTCGTGCATAGGCCTAGTTTAGCCATATGCTTGTTCAACTTGCAGTGCCCTAGTCATCATGCATATGTTGTTTTTACTCAATAGAAATAGTCTATTGGAGTAGTTTAGCCCGATATTAGGGCTTTTCAATGTGTCAATCCTGGCATTTCTTGCCAGTGATTCAGTGTCTCGTTTGGTTATTAATTTGAGATGTCCCAGTTTTAGGTAACGAGGCTCACCACAGAAGGGTTTGGGACCCAGTTGGGCGGTGTTTGCCCCCCAATTGGGCCTATACACCCATAATAAAAAACACACATGATACAATCATGGGTGTTATACCCATTTCTTACTTCCAATTCGCGGATTTAATTGTCTGAATATGATGTTTGATAACATACGCTTTGATTAGCTTGGGACTAGATGGCGATGTGTGATTTAACCTAAAATATTATTATTATATAGGCCATTACTCGTCGTCAAATGAGCCGTCAGCTTGTTTACCATTCCAATTACATTAAAAGAAGTGTATTACACATTAACTGCAGAGTGATATCGCAGAATAAGTCACCTGTGCTAACTCTATCCATATGTTTCACAATTGAACTAACATGCATGTGATGCACATGGCCATATAGATACACATCTACTCGTCTCTCTGCCATTAAGCATATATATATATATATATATATATATATATGTATATGTATAAACATAATAAAAATAAACAAACTAAGATATTTCATTTCAACTAAAAATTAAATATCTTAGTTTGTAATATTAGTTTTTCACTAAATGCTTATAAAAGTACATATGGTATGTACGTAAAAATTAATAACTACTATAACCACACATGGTACAATTTAAATTCTCTCTGTAAGTAATATAAAAAAGCTTTTACCCATATATAAAGAAACAAAATGAAATTATAAATATATACTTCAAATTGTAATTGTACAGAAAATTAAGATTATATAAATAAATATAAAGAAGTTCCACCACATTGTTTATAGAGTGGTTGGCATATAAAATCTATTGAGACAAACATTATTTGATTTTTATATTTAAATTCAAATTCAAATTCAAAAATCATTTATTCATGTAAAATCTATTGAAGACAAACATTACTTTTTTTTTTTGTATTTTTATATATTTTTATAATGGCAGAATAGTTACTAGAATTGTGTTAATTTAGAAAATCAATGTAGATATATTTCTAAGAGAGACAAATCACTTACCAACACTCTCTATGCATGCCATTGGTACTCCCATTATGTTTAAATCTAGCAGGCCCTTAAATGGAACGAGGGTGAACTGTAAATTGTTGGGCACAATGTTACTTGTACCATATTTCTCATAACTTCCCTCTATACTCAGTGAATGGAGGTGTGAACAGTAATCCAATATGTGACTGAAATCATACATTTGATCGACTTTCTCTGTAGACGGGCAGGCCATTTTCAATCGTTCACTTATTGCATGCAACTAGAAAAAATATTAATGATTACAATCACTTCTATTACTAGTTCTCTAAAACCAGTACAGACCTTTAATATGGTCTGTAATATTTCTATAGGAGCTTAGTTGTTTAATACTTAATTTTATTTATATACTTGCTTCTTAGATAGAATGTAATAAAAAATAAGTTTAATTTATTAATATTAACTTTTTTTAAATACTTGTACCACCAATTGTCTTATGTAGAAGAAATCAACAGAGATAGGTTTTGTACTAAATTGGCTACCTCACATGTCACAAATTATGACAAAAAATTACATATGGGATTCAAAATTATAATTGTGCAAACAAGTGGTACACTACCTGTAATGGAGTAAATTTGTGTGATTTTTCAGCTTCCAATAATTTATCACCTTCTAAAAACAATGTCTTTGCTAGATCTTGCAGTAAAAAGTATATATCATACAAATGAAAGTGTAAAAAGTGGGCGAATTCATATGGCATTGAGAGCCTTAAATAATTGAAGATATTTTTAAGATAGACATTGAGGGCTTCACGCCTATGTTCGATAAATTTGGGGGTCTTGTTCCTAATAACTTTCTTCGGCGGAAGTAACTCTTTCGCCACCCCATGGTTTGTGACCAAGTATTCATGGAGCTCTAAAAAATCACTGTAGCGATGAGAAACGTTCCAGTTGACGGGGCCCACTGCAACGTTGATTGTGTAGTATGTAACTCCATCCTTTGTTGTCGCCTCATCCACACTCACTACACTGGAGTTATTATGGATTACAAATGATGACATATTTTACGACCAAACACAATGCGAAGATTCGATATGAAAACTACAATTATAGTAGTGGAGTGATTGATTGTATTGATGTTCACATTTCGCGTGACGTAATATTTGTTTCCCTAGTTACGTGGAATACTGAATAATTAATTATCAGAAATACATGAAGGAAATAAATTATAGCACAATATCGTTTTAAACAACACAGTCAAACACCACAGTTTTACACACTGACGTTTTAAAGTATAAAAATGTACTCTGTGACATTTTCTCTGTATAAATGGCTATTTCTATGAAGTATTTTGATCCGAGTTAGCTGTCAGTTCAATGTCATGGGCTTAAAGTCAGTGTTGTCAGTTGTAATTATTATATGTGTATGATACACAGCAATTTCAGGCATATAAAAACTACATATTTTCACAACGTTCCATCTGATGGTAATTGGTAACCGTAGCCTATATACAAGAACAAAACCACGAACATCACTTTATCACGTGACGACCGTGATAGTACTTATGCTTTGTCATTCTGGAGGACTGAGATGTCTGCGCAGACAGATAAGACTACAAGTTTTTAGAAAGTTTAACTTGATAATAACATACATAATGTATTAATACTTTTCCTATTGATATTAAGCGTTATCTTATTATGTACCATGATTGAGACAGATATTCATTTATTATTCATTAGATCAGAGCATACGGGGGAGGCTGTTATTTTTTTTTAAATATTCTAACGCTGTTGGTCAACTTTACCGGGCGAAAAATGGCAGTCGTGATACTACATACTAATGTCCTCTTATACAACAGATATTTTCAGTTATGACTGGTATCCAAAGTATACTTAGTATCACATTTAATTTATATTATGTATCCATCTTCTGGATTGAACTGAAGAAAAGGTGAAGTAAAAAGATGATAGACAAGTCAATAATTTACAAACCAACCAACCAGGATGATTAAAAAAAAGGGCACCAGTCAGGATTATCGTGACTCAAGGAATCAAAATTAAAGTCACAAATGCTGTTCATATTTTTTATTTTTTATCAGGTAGTACAAAACAGTTTACACGAGTCTCGGCCAGAATTATGTTGTGCGACAATAAATTACGACAGTTTAATTAATTATATCGATTGAAGTCGTCTAGCGAATACAATAAAGTACACACGGGTGTCATTTAGTATTAATAAAATGTATTCTGATTTAAATTTTATTAATTAAGAAGTATCATAATAACCTCGAAGACATATTTCTCGTAATCGGTGATGTCTATGGTAGGTAACTCATAAAGTCAATTTGTAAATAAAATTAGGTTTTATACGAATCGGCCAGTACGTACGTAATTATGTATGTATTTTAATTTAACGCTCATATCATAATATCATCGCACGCAAGGGATGCGGCAGTTGAACTTTATTTCTAGCCTACCGTTCTCGCCTCTCCCTGAACAAAATCCTGCTTAGGCCCATTCTACAACATGCGATTTCTATATGGATGTTAAACCAGTGGTAAACCAGGTTATTTCCCAATATAGTATTACCTTATTGCTTTAGTAATGTAAAATGTTAGTACAGTATTATATCTTGGCAAGTTTGAGGTATTGCACTCTATGGAGAATCCATATATCTATATTTCTAATTTAAGAGACCATACACAATATTCGTAATGTATCTATGTTTATAATAATACACTGAGCGCCAAAGTCAGGTTAGTTTAAATCAAATAGATTAAACACATTTCATCTACGTAATACAGACACTATCGTTGTCAATAATGACTTGATTCGTCTCGTTAACAATTGAAATTCATGTTATGGACGAGAAAGTTAAATTCATTAATATTTTCAAACCACTAAGAAATCTAGGCATTATATTGTAATTGCGAAATAGCGTTTTAAAATCAATTTTTTATGTTAAATAATCAGATATCTGAATATATAGAAATTTAAAAAAAAATATATGTAAATATTAGGTAACATTTGTACTAATATATTACATCGATTTAATTTTTATTAGGACGGAAGTATATTGTGACATTTAAGGGGACGCTAGTATTTGTAAGGTTCAATTTTCGTAAATTTTTGATCCAATTCGATTATTTATAAATTTCATGAATGTGAGTTGATTTTCTCCCTATTTCTCGACGTACCTAAGTAAAAAGTCTTACAATCGGTCATAACTAACGACACAGATAAAGTATGTTTAAGACTGCCTTCTGTAATATCATTAAACATTTCAGATTTATAAAAGCATACTTATATAATTTATTTCAGTTTACTTTCTGTACATACCATAATAACAAAATCCAACAATAGTAATAAAAATGTAAGAATTCATATGAAAAATTTCAGCAGCCCTAAACATACACACAAAGTACAAACATTCAAAACATTAAAATACATAGCAAAACATAATTAATCGTTTTACGAAAATAACAAAACAATCCGAGTCAATAAAATAAAATTTATCAAAACACTTTAAATTATAAAAATAATTAAAATTGTAATTATACTTAATAATAATTCATTCGTTTAATTAACTCTATTCCATTCTTTTATTTGATATATCAATAACGTCAATTATCTTTATATAAACAGAAACTTAATAATTCTATCACGCAATTTTTATTTAAAAATTTGGGGATTTAAATTCTGTTTGTTAAATAAAAATAACTTCGTTAAAACAAGCACACCGTTAAACACTCAATTAAAACCTTAAGCTATGTTAAATATATGTAAAAAAATTATATACAATAAATAATTATGAATTGGGTATTTTTTGAACATCACAGAATCACAGTTCAAAATTACATCCATGGCAATATGGTTAAAAATAATAATTGCAAATAGTAATTTATACTTATAAGTTATGTACTTAAAGTTAAGTAAGTGATGCATAAAGATTAAAGATTTCAGTTAAGTATATTTTACGTAAATTTATTATCTGTGATTTACTTAAGTGCAAAAGAGTAAACAGATTTACATTTATTTTTACGGTAACAATAAATTACGGATAACATTTTACCTACGCAAGTCCTACTTCTGTACCACAGATAAGACATTATTATATATGTATACCAATATTATACAGCTGAAAAAATTTTGTTTGTTGTTTTTGTTGTTGCCGTAATCTCAGTATTTGCGGGTTATGTTTTTTTTTGTATTGTTGGGTAGCTTATTTATCACAGAGGCTATAAACTATATAACATCACGTTACGACTATTATGAAATACATGCTCAAGCTCCACACTCAAAATCATATATTTGACGTAGAGGCTGCGACGGTCAGCTACTAGTATATATTAACTATAAAGAAGTACAAAAGATCGATATAACTCGTTACACTGTATTATGACAATTATAAAACATTTCTATCGCAAAATATACTTAATTGCAATCGACTTAATAGTATTTTTAATATCGAACTTTTAAAAACGTTGTTTTACTTATAAACATTGGTTAATTAATTCGTTGATTTTTTAAAGTACATGAGCAAAAATTCAGGTACTATCTGGAAATAATTTGCAACAATTACTAAGATTATTATCGCTTGTTAAATTGACACAATATTGCACAAAAACATAAGGAAGGAATACGCCTTGGTCACAAGTGGATTGGATGGATTTTCTTAAACACATTTCAATACCACGTTACATTTATAGATAATATCCTTAACCATATTTGAAGTAAGAGTCCAAAATAAGTTTATCTGCTTAACCTGACAGACACAAATATTTAAATTCAAAATGTACAAGGTTGAATTAGTCCATAAACAATTTAAAATCACAGTTAACTTTAAAATACAGACAATTGTGTAATCTATGTCTGCTTATTAAGAGTTAGCGTAAATACAAAAGAATCAAGGTCTTAAAAGTTGAATATAAAATTTTATTGTATAACTGGGAATCAATTCTGCAAAAATGTTACTAATTCTCATTTGAATTATTTAATAGTTACAATTGCGAACCGTACGATATATTTCGCATCTGTAATCTCAAATGTGCCATAGAAATCGCAAACTTATCATTTTTCTAGCTCTAGTTCATTAAGGCAAAAACCTTGAAACAATGTTTATAAGTAAATTATATAAGTAATCTACACCATACATTTTCTATAAATGTGATACATATCACAATGATACTATTTGAGTTTGGACCTTCTAAAATTGCACATAAAAAACTACATTATTCATGAAAACATAAAACTTCTAATAAATTAACAATTACCGTGTTATTTTCTTTCGAGTTAACAAGTGCGTCAATTGCAAGAGTAAATGGCAAATCAATTGATAACCACCTAATGGCAAATGGTAATCATCACGTATACACGTCTAATGCATTGACATTACTGAGAACTGCGCTGTAACTCCGCATATAGTAATTTAATACATTTATTATAATTGTTTCATGTTTTATGAATAAATAGACTTTACAAAATGACAGTCTGATGGTGAGGCCTACACAAAACATTATTTAATTCAATATAAAATATTGTTCTCTATATAAAATTAATCAGCAAGTAATAATTATATTTAATCTTATATTTACATTAAATTGTTCTATAAATCTTAAAAGGCAAACTCATAAGACATAACTTATCAGTTATGAAGGCGGCGTCTGAATGTGGACGTTTCATTTATTGTGATTAATCACTTCGTATCAACTGATTTATGAAAACTTACAATAAATGAATTAATGACTATGGATTTTTAACACTCCAAAACACACCAAATTCTCGCATAGATTAGTCATCATTATTATGTATAATTTGTTTTTTTATAAGCGAATGCCGCCCATTTTATTACTGCGTCACTTTATGTAGACTTTCACAAATAAGACTAATCTAGCAACACTCGATTCCTTAAAACCTATCACGCACCCTCTATCGGCCGCACGTTGCGTAAAACTTGGACATATATATGTTCGAAAAATATTACCTTCTTTTTTCGAAGAGCAGGCAAATATTGTTCCATACAAATTCTAATCGCTTTATATTAGAAGTTAGGAACATAACAACCATACATCCACGCATACATAGGCATACATTCTAGAAAATTCTACATACAAGATGGATTCACAGTTCTCCCGTCTTGTACTTAGTACAAATTTAATACAGCCTATGGTTAGTGATCAATGAATGAATAATGATGATGACGATGTTCAAACATAAGTATCACCTGCTTTTGAAGGTGTACCGCTATTTTTAAACCCGCCAGCGGCGATCGCCCGCAGTCATAACCCTACACTTCTAATATACGTATCGTCCTCGTAGTTTTGCGCTGAGAGTCTTAGGGCATGTTCCTCCGATAAAGCGGCGAGTTCCTTCACCCACTCGTCGAGTATTACCGCGTTGAGTACTGATCGTAGGGTGATAGATTGGTTCCAGTACTCTTCTTGGGTGAACACCAGTCGTTTTTGAGGACTGGCGTGGTAACTTGCATTGTGCAGGCTATGAGGTCCGTGTGGTGATGAAGCTGGTGATTAAAAAATATAAAGCCTAGTTTTTTATTTCTTTATTTAAAAAGAAGCCATAAATTTTATTTAAAAATAATGAAATAAAAAGTTTACTGACGGATTTGAAATTACAGGATAAGAGGCATGACATCTTAGTCCTTTGGAATGGCAATGCATGAGAGGTATCGCGGATGTATTATGATAACGTGATTTGGGTAGTGCTGTTCATGTCTATAAGCGGTGAAAATCGCTTATCATAAGGTGGCGCGTCAGCTTGTTTGCCATTTAAATCACATAAAAAAAAAAGAAAAGACCTGCGCTCAAAAATAAATTTCCCGCCGCACGATCTCTTCTGGTATTTGTAGCCGTTGGGAATTCCTGTCGATGCCGGACGAATCCCCAAAAATGTAGGTCCGGGGAGTCAAAAAATAAAATTTCATTGGGTTACGAATTTAATTTCGTTAAAAATAATAAAATTTTAGAAATAACTTAGGATACCATCCGTGTCGTAATCAGTCTAGCGTTCACTCATTCATTAGTCACTTCAGTCTTCTATCCATTCTCTCGTCATTCATTTATCAGTCATACATCATTCCGTTAATACAGCTGTTCCGTTGCACACCAATCCCACATAAATATATGTAGTTATATAATGTATACATACTTGAGGATCTTCTATTGAACATGTTTGAGAGGCTGGTGGAGATACTTCGCCGTTTGGAGTCCATTCGCTTGAACGGGGACTGCTCCGGTTTTTGTGGTGGGGACTCAGTGCGTGTAAGACCTGAATCAGTGTACGCAATATTGTATACGATGTCATAATTTGCAAAGTGGGCTAGTGTGTTACTACCGATTTACACTCCAAAAATCATTAGTATTTGCCAGTCAAATACTAACGATGTTTGAAGTGTAAGTCAAACGAAGTAAAACTCCCAGCAGTTTTCTATGTACATTATGTATGTGCATTTACAAAGAAAAAGTTTTGTGTAGTATCCATTGAACAAGCACTACTTAGTTTAGAGCTAGGTGGCGCTGTGTAAATTGTCCTAGTTTATTATTATAGTTATACACAAGATTTGGAAAAAAATTACAAATATGCCTGAGAATGTTCAATTTCTAATGTTCTGTTTAATGATAAGTGGCTAATGAATCTTAATGAGTATTACAGGTAGAATATATGTATAGACATTATTTACACAATAAGTGTGTGTAGCAAAACTGTCATTAGACTTTTTGTCTTACTAATAAAATTACTTATTTCTACCAAAAATATCTTTCCATATGAGCAAGCATTATACACTTCCTTCGTGCACAGTACTTACTGTCATCACTGGCCGGTCCTCGCGACTTCACTAGTGCCATTTCCCTCTGCATGAGGAACGCCCGCGCCTTATCTACTAATTCGTTAGTATTGTCTAATCCATTGGTCAGTTCATCTACTTCTTCTTTCAATTTGCTTAAAATCTGTAATAAATATTACGAGTGGTCATGTATTTGTATAAGTTGTCCTTATTTCTATTACTAAGCAACTTTTGAATAGTCTTATATATTTTTTTAATTTACCGCTCATTCGGAAAGCTGATTCAACACACGTAGAAAGAACAAGAAATTTGAGTTATGCCCTTTTAAATAAATGTTGTTCAGCAATATATACTGGGATACCAGTTTCGTTGGCAAAGAATAAATAATAATTGAATTTATATAACGTAAAATGGGTTTTGGTTATTTATAAAAGTTAAAGAAATGATAAAATCTCTGACCTGGAAAAGTGAAGGCACATTCGGCTGGAGCACGAACCCTGGACAGAGCAGTAGTGACATTAACAATGGCGTTGGCAACGATGCCAGTTTGGAGATCACACTTGTCACCCGACAGTTGGTAGTCACGTCCGACTCGAGGAGAGATGCTGCCTTTTTTAGAAGATAACTTAGAAGTGGGCCTGAAATACAAAGTGTTCATTATACTAGACTAGATTTACCGAAGTACAGTTTGTACAAATTTGTCTGTATTATTTCCTCTATGTCTTCCGCTATGCAGTTTGCTTTGTAAGCTGTGTTTCGCTTAGGTCAGTAAGGTAAGTAAAGTTTGACAGTGAGATTACATGTTAAAAGTCCAACAGTGATATTACAGATTAAAATAGCAAATTTAATTCTGCATTTATTATTTTATATATGTAATCTTTCATACTGATTTCTGAATTGAATTAATGATAAAATAATTATGTTTTGTAATATCTACATATAAGCAAAAAATACAATTCGCATTTAGATCCCTTTCTGTTTTGAAATCATTTGAAAAGTCACAAAGTTTGATCTGTCTTACCGATAATGGATTCAGCGCTTGAATTCCAACTCTTCACAGGCGACATTTCAGCTTCATAACTCTCATCATTCATGCTCTTAGAGAATATCTTTCTAAACGACTCTTCAGCATACCCTTCGTTTTCTTCACTTTCTTCAAGCCTATAACGAAAGCTTTCATATCCACTGCTCTCTCCAACTGACGTCAAACTATCGTGATCTTTCACCTCACTAACTTGTTCACAAGGCTTCTCTTCTATATTCTCCACTAGTGATGTTAAACTATGCTGCTCCTTTTCAGATGTATCACTCGTTTTAAGAGTGTCATAACCACTAGTACAAGATATAAGGCTGTCCGGTTCTTTCACTATGTGTGTATCAGGTTCTCTCATTTCTTTAGAATTATTATTTGTTTCTATTTTAGGTGTCGATGCTGTGTCATACCGGGATGTCCAATCGGAGCAGGCAATTGTTCGAGATACTATTTCAAATCGAGCATCGCATAAGTACGCGTGGTAGTTGCCGTATAGTGTTTCGTTTGGGTTCTGTAACAAAAAAATATATAGATTAATGTTTACTCTGTAAAGTCACCGATTAACTACAGATGTGATATGCGGAGGTGCTATGATTATGTTCTAAAGACGGTCTTGAAAAGGAAGTGGATGGGCGCAATGATCAAAGAAAATATGGATATATTGTGATGAAAGATGATATGAATTAAAGGAAATATTCTTAGCTCAAATATGCCGACTGATAGATATACTCAACTATTGGAAGAAGAATAAATACTGTCTATATATAATATGCCGACTGATAGCAAATAATAATTATATATATGACACACTTTCTAAATTAATATAAACTATTGGAACAGAATAAATACGTGGCAGTGCCGATCCTATGATTATTATCGGTGTTATTTATTGAATTAAATAAATAAATAAAATAAAAAAATACTTTTTTTATATAATATCACTAGTTTTACTGTACTGAAATGCCGAAAATAAGTACTTCTTTTTTAATCATAATTATTTAATAATGTTCGTGAATTATCGGTGTTATTGTTATTATATATGTTAAAAATAAATAACTTACCCCATAATTAAACTTAACTTCCTGGACTAGATTATTCAATACAATATCTTCATTGAAACCATTTATTCTTCTTGTTTCATCCTCTCTTTTGAAGTCCAAAATCCTTCTTCCACTTACAGACAGCTCATCTACCCATTCCCTGGTCTTCTCCAATGGTCTCGAGCAGCATCTTGGTGTCAAACTTAAGAATGCGCTAACGGCTTCTCTGTAAGGTTCAGGATCGGCTATCTTGTGTTTGTGTGAAGACATCAAGTGGTGACCATTTAGAAGGTATTTGTAGACCAGCTCGATCATAACGTCTTCGCAATTTAGGTCGATGAGGGTCTCCATCAGCGAGAGGGATACAAGAGACAACTATAAGTAAAACATTATACAATTTTAGTTATATATTTGTTTATGAAGTGGTAAACCCACACCCCTTTTGTTTGAGCATTTCTCGTCTTTTTTTTATAGCATAGGGGACAAATGGTGGTAAGTGATTACCACCGCCCATGAGTGCTCGTAACACCAGGACAGTTGCAAATGTGTTCAAAAGGCGGTCTAATCGCTTAATCGATCTTAGAAACAACCTTTGGGTAAAGGAAAAAAAGACAGACGAGGGCGTATAAGTAGATTAAAAGAATAATAATCTTTATATATAAAAATTACGTTGTTTGTCCGCAGTGGACTCGTAAACTACTGAAGCGATTGCAAATTTGTTTTGCACATTGTGTGCAATTTCATCCAACTTGTAAGATAGGATAGCTTACATCTCAATTTAGAGTCGCGATATTATTTTATTCAAGAACCTTATCCACAGCATGCATGGCCGGGAATGCTAGTAATAGTAATAAAATCATTACATAAAATAAAATAAAATCGCTGTGGCTGTCTGTCCCTATGTATGCTTAAATCTTTAAAATAACGCAACGGATTTTGAAGCGGTTTTTTTAAATAGATAGTGTGATTCAAGAGGATGGCACACCCGTGCGAAGCCGGGGCGAGTGGGTAGTATACACATATAATGAAACTGTCGTATGGTGCGTCACCTGTTGGGTGGCGTCGAGCCTGGCCAGCAGCACGTCGGCGACTGCGCGTCCGTCGTACCGGTACTGGAAGAGGAAGTGCAGCGCCGGCCGCAGCAGGCCGCGGCGGCCCACGCAGCGCACCACCAGCTCGAGGTGTGCGGCGCCGGCCGCCTGCTCGCCCGCGCCGCTCTGCAACCCCGGCTTGCTCTATGCGGGCGCGCGTATTAGCCGAGCACGTCACGGGGTTGTGGCATTATGGGTCTCATTTGGCACGCGGTGAGGTGTAGTTTTGAATGGGCTTTTATTTATATTAAAATGTTGTGTGATGTGTGATGAATTTTAATTGAATTATACATTTATGATGTAATTAATTTGTCGCGGTTGTACCTACGATCGAATACTGGATTGAATAATGTTCCCGTGGGTATACATTTTTAGTGGATGTTTGTTTACATAATTAGATAAATCAGTCAAACTAAGTAAAGATAATGATTATTTAGAAAAAGAGATAAATATTAAAATAAGTATAAAAAAAAATATTCGAGACCAATTTTTTAAATATTTTTTTAAAATCGTTATCATGTATAATGAACAAAATAATTTATTTCATTTCAAGGATTAAGTATCGTAACGTCAAGAACTGTCGTTAAATTCAATATTTAGATTAAAAAAATAAATAAAAATTGTTTAAAGTTAGATCATCAATCTATTTACAAAAGTAATAATTACTAAAAAAATTGAACATTTTCTGTTAAATGATCACTAGTGAGTCACCAGTACTCAGTAAATAATGAAATACGTTAGAATTTTCAATCCAATATCATATATTTTGTTCCATATATTTAATCATTGAACTTACATCATTATAAAAAAATACAATAAGACACAGACGTTAAGAATCACGACGTTACGATACTTATATAGGTTATTTAATATCATCAACAAACATGAACCTAGTACCCGTATGTGTATGATATTTGTGAATAATGTTCAACAAAATATGAAAAATCAAACATGTAAAGCCATAAAAACTGCCAAGCCCGGTAAGCCAATCGCAACCATGATACCACAACATAGAGCACGAAATCACTCACTGTCACATTACCGCTGACTTCGCTTGTGATCCATACCAATGTGCTTGTCCAGTCCCGTGCGTGCAGTCAAAGCCCAATACGTATTCTTTTCAAATACGTTCCGTTACACGCATCAACATGTCAAATATAAGTCCTTATTACACTAGTTAATATATAAGACAGTATAAGTCATCTACGTCTAGATAGAGATGCAGTAAATTATATCTTGTAAGTATAGGTTAGAAAAAATATAATGTAATAAGTTATATTTACATCTAATACGCATATGATCCTATAGATGCGATAGTGTAATAAGTCCTTTATATTTCGTAAATGTTATTACAAATAATTCAATTTTATTATTAAGAAATTCAGATTTTTGATGGATGTACGGAACATAAATATTGCTATTGATTTAAAATAATAGTTTAATAAATAGGTAGATATTATAAAAATTAATATTAAAATTCAATTAAACACACATTCGACAATATTCAATAATCATATCACAAATAAAATATATACTACTAATAGAAATATATATATATATGTATACCATACACATATAAATTATAATATATGCTTAATACTGCACTTCGTCAATATGTCAAAGGTCCTCGAAGCAGACTTAATACAAAGTAGTCCGTCTACGCGCATCTCTAACCGATTTCTGCCGTTATATGACATTGAAATTTCAGGTACGGAAACATGACCCACCTTAGTTCTTAAAAATGACAATGCATGGGAGGCGATATTCATGTATATAGGCCCCGGTTGCTATTTTCATCTGGTGGGCAATCAGATTGCCATATATTACATAAAAAAATGGGATATTTTTATAAAATTTCCGTTCTCAAAGTGTATAATATTTTAATGAACTGGATAAAAATCGAGTTTAAGTAATATATATATTGAAATAAGTACTTAGGTTCAGACAATTAGATATTATATAAGATAGATATAGAAAAAGATAATAATATAGTGCAAAAGTATAAAAAATATTATGTAATTGTGAGACATTCTTTTTAACATTGCTTTATATTTTTAACTTTAGCATGTATAAATAATGTCTACAATAATATATTTTGTTATGCACTCAAAGATAAAGCCCGTGCTATATAATTAAAAAAAACGGTGCAATATTAATAATATATATGATTTACACAAAATGGTTATTTCTTCACCTGCCAAGACTGCAAGAAACATATTAGTATGTTAATATGTGAATAATTTTATAGTTGCTTATAGCCGAATATATTTATTGGTATAATAAGAGTAAAATGTCCAAATGATCAAGATATGCAATAAATATAAAACTAAATAGTCTTACAAAAAAAAATCATTAATTCATATAGGACATATTCAACGTCGAGTTTTTGTATTGATATTATTTTCCCTACATTTAATAGAATAAATATACATTATTCTATATTATCCATTTTCTATTTAAAAAGAATTACGATTTTCTATATAACATTGTTAAATATATTAGATCAAGATTGTAGACGAAAATTAAATAAATTGTATTGTTATATTTAAGTAGATATATCCGCTTACAGACTATAGTAAAGTTAAAATTAAACTGCACAATTCTATCACAAAATTGATAGAAAAGAAGTATTTAGAATTATTAAAATTTTATTTCATCTAATCTATAATTAACATCTTTTTAATGTTTTCTCGATAAATCATTAATTACATAATTTGTCTGAATCGCATTTACTAGTAACTGGTGATGATAAATTGACAAAATGTATGTTTTAATGCATTACACACTTATGTAAAAGAAATGATTTCAAATATGAAAGATAGAAAAAGAAATACACGGATGGAAATTCATTTAACATTTATTTAATTACAGAGTCAATTTATCTACATACATACAACATATATTTGAGAAATATATGTTGTATTATATATACATACATGTAGATTAGACAGAAACGAATTTAACTCTGGTTTTCTATTAATAAAAATTATTACTTTATTATTATTATATATTTTATAATTATTACTCTATGGTTCTATCTTCAATATTTAAAATATATTCCTTCCAAGACCCAATGGCTTGAAAACCTTGCTAAAAATTTTAATAGAGTTTATCCGCACAATTTTTTTCAGAGAAACTCTATATAACAAATATCACCTTATCCCAAAACTCATGGCCCAACGATATCACTCATCCAGAAACCCGAGAGAAAAATTCAAGTTACCTGAAGTAGCGCTGGACCTAGCACAGGCACCAAGAAACCTTGGTATAGCAGGTCCAGGAGATGTTTCTTAATTGATGGATGCGCCACCTTAAATAAATTGTTTAAATTATTAATTTCGTCGTTTTGTGCTCTAAATACAAAGGTCCCGAATTGAGAAACTTTGTGTGTCAATTTATAGTTTCGACTGATTCTTCACTGATGGTGCAACATATAATAAATCATAATTAATCCGAAAGCCGATGATAGGTTTGCCCCATGTTATGTCACGGATACAAATATTAATATTGCCAAAACTACTAAACCAATTTAAATGAAATTTGGTATACAGATAGTCTAGATCCTAAAAAAAGATATGCTACTTTTTAATCCCAAAAAAGGGTTGTAAGGGTTTAAAAGGGGCACTATTCCATGCGGACGAAGTCGCAGCACAGTTAATATAATATAAATCCATTAAGTAATGAAATGGACTGTCGCATAATTAGATAAAATAGAAAGATATTTTGATTTTATTTTATACCTGTGCGACAGCATTGCAGAACTCTAGTGAGTCTATGAAAAGAGTCAGCTTGTGCACTTGGTTGACGTCGTCAGGTGTCAGTCGGTACACTCGTTCGCCCAGCGTTCGTGGCAACAGCGAGTATAGACCACTGAGACCTGAAATATCATTTAATTATTTTTTATTATACAATATAAGTAAGGTGAGCTAAATCCTTGGAACGGTGAGATCGCTCCGTAAACCCTTTGAAGACACCAGGAGACTTCTGCGCTTTTGGGATTTTGGCTGGCTACGTTAGTAGTCTCAGCTCTACACGTACAACGGCCCAGATGACAAAGTGGTTGCAACAGAAAGAGAGTCCAATTTAAATTACATTAGATTATGAGCTTAACCGTTAACCGAGGAGCGTGATCGCGCTCCCGCGCGGGTCCGAAAATTGCTAGAAGCGAGATAGCCCTCCCATAATCACTTGCCATCTCCGCTCCGCAGAGAAGATATGATTAGAATTGGTCATTTTTTTAAAAAGATGCAGATTTATAGGAAAGTTATAAGAAATCAAAATCAACGATTTTTCTTGGAATTTATAGCCATACAGGAGTAAAAACCTCAAATGCTTAATACAACATGACATAATTTTTATCTACTAAAAACTAGCATTTTTAATCTGACCTCCTGACCTGACCCGATGAAATACCTGTCTATAGATGCTAAAGAAATGTGCCATTTATGGTGTCGTTTTATAAAAGATGGTTCTTAGCTACAATTTATGATGTTCAAAGATCAACAGCTCTTTTTATAAGCTGCTATAGGTACAATTGTTATTTACTTTTTAGAGTTATTTTTGTGCTTATGATTATATATTTTTTTTAATTTTATATATTTCAAGGGAAACAACGAAGAGTAACAGGGTAAAATTAATATAAGTATATAATATATGTAAGTATATTAATATATGTGTACCAGTAGCTAATACAGGACACGTGTTGCCAGCCAGCATATACTCTGCAAGCTGTATACACCGTGACGACATATTCGCGCACAGTAGCAGTGCGTCCCGGGCGGCTGAGCCCGTACTGCCCTCCCGGTGTACCGACGTAAGTAACAAGCGCACTATGATGAATCTGCATGTAAATAAAGTATATAATACAACTTTTTTTTATTATTAAACAGCACTGGGTATAAGAGTCATGCTACTGGTTGCTAGTGTTGCTAGTTCAGTGGATTTACCGTTGTAATTAGATATTTATAAAGTGGATAAATATGTATCTATCCATTTTATTATTATTTTCATATAATTCAATTATATTATAAATAAAATAATAATAAATCCTTGGACAATTCACACAACGTCAACTAGTCCCAAGGTAAGCGTGTTATGAGTACTGGACTATTGATAGAAATAATTAGATTTTCACTCAGATCGATACAAACAATCATACTCGTAACTACAAATTTTTATACCGTGCGAGGAACCGAACCCGCGACCGTAGGATTTACGTCCACCAAAGCCGTTAATAGCAGTGGATTTGGACAACACTTTATAGAATTAGTACTTTAATAGTAATTAGTAATTAAACTAGTGAACTAATACTACAGTTAAGTCATCATCATCATTGCCTTGCCTTATTTGGGGTCGGCGCATACTACTACAGTTAAGTTTAATTCATTATTAAGTTACTCATTGGAATAGTGATATTACTTCTCCAATAAAAAGTTTTAGGTCGTTAATATCGTATCGTAGTCAGATCGTTAATTAACTTCGTATTTAAATATAATGATGGATTTGAATGAATTTTTGGTATAAATTTCGAACATTTTAATGAAATATAAGCAGGAGTTTCATTTAAAATTGTAATTTTATTTTAATGTTTCAGTGTTTTCTTATTTACAAGGTGAATACTTCAATAATATTAGAAGGTCTAACTTGTGGGATTGCCCAATTTTTGTTAACATGCGGAAATAACGTCGCACGAATTATTAAAAATCCATACTAACATTACACAAGCAATTGTGAGTCTTACAAACTTACTCAGACTTTGATCCATTCTGCGTATGAGTCGTCAAAAAGAATAGGTCAATGAACTTCATATTCTGCATCAGCGCCACGCACAGCTGATTCAATACAGTCACCAACTGACCTAGAAACGATGCCATGTACATTTAATTAAAACACTAATCTCGTAATGTTAAAATCTGGAGTGATAATAATATACACAGTAAAATTTTGAATATTTTGGAACGGTTGTAGACGTATGTTGACGTCGACCAACAAGCCTCTAATCCTACACCCGCAAGTCCCGGGAACTGCTCAGAGTTTCCCTCTATGCAACACGATTGACCCGGTACTCGCACGCATTCATGGAATGCTGCGAAGTTTGTCTCACATATTTTTTTCGGGCTACTCTAATGCTGTTGGCTGCAGCTGACCTTTACAGCCTCACCGGACTATAAGAGGCGAGTGCATATGGCACTCCAAACCCTCGGAAGGACTTATGGTGCGGCTGAAGGCCCGCTTGACGGATACGACTAGTCTGAGGACACCGCTAGGGGTTCGAACCTCGGCTCAGGCCGTCGTAATTTCGATCTCTGAATTGAACAGAACAGGTGGAACCGTAGGGAGATTAACTGCCATCATGGGGTCCTCGGGATCAATACAACAAGAGCGTGCCTCAAGAGGCGTTGTCGCGTATGGATATGTCTCCTCAGTGCATAGTCGACCGTACTGACTATAATCACCACGGTATACCGGTGGTTCGACACTTGTTTTGCAAAATTTGCAACTTAATCCTTTCGTCTTTGTAATATTACTACAAATAACTCATCTGTAGATCTTACACATACTCATCTATATTACTAGGTTGGATCACGTAATGACATCCGATCGATGGATTGTTACTAGAATTACAATTATACTAACATATAAATAGCTATTAGCGCGTAACATAGACAAGATTGCAATTGTAATATTATATTTATTAACATAAGCACATTTTATATACTATATTAACTAGTAACAGTTTCATTACGGTTTCGATGGAATATACAATTTGGTTCTACAAAAAAAATCAGCTGAGTTCCGATGCCTATCATCGTCATCATCATTCATCATCGAAGGAAAAGTCGGATGGTAGGCAATCTATTAAAAGTAACCTATAATCAAAAATATGTTACTCAATAGCATTTATAGTCATAAATAACTACCTAAAATACCGTTGAATAAGATATTTTTTATTTAAACACAAAACTACAGCACTGATTTACATGATTCTTAAATAAATTTTAAATTAAAGATAGAATTTTTAGGATAAAAAAATCCAGTTTACACTTACATTCTAGATTAGGGGGTGGCAATTCATTTCTAAAGCTGCTGAGAAGCTTCAACAGAGGCCTCAGAAAAGGTTCTGCGGCGATAACCTGCAATAATATAAAATATGTACGTTTATAATTACTTCCACGCGGAATTTGAGTTTAAAGAAAATCCACAATAGTCCAAAATCTGAAGGTGCACAATAGGTTTTGGGCCCAAAATATGGGATCCTAATAAAAAGATGAATGGTTTGTATGAACACAATAGAAAAATCAGATTACAAAATATGATATTTTAAAAATCAACAGGGGTTGATAAAGTAGTTACTGAAGAATCAGGTATGAACAAATTATTTATTGAATTTCGGAATAACTAAAAAGCGAATATGCGTGGATAAAAACCCCTAAAAAATATATTAAAAAAACCAGTACCTGTGAGCTGTAGTGACTGATGAGGATTCCGAATACTTTGAGTTCTTCTAATCGGACTGCGTTTTCGTATCTGTTGACAATAATAATTGCATATTGGATAAATAATAATAACTCAGAATAATTCATACAGCGCCATCTAGCGCCAAACTAAACTGAGCTTGTACTATATGTACTCAACGACTGATGAAATAGATATTTTGTTTAAATACAAGGATTAAGAGGTTGGAGGGAATGGTTTGTTAATACATTTGTTAGTAATGAGGACTGAGGATCCCATAGCAAGCGATGTACCATGTTAGGTTGACCACACGGTCCACTCTGAAAGCATCGTTATAATTTTTAATGAATTTGACCTGATCTCATGCTTATTTGCATCCTCTACTGGTGCCCTGCCAGCGTAAACCGTTTGCGCAGGCGGGTGCACCATTCCAGTACCATTCAATAAAAAAGTGGAGTAATGATGTTTGAAGAAGACTACCGAGGCCGTCTCCAAATATAGTAAACTTGATTGATTAATAGTGACATAAAATGGCAATGTGCCCTACACTTTAGGCCTAAACTACACACGCACAGAGCATAACTATCCATACTAATATTATATTATGAATACATGTCTATCTGTCGACTTGTCACGACTAAATGGTTGAACAAATCAAATTTTGTGTGATGCTTATATATACAATAATAACCAACGCCAATATACACAGTGTTTGCAATCGCAATTAGCCATATAATTACAATTAAAAATAAAATTATAAAATTTAAATTTGGAACGTCACGCATGGAACATCGATGTTGTTTTGTTTAACTTTATATGCATTTTTTGCACTTCTTCTCGAATATTCCGTGGCGTCACTATTAAATGCTGTGTACAATATATTCTAACCATTTTTTATTTCATTAATACAACAAATTAAACATTGCAATATTCCTCTAGCAAACATAGAAAACACTCAGCCCGAACAAACAAACATATTCATGAAAACAAATGTTTGTACTGTGCGAGAAATCGAACACACGACCATTGGAAGTAAAGCGGTGTGCTAACCGCTGGACCATCGATACCGCATAATAGGTTACAGCACTTTCAGCTCTTGACTTATCACTTTCAATGTTACAATAATAGATTTTTAATTAGTAATTAAATAAAGTTAAAGATATTTATTCTTATTGTTTAGTCATGATGACGTGATTGGTGACGTGATGTCTGTGGTGATGTTCATGTATATAGGCGACCGGCACCACTTACCATGAGGTGGGCCGTAAGCTTGTTTGCCATTTAAATTACTCAAAATCACGTCCGTTTGTTCTATCATTTCCTCTACATTATATGACGTGGTTTTTTTAATATATTCATCACTAGCTATTCCCGCGACTTCGTCCACGTGGAATTTTATTTTTTTTAAATAAAAGTAGCTTATATTACATCTGCGACTAGCCAAAAAAAGTCCCGTCAAAATCGGTCCAGCCATTTAAGAGATTAGCCGGTACAAACAGACAGACAAAAATTGTAAAAAATATTATTTTGGTTTATGTACCGTGTTTATATTCATATGCTACATGCATATAAGGAAAGGTTATTTCAATATTACAAACAGACACTCCAATTTTATTTTATATTTGTTCTATCATTTCCTCTACATTATATGACGTGGTTTTTTTAATATATTCATCACTAGCTATTCCCGCGACTTCGTCCACGTGGAATTTTATTTTTTTTAAATAAAAGTAGCTTATATTACATCTGCGACTAGCCAAAAAAAGTCCCGTCAAAATCGGTCCAGCCATTTAAGAGATTAGCCGGAATACACAGAACGACAGACAGATAGACAAAAATTGTAAAAAAAAATATTTTAGTGTCTATATCGTATTTATATTCATATGCATGTAGTAAAAAACGGTTAATTCAATATTACAAACAGACACTCCAATTTTATTTATATATTATAGATTATTCATTCGCGTGGAATAGATGATGAATTTCTATACAATCTTTCATATCGATTTCATTTTACCCCCTTAAGGGTAAAATTTCTACAATCTTTGAATATCATATTTATTTATATTTAATCAACAGGTTAAAAAGTAAATTTCAAGTTCCTAATTTTAAAAATGACGATACTTCCACACAACCTTTCGTATCCCTTTTTAAACCCTTACATTTTTTTTGCCATTAAAAGTAGCCTTCCTTTCTAAGGATCTAGACTATCTGTGTACCAAATTTCATTCTAATCAGTTCAGTAGTTTTGTCGTGAAAGCGCGACAGACGACAAACAGACAGAGGTACTTTCGCATTTATAATATTAGTGAGTATTGCATTGAGAATAAACAAACAAATATTATATACAATTATTAATTAATATTATTAATAATATATACAATTAATATTGTAGTATTCAAAATAAAACTTAGTAGTGAACAAAATATAGTTCAAAATACAAAAGTCATGAATAGCAAATGATTTGCTATCACAATTCCAATACCAATGAAGTCTGATTGTTACCGAATGTGATAAGGCCATTGTAATTAGGTTTTGCATTGATAACATTGTTTATTAGAATGTCTCTTTAGAACAAAAGTTTATTGCTACGAAATCGATACGATACATACGAGAATCGATACGTAATATGGAAATTCATAGACAAACTTGACCTTGGTATTGAACTAGACCTATATAGTGTTGTGGCCTAGTGGTTTACAACAAGACTTCTAAGATCGTGAGTTTGAATTTAGCAAACTCTAAATCTTCGTGTGCCGATGTAAAAAAATCATGTAAAATAATAAAGTTTAATAATTATTACACTATGTATGGTGATTGACCTTTGAATTGTGATATAAGGTAACGTATACTTTAAGAGAGACAGAACATACAGATGAATTTAGAAAATTCGTGCTAATAAGTTAACCGACTTATATATAAACTAGAAAATAAGCCGCGTCGTCTATCTATCTATACATCTATACATAAAATAAAATTGGAGTGTCTGTTTGTAATATTGAAATAACCTTTCCTTATATGCATGTAGCATATGAATATAAACACGGTACATACACCAAAATAATATTTTTTACAATTTTTGTCTGTCTGTTTGTACCGGCTAATCTCTGAAATGGCTGAACCAATTTTGACGGGACTTTTATTGGCAAGTAGCTGATGTAATAAGGATTAACTTAGGCCACTATTATTTTAGAAAAATAAAGGTCAATTTCAGGCAGACGAAGTCGCTAGTACAGCTAGTACAATATAAAAAATTAACACATTGTGCTTTTATTACCAACACCGCGGCCAACAGATTTAGAATTAGATTTTTTGTGTATTTATGTACGCTAATCAGACATGCCTTAACCGATTCGCATGCAGTTTTCACTAACGTATTATAGCAAACTTCTAGTAACAGTTTAATATTTGTTTCATTTCACAAATACACACATACACAGCAGTAGAAAAAAAAATAGTATAAAATTCTAGTTGTTCCTAGGGCACGATTATATAGACGTAGCCTGTATACATGAACAGCAACACAAACATCCAGAATTTCACTACCATACTAAAACACATCTTTTTTTTATCCTACTATGGTGACAAACAAGCATACGGCCCGTCTGATGGTAAATGGTTACCGTAGCATATGGACGCCTGAAATTGCTTGCATTCAAGCTGCTACAGCTAAAGTGAGTGAGGCAGACGACTTTGTACAAAGTCTACCTCTAGTATAAATTAACTTATTGTACTTTATTTACTTACAAATAAATTCGAAGTAAAAAATATGTACGAACGTGATCAAGATAATAATTTATTTTAAGAAATGACCACAGGAACGTGCTGTATCAGTTTCTAGCCGGACATTTGTTTTTAGTCCTATACTATTCGGGTTACGGCCACTGATTAGATTATATCCTTTTAACAAAAATATATTAGTATAGAATGACCACGGGGTCAATATATTCTCCTTAATGGAATTTAAAAAAGAATCTGTATTTCTTTAATCATGTACAAGCTCATTTGAAAATAATAGGAGCTGAACTTCTTGGCAGTTCTTATCTCGAAAGCACTCCGAGCTGACGGTAGATTTGATTTGTCAGTAGTGTCTAATAGACCTACGATATTGATGATTAATTTTTCAATTAAGAAATGTAAATATAACTAATAATAACATCAGTAACAACTTAGCTTAAAAAAAAAAACAATTGGGAAAAGTACTAAATCTTTTCTACATGTTCTAATGTCTACATCGCATGCATTAGCTAATAAATAATATACCATAATTTGTTAGATTCATTACATTATTAGATGTTACATAAAGATGGTCGACAAGAACTTGTCCTGTAGATGTTCTTGTTTAGCAACATTTTTTTTAATGAAAATAATATTATAGTTAAAAGGACATAAGGAAAAATCATCAATAAATTAATGACTCAGGTGTAGGTACATTCGTATGGCATATAACATACGAATACACCTATAAATAAGTTACATTATAATAATAACCCTGATCAATCCACACAGGGACAAATTGTCCCAAGTGAAGCTGAGCTTGTGTTATGTGTACTAAACAACTGATAGAAATATAATATATAAATACAGAGGAGAATTAAATTATTAGTAATGTGGATTAATGAACCCATTGCTAGCAATGTACTATTCAGGTAGACCTTTACGCGGTCCGCCTGGAACCCGTCATGATTAGTTCATGGTGAATTTGTCACGATGAGCTAATTGACCTGACCTCATGCTCATCTTATCATCTTCCACTGGTACTCAGCGTAAAACGTTAGCGCTGGCGTGTGGCATTCCATTAACATCATTAAAAAAATACTTAAAAACATTTTTTAGCAAATATAGTAATATACATAGAAATACAAACAATCTGATTCATGTATACAAATGTTTTGCATTGTTCAAGGAATCAATCTGCGACAATGATAAGTAAGGCGGTGTGCTCAACATCTCGACCACAGAAGTTGTCCAATACAATTATGACAAATATTTTATTCCAATAAAAAATAATGATATCTTTCTGTATATCTTTTAATGTAAGTTAGTCACGAATTAAATGAAGATGAAACGCATATCTGTCATCACGACTGTATTATAGGTATTCATGAGTAATAGGTACGAATCAGTAGCAGCAATAGTTAAGGTAAATTTATTATTTACTTATGATTGTATTAGTATTCAAAGTAGGTATACATCTATATCTTATATATAAAATTATCGTGCCACAATGTTATGTTGTCATACTCCTCCGAAACTCCTCCAAGGCTTGACAGATTTTTATGAAATTTTGCATTCATATATTCAGGTCTGAGAATCAACTTACATCTATTTTTCATACCCCTCAATGATAAGAATGTCCCATCACAATTTTTTATTTTTTTATTAAAAATAGGGGATGCTATTTTTAATAGCGATATTAATATCAAAATTCATAATTCTTTCTTTGGTAACACAATTTTTACTCAATTCTATACAGTTGTTGAAGTTTTAAGCATAAACATGCCTGTGCCAGGGGGCTCCACTCAAATATATATGGCAAAGCAACATTTGCCGGGACAACTAGTTTTATTAACAATACCAGCCGCTGTTCCGTTGAAAGAGTGCAATCTTTATCATAACTGCATTCTGATACATATGTATACGTACTTGTGATGATAACAGGTGATTTTTTTCACGTAGTGTTACGTAACTAGATTACAAGTAGATATCTAAAAAGCCTAATACATTATTATTCATGATGCGTCATACTCGTATGCGACGCAATTATATTTCCTGCCCATACTTCTCTAAATAAAATAGACGGATTCTACTGAGATTAACTTTGTAAAGTCATCTGGGTGGATAACTCCATTTTAACTATTTCAGTCACCACGAACCTTGCAAGGTAAGCGGCTAAGCGGTATTAATTGGTAGTGAAATTACATTATAAGAGGTATGATATATAAGTCCTTCGAAATAGTAATATATGAGTGGTATCACGTGCGTCATATGATAATATGATATCTGTAGTGTTCATGAACGCTTATAACTACTTAGCATTTAGTGGGCCGTCATTTTGCCATTCTAATGACATAAAAAAATTGTAAGGACCGTAAAATAATTCTATTAATTACCACTGGAGGCGTCTTATTCCGACTTTTTTTTCGGAGTACTCTAATGGTGTTTGCCGCAACTGGCCATTACAGCTTCACCGGACGTTGGTTATTCTGGCGCGTGTTTACATTGTATTATAGGAACAAGTATATAATCCTAACAAATCGCAAATTTAGTAATATAGTGCATTCTCTCCGATTTTTGGGAAATCGACTTCAAAGACAAAAACTTAAAGTCGCTTTTTCTAAATATTGTATAGACATAATTATTTATATTGTTAACCGGGTCTTAACACGAATAATTTTATCATAAATAAACCTCTCTCGACGTTTCGACTAACCTAGTCGAAACGTCGTGGTCACGAGCTGACTGGAGTGACTGAATGTCAATGTTGATAGGTGCCGGCAGTTTATTCAACTACCGTCAAACGAAATATCGCGACACATCTAGTTCTAAGTATTATAAGTCATTTATTTGACTTACTTGCCAGTACATATTGCCCACTCATACAGTTTGTCCAATAGGTTTTCACTGAGCAGGTGTTCAAGGCAGGTGGCTTGGTTGATCCTCGTGTTGATCTCTCGAGCCCTCGCTTCCAGCACCAGCAATGTGGCCAGCTGTTCTAGGTGGTTTACTACTGCTAACACATCGTCGTGAAGATGTTCGGGCTGTAGAGATAATTATTTCTTTAGTGTTGATTAAGAGTCAAGAGCATTAGTGAACATTAACTATACATAATAATTAAAATAAAAATATATAATCGCTGAACAAAAAAAACTCAGTTAAGATCGTATTGCATCAGTTATCAAAACAAAAAACAAAAAAAAACGCGTCATAATCAGTCTATTTGTTTAGAAGATACAATTCAATGGGCAGTGAAATTGTCACTTCATAATACCCCTCTTTTTGCGTCAGGTGTGAAATAGTAAACAATACAAATGAATTTAAGTCATGTCCATAAATACAAATTTCTTTTACTGTACAGAATTTGAATCTGGGATTAATAGATGGTGCGGCCGTAATTTAATCTGCTTCGTCGCCGTATTACTAAGTAATATTCTGGTACTAGTCACAACAAAATATTAGATACTTGTTTACTACAGGAATGTGTTCTATTCATACAATACAGACCAATACAAACAGTAGTACCCATGTATACAAATATTTGTATTGTACGGAAATTGAACTCGCTACCAAGGTGCGGCCTTATATATCTAAAACGCCACCAAGGACATGGTATTATCATGTAAGTAATATAAGAGTAACTATATCAAAAAAACTACTAGATACTTGTGTATCGAAAAGATTGGCTTATGGTATTCAATTCTCCCTACCTATTTCTGTCTGTAAGGGAGTTTGCTTGAATAATAATAATAACCTTTAGTAATTCACTAAGTGGCATCTAGTCCCAAGGTTGATAACAGAGCTTGTAATATGATAGTAATATAATATATCTAGACACTGATAGAAATACATAATAATTTTTTTGTAAATACATATATACTATACATAGTAGGATAAGGACATTGTTAGTATTGGGGACTAGGCCTTGAATGCTAACAATGTACTATGTAAGGTCGACCCCCACGCGTTTCCCCCTATAGTGAAACCGAATGGAGATTTCATCACGATGGGCTAAGTGAACTTCATTTTCATCTCTAATGGCCACTGACCCGCCAGCGTATGCCGTCAGCGCTGGCGAAAGCAATATTCCATCTATCTAATAATATATAAATAGCATACTCATGAATATCAATGTTTGTATACCATTGGAAGTAGGAAGGTGCTAGAAGAGAGAAACCGCTAGCTAGATAACCGACGCCATTATATGTGAAAATATGTACTCATATATCTTCACATTCATTTTTTCCTGACTGCCTCGGTCTTTACAGACGAGTTGGACGTTGTAAGAGGTCGTCATCTCTGTGTCAGTTATTTCAGTCGCCATGGAATTTCAAAATACAGAGACATGTATAGAACACAGTACTAAGGTCCTCTGGAACGGCAAAGCATGTCAGGAATGTCAAAGTAGTAAAGGGAAAGTTCATGGTGTTCATGTATATAGCGAAAATTAGAAACAGTGAACTAATTAAATGTTATTAAAAATTAGTTATTTAAAAATTACCTGAGATTTAAGTATAATATCATTTGCTTGTTGCCAATGCTTGCAGAAAGAATTATAACATGCTTGAGGCTCATAGTCGTGCCGAGGGTCAAGAGAGCGAGACAGCTGCCGCGCGAATGAGAAGGAAGTATTCCGCAGCCAGCTCATGATTCCTTTTTAACTCATTTGTGATCTGCAGAAAATATAACTTATGTAAAAAACATACCTATATTAATATCTGTAATAATAATATATAGAACACATGGGGAGAGGGGATTGTTAGTAATAGACACCATAGAATCTATTTTTGTATTTAAAATATACTAGGATAGTAATATTTTAAATTTAAATTTCAAAAGTTTGTGATGGATCCAGATTTGTTACTGTTTGATAAACTACTAGACAGATTTAAATTCAATTTAGTGCACCATTAGATCATGTTTTAGATTAACAGAATACTGTTTACCAAAATACAACAAACAAAGTGAGCAACTATATATTTGTAATATTATAAATAAACCAATTACGAAATTTAATTATCATAATGACTTTCACTTTCATAACATTAAGAGTTTCCCCTCACCACTATATGATTGTAACTGAGAATCTGATAAAACAAGTGTGTGAAAATTCAGACAATATACAGTAGAGTATACATAGTGAAACTGCATTTGAGATATTGGAAACAAATGCCACAAGTGCAATGCAAGTGTGTGAAAAGTACATACTCAAATCAATCTTGTTGTGGTATCTACACATATTAATAAAATTGGAGTGTCTGTTTCTAATATTGAAATAACCGTTTTTTACTATATGCATATGAATATAAATACTGTACATACACCAAAACAACATTATTACAATTTTTTTCTGTATGTCTGTCGGTCTGTTTGTTCCGGCTAATCTCTGAAATCCTGGGCCGATTTTCACAGGACCTTTTTTTGGCAGGTATCTGATGTAATAAGGAGTAACTTAGGCTACTTTTATTTTCGAAAAAATATTTTATTTCAGAAAAATAAAGTTAAAATCCATGTGGACGAAGTCACAGGTGCTGAGTACTTTATATACAGTTTATGATATGCTTTTAAGATTGTGATGTATGGGTTAATACTATACATCACAATCTTAAAAGCATTTGGGTAGCATATGGATTTTTCAGCATGTGTTTAAGGTTTGAACAGTGGTAAATGTAAACACATGCTTAAACTAACATGAGATACCTCTCATGTTTGTTTTTAAGAGCACATCAGTTAAAGAACTAATATGAAAAGTTTGTTTTTTTCAAAATGTGTTTTTGATACCGTGAACAGGATCAGGAAAATCCATTTATTTTTTAAATAATTTAATAAATAAAAATGTTGTTTTATTGCAGTAAAAAGGCAAGTTAATATAATGGTACACTTTATGCAATAATATTTCTAACTGCAAAGAGCTAGAATTAGAAAGTATTATAAATATTAATAATTAAAATGTATTTTGTTAAACTTACTATACTTCAGTGATAGTTTCTCTCATTACTGATGAATTTAAAACACTTATCTAGTATTATAATACCATATATAGAATTATATTATAGATTAACCCTGTAAAATTACAATTATATATGATAGTTTACTAACTTCTGACCACAAAATCATCGGTGTGACTATTCTTGACTGATATAATAAAAAGCAGCCTATCTTAATTACTAAGTGTCACTAGGATGGGGAATGATTAGTCAAATTTTATGATTAAGGCTGGAAATATAGAGTCAGTTCAGTTAAAAGCCAGTCTGCTGGATGGGAATCCTATCATGTTTCATTGCTACGCTTCAACCTCTATGGAGAAGGCTGTATTGCAACCAAATACTCCAACCTGAAAGTTTTTCACATTCTGGTAATCTAAGGAATTATGAAGTGTATGTTACCAGCATAATAGGGTGTAACAAACAATCACTTTTGAATTTATAATATTAGTAAGGATATAATATGATTAAAAGTAAATGAGAGAAATATTACTTTTTTTTTGCTTTCCCTATCAGGATACTTTCTGGTTGTTTACTAGTTTAATTTTCAAATAAATTTACATTATAAAACCACCTTAATGCATGATGCATAACACTTTATGTTTATTATATATAATATAAAATATATTGTATACATGTGAAAGTTTGTGAAGAATGTTCATTACTAAATTATGCTTGCTACTGAATATTATATTTAAAATGGTATTAGCAAATTTATTCCACTTATACTAGTCTGTAAACAATATGCAACAAAACATGGTTTTTGTCTGTCTGTTTACATTTCTATATTGTTACAAGAATTATCCCGAAGTTTTCACATGTATTATAACTTTCTTTCAATAATATTATAAAGAGGTAAAGTTTGTGAGTTTGGAGTAATTTCCAGTACTAAATTTTGTTTAGTGTTTGATAGTACATTTATTAAAAAGGCTATAAGCTATATAATATCATAAACTAATAGAAGCAGATCTACAATAAAAAATGTTGCTAAAATGAGGGAATGCTAATGAAGTTATTTAAATATATGTAAATACATATGCAATTAAATGTTTGCCAGTTAATAATAATGTAGACAACATTTACAGTTTTTATAATAAACAACAGTTAACAAACCAACTATGCAAATGTCTCATACAGCTTCCATTAAACACATTGTGTAATATGTAAAAATTATGACAATAATATAAAAAAATTCAGGTAAATTTGTGAATATTAAAAAAAACATTTATCATTATAACTTACAACAAATGATATTCAATTTAATACAAAATAAAGATGAATATAAAAACATCATGGAATGTAAGTCATTATAATTCATTACACTAATGTTGTAAATTTCAAAAGTCATGTTGCACAATAGACTAAGTAAACAAGAGATAAGGTCTGAATACAATACTTACTTTCAATTTTTTAATAAATTTTATAACTTTTAAAGTTTTTTATAAATAACGATAATATTATTACATATACACTGGAATCATTTAATTATGTCTACAGATTGGAGCAAGAGTTTTTAAATCAACAGAGATGAACAAACAAACAGACCTTGACATTCTGTTTCACAGCACCTCAGCATATTAAGACTTAATTATTTTACTGTAACACAACATTGATTATGAGACATAACCTATACAGTGACTTCAAGCTGAGTATAGAATTTGCATACCACAAATAAACCGCAAGAGTTACATGATCTGCATCATTCTTGAAAATTATGTCATAAAATATATCTCCAAGAATGTCCATTTAAAACACTTTAATATAAAATTGTATCAACACTTCAACACTGATAACGTAGTGTAAAATATTGTTTAACTTAAAAAATGATAAATTCAATTAAAGAAATTAGAATTTACAAGAAATTAAAGAAAAAAACCATTAAGTATACGATGTGATGTGATATATATTCGCATTAACGCAAAGCACTTGAGATTGAGAATGACAATTTGACAATTGAAATGAAATTATACTGACACATCTAAACATTCATGAATGACTAACTTGACTAAGTGACACATGACCGAGCAAAACATCACAATGACTGATTAATGGCATTATAAATTAAGAATTTAAATAGTTTTTATCTAGAAACAATAATAATATCTAATTTTGGATGTATGTAGATCGTATTCTTGGTATAGTCAATTTATAATGTATTCGAAATGTATGCTAAAAACTTTTTTTTTTTTTTTACGCTTAATTCAATAATTTATTTCCACAAAACAATTTTATTTTACGGGTGTATAAATTAGTAGGTAAGTAGTAAGTAATCGAAATCTCTCATGAGAGATCATTATAAGTAATTCTATCTCTTTTACCCAATTTGCCAGTATATATAAATAAAATTGCCATGACTGAAAATGAAAGTAATTTTTCCGAGCAATATAATTGTAACAGTATTTGTGTGCTGCTATTTTAATAATAGGCAAAGAAGTAGGAAGTAGATTTGACATAATATTAGCGTCCCGATTTTGACTTAACATTTCTAAAATAGGTATGCTCAGAAAATAATTTCTCTCTCTATTCAACGAACGTTGAAAATATAAAAGCGTTCGTTCGGTTTGCAATTGAAGATAAAATGGTTTATAATCCCAATTTGACTTGCAATTATAAAATAGAAATAGAAATAATCTTTATTCAAGAGATAAACTTAGTATAAGCTGTTTTGAATAGTTACATTTTTTTTTATTCTACCGCTGAGTCGGAATGCAGACTTATCACAAGAAGAAAAAGCAAGAAACTTGTGTGTTTCTTGTAATGAGTTTTGTAGCCGTGTCATATTATTGTCCATTGATTGTCAAAAATTGATATATTAATAGCAATAGAATTTTTAGTAAATTAAAACCATTTATTTAGTAATATGCGGTTTTAACTTTTAAATAAATGTTATACACAAACGTAAAGGTTAAACACATTGAAATTGAGCATTTTATTAATAATAATAATAATAATAATAATGAGTTATACTTCACTATTGTTATCTCAGATAAAGTAGTTATAGTAGTAGGCAATATCAAATCTTACACTTACAACTTACACATTTTACAATTGTTCACATTTCGCTAAGTATCTATATTTGAGGGCTAGCCTACGGCCTCGGATTCTAGTTGTTAACACAAAGATTTGTTGTGTTGTAACTAGAAATCGGTAGGATTCAAACTTTAGTTCTTTTGGTGTAATCTAAGCTAAAATTCATAATTAGTTTGATAATAATTATGAGTTCTGGGACTATTTTGATATGATGATTATACTACTAGACTGGTTACGAGTGATTTCTTCTATTTAATTCAATAACAATATAAATTATGTCTGAAGTTGCAAAACCAATCATTTTTATGGTAGGTAGATGTTACCATTCAGAATAAGCAGTAAAATAAAAAATATAACTATTCAAATTTCTTTCTTATATCAAGTTTATTTGAATAAATACTATTCCTATTTCAAACTCTGTACTATAAAATTATTTATACCACAAAATTTCGCAAAGTTTTACGACTGTTAACCCATTTGGGGTAGTCGATATATTCAACTGTCAACTGTTTTTACAATTTACCTCTGGTAGACATAGGCTGCCAGTGTATGTGTAATCGCGGGTATGTATTTTATATATACCCGCTACTACATCTGACATACTCGTGAATGGGTGCTGCATGCAATGGGTCTCGTCTGTTAGGGTTACGGAACCTGGTTATTTCCTTTTGACAAAATTGTAATAGCATTTGTTGGTGATTACTCTATTCTCAATTTAAAAACGATTCCGTATATTTGAAATATGTACAAGTTCATTTGACTTACTTTGTTCTTAGCTCGACAAGAAATTGAATAAAGATATTTTGATTGATATAAGGAAAGGTACATATATCTACCTGATGGAACTGAGTGGCTTACTTCTTTTACCTCCTTATTGTATTATTCGATAGTTTTATTAAAAAAAAGATTAAAATCAGAATAAATTGTCATTTTATACTTGTTTTTCATGACTTTACTTTAGTGAATTCTTTGAATAAATTTTATTTATAGTTGTATATTTATATTTATTGTAGTTAGATTTAATTAAATTTATTTATAAAATGAAAGTGTCCAGAATGGGGACAGTTAAATCAGTTCGATCTGTAAGATCGATGCGGTCCGTTAAATCTGTGCACAGCGTTTCAGATGACGATATCAAGGAGAATTTTGAGACCTATCTCCCTTTAATTTGCAGAAAGTTCCCAAAAGAAATACCATATCCTGTCATTGTCAAGAAGGAATACCAACGCGGTAAGCTTTTACAGACTATAATTATTCTTTATTTATAGAGGTATGTATCTGAGTGATACTTATATTAGTCAAATTCAGATATAAATTTTGTGACCCATCTATGATCTTTCTTTGATGAGCATAAACTTGTGTTTCTATCACGTGAAACATTATTAGACGAACCAATGTGTACGATGAATTTGCCATTGGTGTCAAATATTATAATTACGCTATTAAGTAGCGTGAATAGTGTGAATAATTTCTATCCACACTGCAAAAGTTCCAATATTTATCAGAATCATCCCTATGCCTAAAAATATTTTACATTGTAAATTCGTAAAGCACATTCCTTTAAGTAAGTCTATTTACTAATCTAATATTGAATATATTGCCATTGCTAATTCGATACCCGTGAATTATTGAAATTGCACAAAGACTCAATACCTGAGAGATACGGGTTAAATTCTTGTTAGAATGTATAATAAAAAAAAATTATCCTACAGATAAAATATATAAAATAGTTACTATAAGACATATTAAAATAAAATCGTGATGTGTTTTTAGATGGCTTCTTTCAATCACTTAAACAAGAGGAGACTGTAAAATATAAAAAAATAAGCGTGAAGCACCCTGTTTTGTCCAGCAAAGTCAGTACACGTGTGGATTTAGAAAAACTTGATGAAAAATTAATTAATGATACTAGCACGGAAATTGATTTACTAGCCGACGAAAATGCTATATTAATAATAGCTTTTTATGATAATATGAAACGTCTTACTGAAATTGTTCTTCATAAAACAAAGGTACCAAGAGCATTAATTCAAATAATCAGTTATTTAGCTCCGTCATATGAACAATTAACGAAATTATCTATACGATCTTGTCGTATTGACATGTATACTAATCACGAATTAGCTAAAATGCTTCCATTATCTTCGATAACCAATATATGCCTCGATGGATCCTTTGTACCAGAAGGAAATTATCACATTTTATTGGACGCAAAATGCGTGCGTCTCAGAAATATCTCTCTATGCAGATGTCAAATCAATGATGTAGTTTGCAAGTTAATAGCATTGAAGTTATGTCACCCATGTCCAGCCGAGAAGAGTTTATTGCTTCTAAATCTAACATCTAACCACATTACGGATATAGGAGCGAAGTACTTAGGTGAAGCTCTTAGAACAAATAGATGTTTACGATATTTGAACTTATCAGACAACCACATAGGTGATGACGGAGCTGGGTACATACTTGATGCTTTGCAATGTTTTTCTTTAACATATAATGAAAATATAAATAAACGTAAAAAGCATATTGAATATTTAAAAAAGAGACATGCAGTGTACTTGAAATATTTAAATGAATTATATGCAAATAGATCTAATGATGAATATAGCCAGAACAGTAAAATAAATAGTACTAAAAAAAAGAAAGGTTCAACAACTTCATTGAAAAGTAAATGCAGCTCAAGAAAAGAAACAAAAAAAGAAAATTTGCCCCTTTATTTGGAAGACAGTAAACATAGAGCTGAAATGATAGCCGGAGAATTGGTTGGACCTTTTCGTGATCCTTTCAGCAGTGGAGCAGTTAATCCAGAAAATGGACACTGTTATTGTCTCGGTAACATGGTACTTTGTTATTTGAATTTATCTTATAACAATTTGTCTTACTTGAGTGTTAATAAACTTTATAATGTATTACAATATCAAAGTACTGTAAAAAAACTAAACGAGACTGGTCTGATGAAAGTTATTTTAGATGGTAACTACATGCCAGTATTTTGTGACGAGTATAATTCTATTGTTGAATTTTTAAACAAAAGTTTGTCCAATTTTGGAGGAAAACTATTTTCAGAATTTGGCAGAAGGAAAAGTCGTACTGGTACAAGAATATCGATAGTGCCTGAACGTAACATACCAAAGAAATAAAATGCTGAATTTGTTTGATCATTTTCATTTTAATTAGTATGAAACATTTACACTTATATACAAAATATAGAAAAGAAAATTAAACTACATAGGAAATATCAATGTGTTCTTATTAGTAATGAAGCCACTGGGTTTGGTAACTTTATGAACTTTAATCACATTTTGAATGTAAATTTAATTAAACACTTACATGCTACACTCACTTATTTTCTAATACAAACAAATTCAAATTAAATAATCATGTTTCGAAAAAGAAATTTGGTTAGTAACAGATTAAAATATTATTTCAATTGAACGAGTAACACCGACCTAATTATTCTTTCACATAATGTTTGTACTGGCTCTTAACAATAAATTTTGGCAAATTTCAACCATTATAACATACCATTAAATGATATAAATTATATTTTAAATGAACTCATGCGCTTTTTATAATTATTGGTAAAAATAATTTCTTACATCAGTTTCTAGGTGGGAGATATTCTCTGTTAGGCTGAGTAACCGGAAATTGGGCATTACTTTGATTATCTTGCGGTCTTCCTGTTGGAAAACTGGGGCCACTTGGTCTACCTGATGGGTAACCTTGGCTACTTCCAGGGTAACCAGAACTAGTCGGTGTTGCAGGGAAAGATGTGTGTCCTTGTCCTTGGGAAGTACCCTCTGGACCTGAACTACCCGGATATGATGATTGTCCTTGAGATGGGGTATTCCCTGGATATGAAGATGAGATTTGGGCAGCAGAATTGCTTGGATATGAAGAAGTACCTTGAGGACTACTTGGATATGATGAAGGTCCTTGAGAACCTGTGCTTCCTTGATATAAGCTTGAGGGTGCTTGTGGTCTAGAATCGGCATAATTTCCTGAGGGATTTTGAGGTCTAGTACTTCCAGGGTAAGCAGAAGGTCCTTGGGGTGATAAACTTCCTTGATAGTTTCCAGATGATCCAGTACCCTGTAGGTTTTGTGAGTAGTCATTATTAGCATTGTTATAACTACCATGAGACGATCCTGTTATGGAGTAGTCATACAGATTAGCATTAAGGCCATAAAGACTAGGAGCAGAATTGCAATCAAATTGGTTCCACCAGACACAGACAAAAACTTGTTGAGAGAAAATTGTTCCATTAGGGCATAGGAAATCATAAGTTATATTATTGGCACAAACGTGAAATACTTGACAACGGGTTTCAACATCAGCGTAATAGCCTGGATAAGCTTGAGCGTCACATCTAAATGAAGTTTGTGGAATTTCTGTATAAATAGGATAATCTATATTGGGCTCTCCAGGGATAGCCGAATAATCGCCGCCTTCATAAGCTCCATTATTTCCGTTTTCATATCCATGTCCAAATCCTGATGAACCGGAGGCAAAGTCTTGTGAACTGGGTCTTGAACCAGCACTAGATCCAAATCCTGGCCCACTGGTTCCAAATCCAGGGTTAGTGGAACCAAACACAGGAGTGCTTGGTCTAGATCCTAACCCAGGTCCTGTAGCGCCAGGAGTATTAGTTCCAAAATTTGTATTTCCTGGTGCTGTTCCTGTTTGACCTGGATAACTTTGAGCTTGTCCTGGATATGTTGAACTTCCTTGATTAGGATACCCAGCAGAAGATGTATGGCTTTGCAAACTTGAACCTTGTGAAGGAAATCCAGTTTGAGGTTTTTGAGCAGACGACGGGTAGCCTGGACTTCCTTGACTACTAGTTGCACCAGACGAACCAGATGTATGGCTAGATGTTGATCCCGATACAGAACTGGTAAAATCTTGATTTGGAGGTATAGCAGGGAATGAGGGGGCTGTAGGAGAGCTTGGGTATCCGCCAGAAGGTCCTGTATGTGCTCCCACCGGTCGGCTCGGAGACGTCCCTTGCCCAAACGGAGTGTCAGGTTTATTGTACTCATATCCACTTTGGGCGAAGGTTAGAGCCAGTAACGCTGTAAATAGACAAAGAATATATATCAGAAAAAAAATAAGTATATATTTTAAACGCTAAATCGTTACTAAGGACTACGTTCCTCCGTTCCTAACTACCTGTCATTTCATTGTTATATTCCAAAACATACTATCATTGCACACAAGCAAGCTACTTAGAAGCAACGATCACAGACTGACACAGGTACTTATGCAAACGAACTGAATGTCTATCGTGGTTATCGGGTTGAGTAAAGCGTTTGTAGGTGGTCCACTAAAATAACACAAGTGGGAGATTTATACAAAGTTGCCTACGTATGTAGATGGGTACCTTCATTTCACCTATATACCCATACGTACAACCACAATGCGACATCATTTGCAAGATGAGATCGCGTGAGAGCCGTCACCCATAAGACAGACGGTTTTGCAACTGATCTAATGGGGAAAATATCCTTACGTAATGCTGTTTCGGAGAACCGTAACATATTAACACTAATGAGAACCCAGGATAATTTTCACAGCTCCATCTAGACCCAAACTAAACAAATGTTGTACTATATGTATATATTTTTTTGTAAATATCGTAGAAATCCAGACCGTACCTGACGGATCATACTTCTGATTTGTTGTGATGAACAAAGTGATTTCCTACCATGAATTACGCTCAAGTGGTTGAGACTTGAAATCTGGCTTACACCGAAAACAAATAAATTACTTTTGTAACTGACCCCCGGTAAAGAAAACGCCGATATAAAACCATAACTTAATCCGATGGACATTGGTACGCTCGTCCTCTATTGGATTGCATTTACAACAATACGACATTGACAATGCATGTGACTACCTCTTCTGGGATAAGAGTCGTGATGGTGTTATGACATTTCAAATACTTATCGTATAGTAATAAACGGTCAAGATGTGGCTCTTCGTAAAGCTGAATGATGCTAACTAATTATTAAGTATTGACTATCAGAAAATGTTGCGAAATACTAGACTAAGCGATATTTATATACAGCTGTTGTTAGAAGAGTAAATGATCCTAGAAGGGTGGCAATTTTGTTTAGTTACGACTATTTCGCGGTCTAAAAGCAGTACAAATTGCGAAAGTATCGCCTTGGGTATTAGGATTTGTAAAATAAAGCCCCAATCACTATCCCTTTACCTACAAAACAAAACACGTTGTTGATGGTCTTTATCTCAAAGCAATGCAGACGATATTCGAATAAAATTATGATTGTCATAGCTGGATGTCGTGATGATACGCAATTTGGTATTATTTCTCAGGAAATCACTTAATATAGCGTTAAAATATTCATTGTTTGGAAACAATGTAAAGCCCTGTGTACTCATATATAATACAATTTGATACTTTACCACTACAATGACGGCCTCGGTGGTCCAGTGATTGTGCACGCTGATTTACGACTACATCCCGATAGTCGCGGGTTCGAATACAATGCTAATATTTGTATGCATGAATATATATGTTTATTTATCTTTATATTTATAAAAAAATTATTCAATATATGTGCCTTATATTATGCTTCATGAAATAAAAAAGTAACACGCATAAATGGCTAAAATATCCTACTGCGACTGTTTGAGTTGTAATCTGCTATCTGTAGATTTTGCCAAGCTGAAGAGGAAACGCTACACATTTTATGTGGTTGCAATGTAGTCCATTCATGCATAAACGAAATATTTCCTTTGGAAACTATACTCTATCCTGAGGAGATAAGAACCAACGCTCCTAAGAATATCCTTCAATTCTTGCCCCTAACAGGTCTAGGTCTACTTTGAAAAAGAGGCTGGACAAAGAATCTATGTAAGTCGTAGTACTAAGGTCTAAAGCCCCTGGCAATAGCCCAAACCCATAAAAATATAGTCAGCTAGTAGTAAATCGACTATGACTGCTTTTTTAAGATAAAATGACTTATGTCCATTCTTGTAATATAATGTATTTTCATACCAAAATTAAAGAAAATCTATTCAGCTGTTTGCTCGTGAATAGCTAGTATCTTCTTATTCTAGTATCTTCTTCTAATAAACTAAGCTGCTAATATTAACACGATAATTTTGTTCGTTAGCTTTTTCAAAGTGACCAGCCCTTTGAAAAGTATTACCTTTTTGACCTCCGTTGATGGTAGTGTCGAAATTTCAAATAGAAGAGTTATGTTACGACATAGTCTTACATTTTCACCGCACGGCGGCGCCACTCGTGTATAATCGTCACGAAATAGAACAAGGAAGTTCTATAACTAGACAACTGGAGTGCTCTATTTGGTAACATCTAGACTAGTGTCTTAATTACTAGATCATAGCGGTCATATTGCCTTGTTGAAAAGCTGTCGGAAATTGAAGAGGTTACCAAGATCCGTGATAAGGCGCGAATACGTTCATTTATTACCGGGCGTTATGTCGCTTGCAATTTGCTTAAGTAACGCGGAGTCTTTTGAAACAGATGTGAGAAAATAGTCATAGATAAAATTGTGTTTTACATTTGGGAGTGGTTAATCGTTCGTCGTTGATGATTTAATGATACGCGCAAGTCGATGTCATGTTAATCACCATTTTTTGCAGTGACAAGACAATTTGTTCTTCACATTTTACATTTCTTCATCATTTCAGCCTAATGTGATTACTACATTTTGGGAGATGATGGACACAATAAGGAACTGTTTCGATACTATTGTTGTCTTTTTTTCGTCACTAAATCATATTGTAACTATATATGCATATATGATAATGTATTTTTTTATGGATGATCATGGAATTGTACTTCCGCCTGCACTAACGGTTTACGCTGGCGGGGCACCAGTAGAGGATGATAAGATGAGCATGAGGTTAGGTTGACCTAATTGCTAATTGATTAGCTCATTGTGACAAATTCAGCAAGATTTTATCACGATGATTTCCAGGGGAAACCGCGTGGAGGACAACCTGACATGGTACATTGCTAGCAATAAGATCAACAATCCCCTTTCCCCCTCCTAACGGATTTAATTAAAGCAAACAGCTACAATAAGCGTCAGTGGTCTACCGGTTTAGCACACCGCCTTACTTCAAGTGATTGTGGGTTCGATATACGGGATCGTACGATACGATTTGTATTCATGAGTATGATTGTTGGTTTAGTCTGGGTGTTTTCTATATATATTATGTATGTTTTAAGTATTTATGTCAGTTGCCTAGTGCTACAGTTTGTCTATAGTACAGATTAATAGCTCAAACCTCTTAATAAAACAAGGTAGATAAGATGCTTTGTAATTATTTTTATATGTACACATGAGAAAAAATGAGAGCTTGGTTTATAAAAATTCTACAGGCAATATAAGTTGTTCAATTCAAGTACTAACAGTACAGCTACAATGATTATATATCGTCATAGTCATCATAAGGAAGCATTTATTTCGCAATTAAGCCCTGCGGGTTGGTGATTTTATAAGTAATTTGGTAGGTCCAATTACTAACACATGTTGGTATGTTTTATTAAAAATTGCTGTTATGGACTTAGATGGAGATAAATCACAACATGTCAACTACTATTTGACCTCTGAAAATAGTTTAACAATACACAATAAATATTAATTTACATAACTACTGTAAATACTACCTTACAGTCTTCTTCTAGTTTATCAAACCAAATTTCTATGTAATTATCTCAGAACAATTTACACAGCGCCATCTAGTCTCAAGCTAAGCGCAGCTTATGTTATGGGTATTGACAACTGATATAAATACATAGATATATTTTTTGTAAATAATACATAATATACATAGAAAACTATCCGAAAAATACAAACAGGATTATACTCATAAATAGAAATAGTTATACCGAGCGAGGAATCCAAACTCGAACAGTAAACTAGAATAAATAAGAGAATTTTGAAATATTTTTAAACAGAACTTTTCAGAAAACCCTTCGAAATATTTTAAGCGTGTCTACAGATAAAGATAAAGAATCAATAAAACTGAATATAGGTACATATACTGACATGCAATAAAATGTCCTTGAAATATTTGGAAATTGAACTTAAAAGATAATTTGTACGTACGAAATATTCATTAAATTATAGATGGCATGTACAGAGGTCAGGTCACTATTGGTTTGTTGCATCTGTTATAGAAAAGTCCGCAAATGAATGGCCATAGACACGCCTTATGACATGGTTCTTTTTAATGTTGATAATTAATGGTTAGATAACAAATTCGATGTTGTGGCAGAGGTGAAAGGTGATTTCGTCAACAAGAGATGCTGTCTTCCTCTGGGTGCGTTTTGAAATAAAAGCATCAAATTAATTGTAATATTATATCAAATATATATTATACAAAACATGTTGCATATGTAAAACAGTTATTGCGATTTCGGTTATGGATTTTTAGATATCTATGTCCATTATCCTGATATTCAAATTTCATTTCTGAAATTTCAATTCTCTCAATTTTTTCAAATGACCGAACGGATATCGTTCAGTCATTTTATCTTAAAAGGTAAAAAAACAGGCAGACTGACACACGTCTGCATTTATGATATTAGTTTAATTAAATAAATGTTATCTAGCTCTTTTTTCTTGTAATGAAATAAAATATTATTATATATTTCTTTTTCATTTATTTACATACATATTATTAGATATATGAAGAGTTTCATGGTTTAGTGATTACTGTCCTTACGACTTACTCTAGAGTGATGAAAACACCAATAACAAACCAACCTCATTTTAGAGACTGCCGTAGGCTCGCACGATGAGTTAAATGTGTGTGTACTTTAGTTATACAATGTGAACAAGATAAAGCAATGGTAGAGTTGCGTCCATTTACGCGATATCATTAGCTATATAGCCAAATAAAAAATACATAATGATGCGATCTTATCATCTTTACATGGTGTATTATATTATACGAAATCCACTAATTTAGTTTTTAATACTTAATGACAAAGAACTCAAATATTGTTAGATTGAGTAAATAACAAAAGATTTTTTTTCTAGGAAGTGTGTAGAATTACACTATTATGTATATAATTAGTATAGAACATATTGTTTAAGATTCCGCATTACAACAACAAAAAAACATTTATAGTTTTAAATGGTTTTTATAGAACGAAATGACACAGGTTGACCTCAACGCGATTTGAAAAAATACCTCATATATTAGTATAGAGTTATCTATAAGGTGATGCTACCGGGGAAGATTAAGAAAAGAATGAAGAACGAAGAAAAAGAAAGAAGAACTCGATATGCCGACTATAATAACTTGCACCCTATGCCCGAGGAGGGTTGACATCAGACAGGCGGCCGGTTTTACTGAAGCTAAACTGAATCCATAACCTACTTCTCTGATATTATGATGATGATAAATATTGAGTCGAGGTTCTAATAACTGATTAAGAGAAATTACTAGTATTTTTTAATAAATACTTTTGTTTTTCGTATATATATATAAATATATATATATATATATATATATGTGGGAAAAGGATTTATGCGTATTGCGTATTGTAATATTTGAATAAATAATATAATATTATAAAAGTGTTCCTCAAGTGTCATCTACGATATTTCCACTAAATATATATAACTCAAATGTGACTAAGAAAGAACTAAGGGGATAAAATAGGGGATGAAAGTTTGTATAAATTTTCTTAGATTTTCGACTGATTGAACTGAAATTAAAGATTGGAGCTACTATGATGAAGACGTTCGCTTAAATAGGATTTTGATAAATTCAACCCCCATGGGGATAAAATAAGGGATGATGCAGAATGTAAATGTATTATTTTGAACCTATCAGTACCTAATTGAACGAATAAATTAAGACTAACAAATAATTTTTAGTTCTTCAGGCTACTTTTATTTTAGAAAAATAAAGTTAAATTCTACGCGAACGAAGTCGCGGGAACAGCTAGTTCCCACATATATTTACTATGTATATGATGCTGGTATCTTGAGCATGAGTTTATTATTAGGTGACATACCCAGTCGCAAATTTAAGTACAAAATCTCATACTGCGCAAGCTTCATTTCACTTAAGAAAATCGCGGCAGAGAAATAAACTGGTGAATGAACACAACTTTATATAAATTGAGTTTAATTCTAAAATATTCTTAACTGTTACATTTGACACTAGCGTCTCATAGCAATTTCATCAGGTTTGAACGTATACGCAATAATTAAATATAATCTGTAATAATAAATAGAAAAATTATATAAGACGTTTTTGAATACGTACAGTGGTTGCACGTATATGGAAATTCACAAAATTCGCATTCTCGCATAACAATATTAATTTAGGCGACACAGTATGCGATTTTATGAGTTTGTTTACTTCTTATTGTAGCATTTCTAATAGTTTTCTTAAATATTCCACAGTTATTGTGTTATTTTAGGTAAACAAGTATACGTAACTTGGTGATATGAATAAACAACAAAGTGTGAATTGTTATTTTTCTTTTAACTAAAAATAATATAATACATTCATAATAATATATCACTATTTTGGACATCATATCTTTAATTTTTTTAATATTTATTGTTACTTTATCATTTTTTAAAAGCATTTTTTTTCACATTTTGACTGTATTGAGTTGACTAGAAAAGATCTCTTTTAAAGATAACTCCTCCTTTGTTAACATTATTTCTAATGAACATACTTAAATAATGTATTTAAATTAATAATAATACACTTATAGACAGTAGTAATTAATATATAATAAATAAATAATGTATTTAAAGTCCAATAAACAATATAATACACTTATAGATAGTAGTAATTAATATATAACAAAGGTATTGGCAACCATCATCACTCATATTGGTGACACATTGCCTCACCTGCAATGGTAGCCGGTTCAACCCCACATTAAAACATTTTTACAATAAAAAAGTCGATATTTTTTATCACTAAATACATATACCGTCCAATTTTATTAGCTACTTCAGTTTAGAAGAATTGGTTGTAAAATCAAGGGGTACAGTTTTTATTATTATTTAAGCAGTTGGCTAGACATGATTTAGAATATCTGTACGAAGCTTTTATAACTATTGTCTAAAAGTTAGAGGAATAAAAACTGCTAAATTATTGTTGGTTCTCACTGAAGACAATGACTTTAAAAGTATATTAAATCTAGCAAATAAAATAGGAGTATGACCTCGAGTTAAACAATTTATGGGATTATTAGCGCTACACAACAACGTATATACACGTTGTTTAGAAGATGTGCAAACATAGAATATAAAGGTACCTTTGGTATTAAAAACTTAGGAAGTTAAATAAAACAAAATCTTGTATAATCCTATATAAAATGTATAATCCCTAGTTTTAAAGTACTCCTGTGTTCTGTAGTAAATAAGTAAATTAAGCTAACGAGCCTGAAATTTATTATCCAGGTTAATAGTTATTATTATTAACTAAAAAAGGTATCAAACGTACCCAACAAAATGTGGACATGTCAAAAGCTCCCATGGACTTCAATAGTTGACAATGAAAAAAAATCTGAGTACCCCGTTTATTATAAATTAGTGGACCCTGGACCAATTTATATTAATTAATTAAGACACTGCATCATATCATAATAATATTAGAAACTACGCATAATTTTTTTAGTTGCAAATAAAGTAATTATCCATATTGTTTTAATATGCACATCGTGGTATGGGGATTAGTAATAGCACCGTTAAGATAATATTACATGTAATGGGAACTAATGACCCAATTGCTTGCAATGTAGGTACTACATGGTACCACTGGAGCAGCCAGGTGAACCATTCCATTATTGCGCATTAAAAAGTATATACTCATCTGATACTCTCCGGGTGGTATAGGTTATTTTTGCAAATGTAACTAAACGTAATCACAAGCCGCAACGAATGGAGTTATCTCAGTATTAGATGAGTAAGTGAAACAAATTAATTAAATATTATGTCATTATTTAACTTATATGTAAATATATGTAAACTATCATTATTTAGAAAATAAGATAAAAAAAATGTATTCACACTCAGAGACGTCAAATGGTTACTTAAGCAGTTCTTTGGCGTAGATTTAAAAAAATGTCCAACTCAATGACTGCTAATAGTTGATTAGTAGCAAGAGATTTTTTAAATTTTATATACAAATTCTGGTGTCACAATGTTGTTACAATACTCCTCCGACACGGATTGACCGATTTTATGAAATTTTATATGCATATTCAGTTGATCTGAAAATTGGCTACTATCTATATTTCATACCCCTAAGTTATAAGGGTTATCCACCCCTAACATTTTATTTTTATTTTAAGGACAACTATTATTTATAATTTGACATTTAAAATACATACAACCTTAAATTTTCATCCTTCTATCATCAACCCTATCTTTTAATGAAGATTTTCATTTATATGGCGAAACAACGTTTGCCTGTTATCTACATACTAGCTGATTCCAGCTGGTATGTAGACAACAGTCTTTCATAGTGGCTGTCATTATCGGATAGTGCTGTAACATTTGACGACTCATGGTTAGTAATGACATGAAAAAATTAGATACAAAAAAATATACTTACAACAAAATGTTATCGAACGCAACATGTTGCCGGTGCTGCTATCCTAGACCTAGACTAAACCTGTAAAAAAGAAAACACTATTAAAAAAAGACATATGAACCTACAACATTTTTTTTAAACTGTATGGTGGAAATATATTAATCTTTTGTCCGTGGCGAAATAGGGGTTTTAATTATTTTTACTTAATGGAGATGATACGTCACGTAGGTAGCATTATCTGTTCAATTAGTATGTTTCTGACACAACTACAACTAATATATAAATATATATACTACTATATTTTCAAGTAGTTTGAAAATATATGTTTATGTATATTTATTGTCCAAAATATTTAGAACTGTGTTGCAGTTGTATCACATCTACCTAGGTTTTTTATGGTAACTGGAATGGCAAAACATCAGACGTGATGGTAGGTGGCAATCGTCACCTATATACTCATACATGTAGCACCTTGAATATATCTTAAGCACAGATGCAATTATTACAAGAAAAACATAAACTGAATATAATCGATATCTCGGTTGATTATGTAGGTACATTTCTATAATTTGAAATTCGTTAAGCATTTCGTTTACCTAACGGAAAACAAATAAAGTATTTGTTCTTTAAATATTAAATTTAGATATATTTACTATTAAACTGTTTATACATATAAGTATTCATTTTGTTTGGATCCCCCTGCTGAGTGTAGTGTTGCTTTCTTCATAAAAAACTGATCTTTCTTTTAGTTTGAGTTTATATCGTTTATTACATATTTAGAATGAATGAAAACAATGATTTTTTAAAAATTTAAATCATACGGTGCAAAGTGTGGAATAAAATTTATAGTAGATACAATAAAAATACAAGTGTGTTACCACAAATGCCTTATTATTACTTTCTTCCTAATCTACCTATATATATATTTTACTAAACTGATTTTATTTTTATTTGTTTTAATTATAAATTCTTATGTGTTTAACTGATTATGTGACTACACTCTACTTCAAGGTTAGTATAGTATACCAGTATGGTGCAATACAAAGATCACCAATTTGAAGTTACCAGTAAGTTGTCCCAATTAACTTGTTAACTAGATAACTAGCAGGAAATTGAATTCGTTTAAGATTTATCTCACAGATAGAGAATGAAGACGCATGCACATAATGTCTATTGTTTGAAACGTAACTTGTAACTCGATTTAAATACATTTTGATAAGGATCAATTAAGCAATAATTTATTTGTGATAAAAGTGCCGTGAGGTCATCCTTTTCGTGTGGGATTTCAAGTTTTGTTAATTGGATTGCGAATCGTCGTTATTAACGCTTGATAAAGACAATGTAATTATTTTTTTAAAAAGCTGTATTGGGCAAAGGAATCAGATGCAATTAGTGATCTCTATATTTTTCATCACGCGCATTCTCTATAATTTATATACATAAAAAGTAGGTTTATTCTATGTGTTTTCTGAGTACATAACACATAATTTGTTTCTTTATTTGTATCAATATTAAAAATAAATAAAGATCAGATCATATTATATATATAGATATGTGACGCTATTAAAATACGTACGTAAATCGATGTCACAAAAGCGATTTATAGATTTTTTATGCAATGGCAAACGTAGTGCTGGTCTACTTAATGGTAAGTGGTAACCGTCATCTATATATATAAACAGCACTACAGACATCACGTCATCACATCACGTGACGCCCGTGATGCCACACATGTGTTAACATTCCGAAGGACCAAGAAGTCGGTTCTGTAAGTTCACATCACACATCTTATACTGGACACTGGATTCAAAATATATCTACCCAGCGAAATGTGGGCATGTCAAATATTACGTTCATAATAACATCGACATTAGACAATGCCTCTGACTAACCCATCTGGGATTGACCTCCACGCGGTTGCCCCTGGAAACCATTCTGACATATTCCTGGTGAATTTGTCACGATGGGCCAACTGACCTGATCTCATCCTCATCTTATCATCCTCCATTGGTGCCCCGCTAGCGTAAGTCGATAGCTCAGGCGGGTGCACCATATATAATATATATAATTATAGGAAACATATACAAACACGATTAACTTTATGTGAGAATTGAACCAGTGTGATCGGGGCGTTATGCTAAACCACTAGGCCATCGCGACTGTCATAATAAATCATCAAGATCATGATACAGACAGGAAGACTTCCTTCCATAATGTGTTTAAGATAGGCGTAACAATGGCAAAGAAACTGATTAAGTTCACAACATGTGAGACAATCTGTATTGTAGTTATATAGGTAACATTGTTTGGGCATATGTAAAAACGCGGCCAATAATGAGAAAAGAATTTTAAACTGGTATTGTCACAAACACTCGAGATGCCGAGTCATTTTTAACCAACTTCCAAAGTGAGGATATTAATTTGGCTTCTATTTTCTTTATAGTGTACATTGAATATAGTATAAATTGATATAAATAATAATAAATAAATAAGTTATTTAGGGACAGAAACAATTCACAAATTTTTCAATATAATGTATAGAAATAAGTTTTTTTTTTATTTACTGTTCAGGCAATTTACTATTTATAAAGTTCAATTTACATTGTGTTTAAAATTATACAATTTTTGATGCTAATAAATTTATCAACATCAACACTATAAAAAGACTGTTCGAACACAAAATACCATTATTCTATAAACTGTCAATTTGTACAAAATATAACACAACATTTAAACTTTACATAGTTTAAGTGGAATATAAATTTGTAGTCATGAATAATATACGGACGGAAATCGAACTCTGGATCACCATCAATTCGCTAAACCGCTTAGATATTCATAAAAAGGTAAGAAGTCTAAGCAAAGTATTTAAGACATAACTATTTCTTAATTTCACAGGATATAGATATGTGACGTTGTGGCACAGGGTTTCTTATAAAATCGATATTTTTAATACATTGTTCATCACGTATGAACGATGTTTCAAAATAACGGTTTTTTAAGATATTTTATACTTAACGCAGATTCGGTATGGATTATTATATGTTAATATAAACAACTGTTTGGATCGATATAATTTACTTAATGACATTTAAATTGTATTTAAAGACAGAAAATTTGACAATATAGTATTTTGAATAAATATTAAATATATTGTATGTTTATTTTGCACTAATATTTTACAACTATGTACGGATTTTTTAATCAAATTTCCACACATAGTTATTAAATATTAGACTTTGTAATAATACATAAGTATGTATTGTTTTAAATTTGATGCGGTCAGTATTTATACGTATAATTAGTAACAATCAAGGGATCCTACTACATTCTATTTTAAAATAAAACGTGGTAAGATACCATGATTTTTACTATAAGAATAAATACAAAACAAAAGTATTAACACTAATTTCTGTCAAAAACTTTTTTTCCAAAAGCACAATTGAAATTCTCACTTTCAACTAAACACTACACCTATCCGATGTTCTGAGACATATCCTTAATAACACATTAGAAATTCCATTTTTAAAAAATACACTTCTAAATTTTGAATATCGAACTAGTTTTTTTTTTTCAAAATGACTCACCGTGTGCGTACGGAGTGATAGCGTGTGGACACGGACTGCGCAGATGAACGCACGCGCAGGCTTTTATGACCGTTGCTATAGCAACCACCACTGCTCATGAAGGGATGCCTTCAGTACATCGTGCATATTAGTTGGTTTACAAATAAGTGTTTCAACTATAGATTTGTGGTTAAAGCTTAGTGCCCTACGGTTAAATTAAAGAAGAGAACTGTTACATTGTTGTAAAATATGATGTAAATCTGACCCACACTACTATTTCAATATGCTAGGTTACTTTATTTTACGTTCAATTATCAATGGATCTTTAAGATAATGCTTAAACTTAAATGTCAAGAAAGGAACTAAAAGTATTTCGATTAACGAAGGTAATCATTGTTGATTAACTATTTTGGGTTAATTTTACAACCAAAATAATTCTACTAACGTAACGGTAGATATGTACTAACACTAGACAAAATACTAAATAAGGACATTAGGTATAAATTTATAATAGGTAGGTATCTAAGAAAGAACTTTATGAATATAAATAAAGTATAAATCAGGGCGACACAAAAAATTGAGTTAATTTATATTTACACTGACTCTCTGGTGATGGAAATATAGTGAAGTATAAATATAAAACTAAAAGCTTTATATAAGCTAAGCTTTTGACTTTTCTTTTTCAGTAAATTAAAATGACTAAACTATATTAATTAAATACATTTATTGTAAATCTTAATAATAATATTAGACGTGAAAATATTTTTTGTAACATTTCCACGAAAATAATACTGAACCGATTTTGATGAAACTTTACAGTATTATATGTAGCTAATACATCAGAATAACACATAGGCTATAACTTGAAAAGATATTATAATTATAAATTGGGATTAGATATTATAAATTGGGCGAAATAAAGGTTAAGGAAGTGTTTATCTTATGTCATAATAAAATCAGATTCTAGTGAAACCTGCACAATTCGATAAGACCATGTGATTACACTGCTTTCTATTGGTCTAGTTAATCGATAATTCGATAGCCATCGCAATCGAATGGAATTCGGCATCGATCTGTAGATGCATCTCGACATCTGCAAATGGCTGGCGTCTGCCGATCTGTGTTTTATGCTCGTTACCTAAGTAATTTGATGCCCAGTGACAATATCAGGTCGTTATTTCCATGGACTTTCAATCTGTTCTTTAATGAGAGTTGTTTTTTGAACTTACATAAATGGGAAACAATGTCCTATATGATTAAATTATTTAGATTTTTCTTAGTGTAGTGCAGATGAAGAGTACATATTGGAAATTGATTATATGATATTTTTCTAATTAATATGATATTATTATAGATATAGTATTTTTTAAATATATTTGACATCTTTTTACAACCACACGAAGCAATGAAGCAATGGTTGGGAAACCAGTGGTATGCGGGTTGAAGACCACCACTAGTCCGTAAGTCCAACCTTTTAAGGTATTGTAGGAGATATGCATATAGAGATATTTAAACTTGTATTTATCTGAGACAGAGTTTTCACAAATTTGCTTGCAATATGCTTTTTATTTTTTTTAATTAACACAGCGCAAATTAAAAAAAACTAAAATACTCATATAAATGCTCAGACATTTTTTTGTAAATACATATTATTATATATATATATATATAGAAAATACCAATACAATATTATAATAACAGTATTGATATTAAATACCAATACCGATATACAAACATTGAATACAAATGTTTGTACCATGCGAGGAATCGATACCTGTAAGCATCAGAAGTAAATCGGTGTGCTAAGCCGCTAGACCACTGAGGGCGTCAAATATATTACGTCTATATGTATTTGTATAAATTCTCTAGTACTCATAACACAAGCTCTGCTTAGCTTGAGACTAGATGGCGCTGTGTCAATTGTCCTGATCTTATTAATATCTTTTAAGAAAGAATTAGCTCTTTTCTTGAAGGTTTCATTGTCGTATGGTTCGGAAATACCATTTCTGGAAGGTGATTCCGCAATGTAGTTGTGAGTGGCAAAAAGTTTCTGGAAAAACGCACGGTAGAGGATCACCATCCATCCAGATGATCGGGATTCATGTTTATAGGAGTCATTTACTGCTTACTATCCACCTGATGGTAAAATTGTTTGGGATTCCAGTTAAACAAAAATGGATTTTATACTTAAAACTCTCAGGTTTTTAATAATAATATTAAAAATCCATTATTCGCATAGCGTCACCTACTACATAATTCAAGTTTTATTTATTAAACTTGAATTTTGTGACAAAACATGAGAACTGATAAACATACTAGAATACTTTTTTATTGCAAATACATATGATACTTATGATATTTAGTATAACAACACCAATATATGCAGTCATAGTAATGGATACAAATGTTTGTATTAAGCAAGGAACGAACTCGCGACCGTTGGAACTTGAGGACTTGCTAAACTGTTAGATCATCGAGGATAGTCAATTAGATATGGTTTTCAACCACAATCGTTGACGGAATGTTTATAATTCCAGTTTATTGTGTAGGCTCATATGTGAATATTTTTTGTATAGATTCTAACAATATATTTATAATAGTTACAGATTTGTATTGCGTCATACGTGATAATATCAGTTATCTGTGGAACGAATAACAATACTACAATAAAACCGACAGAGCACGACTCCGACTTACACATGGAGGGTTCTGAACAAGTCTATACTAATGTTATTAAGTGGAAATATTTGAATGATCTTTTGTATGTTTGAAAAAGGATAAACTCAAGAATACTTGAACGATTTTAATAATTATTATAAATAATAAAATAATTGAGATAGATGGAGATCGACGACCGCGCTGGACTAGCAGTTGAGCACACCTTACGTTTATCGAAAGATGGCCACAGGTTTGATTTCTCGCACGATTTGAATTTGTGATAGTCTGGATGTTTTGTATTATTTATGTATTTACAAGAAACAAATATTTTACTCACTCATTTCAATGTTTGCAAATACTGCTGGACTGCTTCCAGTCAAATTCAACTTCAAAATCTTTATCTGTGAAGTACAGATAACAAAGGTCCTACAACAAATAACAGCTGTTACCGTCATCTGTAATTACTACTAATTACGCGTATAAATGTTACAAAAACATATATTTATGTCTTCTCCCCGTTATGGTAGGAGTCACGGGGTCGTATGTGCATTCTACCGCCACTCTGGAAGTGTACCAAAAGAAATAGGATATAAATTTAAATATGATTATTGTAAGTTAATTCCAAAATTTTGGGGAAAAAATTTGATCTCTTGGAGTTTTACAATTGTATTATGAGTGAACTAAAGGTATTTAAAACTAGTCTAAATTTCTAGTCGAAGAGACAAATTCGTTGTTTTGGATTTGGCTCTATCAATCTTTGCGGCTCGGAACCCTAAAACTGAGTAATTAATGACCACCGCCCGTAGCCGATTCACAATATTACGGTAATTAACAATATCACATGAGGTTTTTGCGATTGTTTCCTATAGTTATAATTAAGAGTGATATTTTTTATCCTATGTACCTATTGTACCTGCTAAATTTTGTGACGTCATATTTCAAATATAATATATACAAGTATTAATATAAAAAATATGTATTATTAACGAAAAATAAAAATTTAAACTTTCTGAGTATCATATTAATATTATAAAGGCGAAAGTTTGTAAGTCTGGATGGATGCATGTTTGTTACTCTTTCACACAACAACTACAAAACGAATTTTGATGAATCTTTGCAGTGATATAGCTTATAGATACATCATATAATTTAAAAAGATATTATGTAAATTGAGCGAAATATGATAAATATCAAGTAAGTGAGATGTAGACAAAGTTGCGCGGATCAGCTAGTATCTAATACAATTCCAAAATATGTGACGACCAAATAAAGACAAGAGGGAAGGGTAGAATTCAGGAAATTAGTTTAACATACTTTATATACATATTTATATTGTGCGGTAATCGAACCTACAATGCACAAGCTATCAACAAAGTTTTTAATGAAATTAATAGATTTTGCTTTCGAAAAATTGAAGCAAATACAAATACAATACGTAGTCACTCTATGCAGTTGGTTACAGATTACGTATATCACTTGACGTTCATTCTTCATGTTTGGTGTCGTGTCGTGACCTTGACATGACTTTTGGGTCACAAAGTCGGATACTGCCATTGACATTATGATGCCTCTTTAAAAGCATAATGACGGGAAACGGTTAACAATTTCTATAATAAATGTCCATATTATGTATTGATGATATCTCTTTGTTTAGCAAAGTCTATTCAATTTAATTCAATACAGTGCGATCGCAGATAAACAAAAAAAAAACATGATTGCCCGCAACACTATTAGCACCTCTGATTAATAAATGAATGAATGAATGAATGTAAAACTATTTATTGTTCCTCTCACAGAAAGAAATTAACAATTACATAAATTAATATGTACCTACATCAAATAAAAAAAAAATGTACTGCCACCTTTTCAAAATTAAAAAAATATATTTTGTATTCAGGTAACCCAATTTTTACTTATTTCATGTCTCGACTAAGGCTTTACTCTTAACATAGCTTATATAGTTTTGAACTATTTCTCATTTATTAGGTTATATTTTCTTTATTTATTAGTAAGTCTTTATTTTATTGTCGGCAACGCGCACGTGACACCCCTGGTGTCTCAGGCATCAATAGTCAACCATAACCATTTACCATTAGATGGGCCGTATACTTGTTTGCCACCATGTTTATTTTAAATGTATACATTATAGGACTATGACGGAGAATATACGCTACTTTAAACAATCACCTGTCACATCCGATAAGGAAACGATATTACCACGACCTGAGTCGAGGTTCGAACTCCTAGACTAAAATCGTAAGATGCATTGTATACATCAGCGTCCTCAGACTAAAATATCCTTGCAGGAGTTGGCCTTCAGTCCCTTCAAAAGTCTTATCGCGGGTTCATTTTTTGAAGTTAAGACTGTAAAGTCCAGTTGTGGCCAACAGC